TGCATTATTAACATCCAACTAGTGCAGTGGCCACCCACGATTGACAGCAACCGCGATGAGAACACGAACGGTAACAATTTTAGCAACAGGTGCAAAAGTGTCATGAAAGTCGATACCTTCTAGCTGAGTGAAGCCTTTGGCAACCAAACGTGCCTTAAAACGTTCAATGGAGCCATCGGGGAAGTATTTCACTTTGAAAACCCACTTTGCATCAATTGCCTTCTTACCAGGCGGCAAAAAGGTCAACTCCCAGGTGCCATTGGCGATAAGAGCAAGAACCTCCTTGGTCATTGCCTCACGCCAGCGCGCATCCCTCATGGCGTCCAAGAAGTGGCGAGGCTCCTCAACTTTGGCAATAGCGGCAAGGAAAGCCTTGTGATGTGGTGCCAAACGATGGTAGCTCACCTGATTGGACATTGGGTAAGAGACAGTAGAGGCAGCAGGGGACTGACCGGGCAGTGCAACATCATAAATGTCCACCAAATGCCGCGGTGGGCGTCGCTCACGGAGGCCACGACGCAACGCCGGAACAGTGGAGTCAGGTGACAAATCCGGGTGAGGTGGTGCATTCGGCTCCGTCTCTTCAGTAGCATCAGCACGGGACGAATCCTCGTCTGCATCATCATGCAATGCATGCACGTCCCCGCTGCCAGGAGGAAAAACAACGGTCTCAGGGAGATCATGCGCCATGGTGGGCGAGCATGGAAAGCTGGCCATGTGAGATGGCTGTTCGGCCGAGCCAGCTGCTTCGTGGGTGCGATAGGGGAAATGGTGTTCAACAAAATGGACATCTCGGGATGTAACAATCTTTCGGGATTTGAAGTCATATACCCGGTATCCCTTTTGACCTGCTGGATAACCCACAAACACACCTTGTCTCCCCCTTTCAACAAACTTATCAAGACCCGGGCTAGTGTCCTTGATGTAAACCAGACAGCCAAAGCTCCGCAGGTGATGATAGGGAGGAACACGACCAAGAAGGACCTCAAAGGGTGTCCGATTGCCAAGCACTTTTGAAGGTAAGCGATTGATGAGATAGGTAGCAGTCAACACACAATCTCCCCAGAAACGAACAGGCAAACCAGACTGAAATCGAAGTGCTCTAGCCGTTTCAAGGAGGTGGCGATGCTTTCTCTCCGCTACTCCATTCTGCTGCGGAGTGTTTACACATGAGGTCTGAAGTAGGATACCGGTCTCTTCATAATACTCACGCAGGCCGGCGGTTTGAAATTCTAAACCGTTGTCAGTCTGTATACGACAAACCTTCCCGTTGTACTGCGTTTGAATCATTTGACAGAAAAACCAAACATACCTCTCAACCTCATATTTAAACTTCAGCAAATAAACCCATGTTGCCCGACTAAAATCATCCACTACTGTTAAGAAATAGCGAGATCCATCCAAAGCTGGAGTACGATAACCTCCCCAGATATCCATATGGAGGAGTTCAAAACAAGCATGTGTCTTAATCGAATGTGTAACAAAAGGTTCCCGGGTGAGCTTTGCACGTATACAAGCATCACAATGCTGGGTTTTAGATCCAAAATCCGACAAAGACAAACAAGAATGCAAAAGCCGAAATTTTTCAACGGATGGGTGCCCCAATCTCGCATGCCACTGCTCTGGGGAGACCTTGCTAGCTGCACCTGCGAAACCAGCAGAAACTCCATCGCTTAATCCAGCTTCAAGCTCCTCATACCGCCGAAGATAATAAAGTCCGTCACGAAGATGACCCAGTCCAATCGTAGTCTTGGAGCGTGAGTCCTGGATGATGCAAAGATCGGCCACAAAGGACAAAGTCACTGCATTATCCTTAGTCAAACGACTCACTGACAATAAATTACACTTGAAACTAGGAACAAAAAGGACTCGCTGCAGCCGAAGATGAGAGCTCAAACGTGCAGACCCGATACCCAAAACTGGTACACTTGACCCATCCGGAATGCGAACAGGCGAATATGAGTCTCCCGTATTCAACTTGTCTAACCAACGAGAATCACGCACGATATGCTCATTACAACCTGAATCAATAACCCATTCAGTAAGTTCAGGAGATTTACCAGCCATGTGCGCAGTAGGCTCTGATGTCGGGGGAGCAGGAGGTGTAAGTAGCTGCTTCAGTTGCGCAAACTGTGCTGACGTCAGTCCCGGTATGGGGCTCTCTTCGGCCTCAACAGCTGCAGCACGCGGCTGTGACTTCCCATCCAGCTTGCCACGTCTTCCCTCGCTACCCCGTTCGCTAGAGCGACTCTTGCCTTGGTCACTAGGGTACCCAATCAGCTTATAGCATGATTCCTTTGTATGGCCCTTCTTGTTGCAATGGCTGCAACGGACAGGTTCATCGTCGGGTTCTTTCTCACGACGAGTTTGGAAAGCGGCTGTCTCGACTGGCGGGCGTCTCCCACTGGTGATGTGACGCTTCTGTTCTTCAGCGGCGACAAGCTAATAAGCTTCAGCGAGTGATGGGGTTGGCTTGATGCTCAAGATTTGTGAACGAACCACCGAGAAGGCGTCGTCCAAACCCAGCAAAAAGTCGAACAGCCTCTCCGTCTCTTCCTTCTCTCGCGTCTGGCGAGCAACATCACATGTGCACGCTCCACAAGTACATCGCGGACTGATTGTGACCGAATGCAGCTCGTCCCAGTAGGTTATGAGCTTGGTGTAGAAAGCGGATACAGACTGTTTCTCCTGTCTCATCGAGCCAATTGTTCTGCGGAGTTCGTATGTGTAGAAAGCGGATACGAACTATTTCTCCTGTCTCATCGAGCCAATTGTTCTGCGGAGTTCGTATGCCCTTGCTGCAGAACCCTTCCCGAATCGCTGCTGAAGATCAGCCCAAATATCTCTCGCGGTTTTGGCCGCACGTACACTGTTCCGAACTTCCTTACTCATAGCTGTTTTCAGCCATCCTTTCACAGTAGCATCACATCGTCCCCATGCATCGTCCCTAACCCCTGGACCTGCCTTGGATTGCGGAAAACTACCATCAACAAACACCAGTTTGTTCTTAGCGATTAGGGTTTCCGTCATATCGTTAATCCATTCACCGTAGTTTGAATCTGTCAAGAGATCACTCCCAAATAATTGGCCTGGATTCTCTGATGGGTGAAGATAGAGGGGCGAGGTCAGTGGAATAGTATCACCGTCGGTGACGACGGCCTTGCCACCCGAGCCACCATCTTCTCCAGTTGTCATAGTCGCTTAAATCAGAGTGAGATCACGACCTGCTCTGATACCATGTAAAATCTACTAGAAAGCGGAAGCACAACACAACGATTTACGTGGTTTCCCCGTTCTGTAAGAACGAGACTACTCCACGGAGAGCCGAAGCTCTCAGTTTTCTCTTATTATGTTTGCAGAATATGAGCTGCACTCAATGGAGTGCTCGGCTACAAAACCCTCCTAATATACCCTTTCCACAACGTCACTAGGGCAATTAGGTTAGAGAGGCAAATAACAGAAAAGGTCCTCAAAGAAGAAAAGGAGTACAAGAAGATACACGGTTCAACAATTAATAATTTTGATTTGGGTGGATTCTGCCAGCTTTGACAGCCAGTTTTTTTTTATCGAAGGAAGGCAGCGCCCCTATCAGTTTATTATAATATTCCTGGGCTCTGAAAGGCCCTGCTTTTCATGCAAAATCAAGTGATTCAGTCGTCTATGATCGATTGGGATACAGTGGAGTCCAATATCAAGGGTATGCCCCAAATTGGCCAAAAAGTCTGTACATTTATTTTCTTCCCTGTAGATGTGTTGAATGTCGACGTCCCATTGCTTCAAGAGCAGCTCTTGTGCTTTGCTCAGCACCCCCGCTTGAGCAGGGTCTCTGTAGTCCTTTACCTGGAGAAGTTTGACTGCAACTTGTGAGTCAAGTTGAAGCTGCACGTTGAAGTATCCCTCATTCCAAGCCGCTTGGAGCCCCATAACAGCTCCATGGAGCTCAGCTGCAGTGATAGAACAAATTCCCAAATTACAGGCAAAAGCCCCCAAGTAGCGACCGACCTGATCTCTGCGTAAGCATCCTGCAGAAGCGTCACCTGAATTTTGCAGAACCGAACCATCACAATTGATAGCGATCCATTGTCGTGGAGGGGGGATCCATGCTATCTCAGCAACCTGCCGCGATGGGGCGGGGGTGTGGTGCAGGGCCTGATCCTTTTCCATAGCACTTTTGATAATCACGAGCCATTCATTGATCCGTCTCATGAAGCCATCCTTCGTCGCTGTCTTACCCTCGAAAACAAGTTCATGGCGAGCCTTCCAAAGCGCCCAGCAGGTTGCACCAAAACGCAGGCTGCAGTCGAGGTTGCTGAGGTTATTCTGTAGCCACATTTTGCAATCGGTGGCGAAGAAAATAGGCTGGTTTTTCGGCTTAATAATGGTGCACCAAACTTCCCTTGCTAGTTCACAATCCCTCAGAAAATGTATCACTAATTCGAGTTGATCTTCACATTTGATGCATTTATCCGAGCTGGAGAGGTGTCTACGTTGCCTTTCAGAGTTGGTCAGAAGCCTACCTTTAGTAGCAAGCCAGAGAAAGAAACGAATTTTGGCAGGCCCCTGCCATTTCCAAACAAGCTTCCAATTGCCCTGCTGGGGATTCGCCACATAACTGGTAGCGATGTCATAAGCTGTGCGGATCCACAATTGCCCTGTTGGACACCAGCAATTCGAAGCACCAGTGTAGTCAAAATCGCGCTTTAAAGCGTAAAATCGTACGATTTTACGTTTCTAGGGTAGGAAAACGTTTCAAATCACCATTAAAATCATTTTTTATTCAAAATCGGTCAAAATCATGGTAAAATCGTTGAAATCGGTAAAATCGGATAAAAACACGTTTTTATACCGTTTTTGTACGATTCCAAGCAAAGGAGCAAAACTGTCTCCTCTCACCAAAACGACGTCGTTTTTATTTTGAAAAAAAAAGTCGGGCTGCCAAAAGAGAGAAGGGCTCGGCTGAACCCTAATTCATCTCCATCTATCTCCTCCAGCGCCGCAGGGCTCTCCCACTCCACCCTTCTCGTCATCGGCCGCCGCCTGTCAACAATCGCCCAGCCGCCACCCTTCGCCAATCGCCCGGCCTCCTCCCGTCGCCAAGCTGTCGGCCCGCCGCTACCCCTCAGCGCCTCGTCGCCCGCCGCCGCACTAATCCGTCGCCCGTAGCTCGTCGGCCGGTGCTCTTCGCCGTCGGCTGTAGCTGGTGGTCGTCACCCACTCGCCCGTAGCAAGCCTCCAGGTATAAACTATAATTCTGTCTTTGTGTTTGTAATTTTTCCGTGTAGGATTTGATTTAGAAGTTGAGATTTTGTGTTTGTAATTTTTCCGTGTCAGAGCTTCAAAAATTTGCTCTCCGAGTGTTGAGTTTGACTTGTATTGCTTCTGGGTGCGAGCGTAATTGGAGTGCATTTGAGAGGGTAAGTAATAAATTGCCTCTATTTTCTTTTCATCATATCATTCATTCTTTTTACATGTGAATATGTGGTGATGTGAACTCTTTTACTTGTAGATTCATACTAAGAAAAAGAACAATTTGCGTGCACAAAAGATGAATGATCTTGTGTATGTTATGTGCAACAACAAATTGGTGGGCGGGAATGCCAAGAAAGCAAGAAGGCTTGAGATTGACTTTGAGGATATAAATTCTGATAATGAATGGATTTGTGCTAGTGATAATGAAGAAGGAGAACCACAATCTACAGATTTAGAGGTTGGTGGTGAGGAAGGTGGTCATACTATTGAAGGTGGTGATGATGCTATTGGTGTTGATGCTCGAAGAGATGAGGGTGATCATGAATATAATAGTCCACTTGATGTTGATGGCAATGGTGGTGATGATGATAATGATGATGATTTGGATGCAAATGTGGAAGCCGATGAATTGTTATAGTTTTCCTTCTATCCTTTGTAACATTTGTGGGCTTTGATTGTGAGGACTTGGATTATTAAACTCATATGTCATTATGTAAACTTAAACCAGCTTGTGAGAATTTGGATTCTTAACTCGTTTGTGGCTTACGATTTATGTTTATGACCTTATTATTAAGATGTTATGAGTTTGTTCTAATTTAGACATGAATTGCATGTATTTTTTCTTTTATCTAAACTCTGTGAACTCATATTTTACATTTATGCCGTACTTAACATTATTTTAACTATTATACAGGATGCATCAAAAACTTACGCTTTTATGCTTTGATTCGCCGCTTTTCGATTTTACCCCTTTTCCGCTTTTAGGTAGAATCGCGCTTTTAACTGCATTGCGAAGCACCATCTCTTCCGGTAGAAAATTCCTCATCCTCTCCAAATCCCATTCCCCACTTGATTGAGCGAAGCTTGCCATGCATTGGTCCTCTTCCAGCTCATCAATGTGAGGTAAAACATGGTCAGCAAGACATTCACCAGTTCCAAGCCATCGGTCTGTCAAGAAGGAAGTAGACTTACCATCCTTGATGGCCATTTCCATACCTGCCGTCATCACTGGCCATGCGCGCTGCATCCCCCCGCCAAAGGTTGGATTGTCTCATTGATGCTTTAAACCTCAGGTTGCCTCCCTCATTTTGAAATATTTTGATTGCAAGACCTGAACCCATAGCTCTTCCGGGTTCTTTAGAAAGCGCCAGTTCAACTTTGTGAGGTAAGCTAAATTGAGCTCATGAGCTTTCCGAAGTCCCAGTCCGCCATCTTCTTTCTTCCTACAGACTCCCTCCCAATGAACCAGATGAAGTTTCCTCGCTTATGGGGTGGATCTCCAAATTAATCCTCTGATTCGCTTGTCAACTTCATCGCATATAGAGATAGGTAAGAGCGTTGTCAGCATAGCATAAGTCGGAAGAGAGCATAAGACTGATGTGGCTAGGGTGACTCTTCCTGCAAGAGTTAAATTCCTAGCTTTCCAACCCGAAAGCTTAGAATTGATTCTGTCCAGAATGTAGTGATAAGTGTCCTTCGTGACTCGTCCGTGCGACACTGGGACACCCAGATATCTTCCAAGGTCCTGAGTAGCTGCCATTCCCAGTATGCTTGTTGTGTTGGAACTGATGGCTCGATTGGTATTCTTTGAGAAAAATACCACCAATTTTTCCCTGCTGACAAGTTGTCCAGAGGCTTGACAGAAAGTTTCGAGGCACTCCATGACCACTACAGCTTGATCAACGCTTGCTTGGGAAAATAAAATAAGGTTATCTGCGGAAAAAACATGAGAAAGTTGTGGTCCTCCAGGATTAAGGCGGATTGATTTCCACTTCCCCTGATCGATGGACTCTTGAATGAGGTGACTGAGCTTATCCAAACAAAGAGTGAAAAGATATGGTGACAAAGGACATCCCTGCCTTAGACCTCTAGATGGTTTGAACTCTTCAGTATTCTGACCATTCCAGAGTACCTGCATTGTTGGTGAGGTAATACAGGCCATAATAGCGTCAATCAGCTTCGTTGGCAGGCCTATCTCAGTGATCACCTCCTTGACAAAATTCCAACTCAATCTGTCATAAGCTTTAGTTAAGTCGGTCTTTAGAGGCATCTGCCCTTTCCTACCCTTCTTCACCCCCATGGAATGGACTACTTCTTGCACGATGATTATATTGTCTGATATGTGCCTGCCAGGTACAAAACTGATTATATGTGGAGGAATGCTTCAGGGAACCAGAAATAATTTCTCAGGTAAATGAAACCTTACTTGTCCTCATCCCCAAAAAAGAAGCTCCTGAATCCCTTCTCCAGTTTCGACCCATTGGATTATGTAATGTGGCTTACAAAACTTTGGCGAAGTGTTTGGTCAACCGGATGATAACTATCCTTCCCCGGAGCTTTTAAGTTCCCCATGCTTTTGATTGCTTGGATGATCTCATCTCTAGCTATGGGGCGCTCAAGTCCAGTATAGGTAGAAGCAGACAAGGCTGTGAATCCCTTGGGCAGCCATGGTGAAACTCCCAATTCAGCATGGTAGAGAGTTTTGAAAAAGGATACAACCATACCTCGCAATTTAGTCTCATCAAAAATCCAATGGCCTTCACTGTTCTTCAACCCCAAAATGCAATTGAAGCGCTGACGTTTAAGGGTCGACAGGTGGAAGAACCTTGTGTTGCGATCCTCTTCCACTATCCAAGTAGCTCTGGATTTTTGGAGCCAGAAAACTTGCTCTTGCCATAGCGCTAATTCTAGCTCACGACGGGTTTCCTCTTCGGCGCGGTGTGACTCCTCGGTGGGGGACATCTCGTTATCCATCTTGATTTGTCGTAGTCGACGCGCTAGTCGCCTCTTTCATTGTAGGATGTGCCCAAAGACCCTCCGATTCCACACCTGCAGAGCGCTGGTTAGTTTCCCCATTGAGGTCGGTAGACTTCCAGATTGGTTCCAATTCTCCTCCATGACCCGGTGAAAATCCTCATGAAAAGCCAAGAAACTTGGAAGTGATAAGGTCGAGGAATTTTGTTGTTGTTGGCAGCCCCCTCCGCTTGAATTAAAATGGGCTTGTGATCCGACCCAATTCTCTCAAGGTGGGTGTTTGAGTCTTTGTTGAAGTAGCCCTCGACGCCAAGTAAAACGGGGCCCAGAGAAACCCACATCGAACAATTCACATCCATCAATACAATTCCTGAAAGCCCTGCTGCGAGATTCATTATAATCGTCCCCCCTGTACGATCTCTAGGCCGTAGGATTGAGTTGAAATCACCAGCAAGAAGCCATGGTAGCTTTATGTTCCTAGCCAGTCTATAGATCTCTGACCATAAATCTGCCCGTCGCGCCACTGTCGGGCTGCCATAGCACGCAGAGATCAGAACTGCCTGGTTTGAACCATCCCTTCTCTCACAATGAAAATGGATCATTTGTTCTCACACAGAGATGGGCGAGATTTTTAAATCATGTTTTTGCCAGAGAACCCAAATTCCACCAGCAAAACCAATGGCTTCCGTCACCAAAACACCATCGAAACCCATTCTAGCAATGACCTGTTCTGCAGCGGCACCACTAATTTTGGGCTCGATAATAATTAGAATATCCGGCCTAGAAGGCCTGTAGAAAGACTCCAAAGTAGATAAAAACGCATCCTTACCTGCCCCGTTGTAGTTCAACGCAAGAACACTTAACATGGAGAAAGTGTTAGAAGGTGAAACTTACCCCGCCGTCAGCCGAGCTGACAATCAAGAGTCGATGCTTGGGGTTCTAAGACCCCATACCCCATAGGGGTCGTGTCATGATTACCAGGTAGCAAAGTAGTGATAGACTGCTTCACCCCGACTTGAGTTGGTTCCTTTCTGTTCTCTTTCCCTCCGGGCTCAACGCCGGTTTGATTCAAAATATTCTCCGATGGAGTCGTACCCTTCCCATTCTTCTTCGAAACTTTCTGGTCTGCAACGGCTTTTAGTTGGCCTTTCTTCGCAACACCTTTTGATGCGATATCGACTAGCACGATATTTAATTCCCGTAGTCCAAAAATGAAGATTCAGATTATACGATATAAGGATCAATTGGGATCGTTCTTGATGGATAAACCCACCCAATATCTTGGAGCTGGCCACGTGGGGATTAATTGCATGGCTGGGACGTGTTTCATTACATGGAATTGGATGGCTCATCATTAATTATTCCGGGAAGAAGTTTGGTGGAGTGGCAATTATCAAATTGAGAATTACATGGTGGGTTATTCACGTGAAGCATTAGCATGGAATAATGGTTGGTTGTTTAATGCAAAGGAATCCAATTTCGTCCTAGAAATGGAAAAGGAATGGACGCGCAGTGACTCGGAAGATCCAGCACGTGACAGTTGGAGTTTTATTGTTTTCATTATTGTTTTAGCTGTCTAGGAGTTTAATTAATAGTTTGAGTCCTTATTTAAGTAGTACAATGTTTCCTAGTTAGTTTGGGATTTTTTTTCCTATTCTTTTTAGGTTAGTTTTATGTTTTTGAGACCTCTATAAATAGAGGATGTAAGAGCTACGAATTTGGTACACATTATCCAAGTTATTAATCAAAGTTGAGTTCTAGTTCATTGTGAACGAGTTCTTTTGTGCAAGACTTCTGTCGAGGATTCCAGGAGATTGTACGTGTCTCTTATCAACTAGAGAATGCGTCTAGTTGTGGCTAGCATCTACCCTATATCAATTGCCCCTTTCCACGAGTTGATTCTGTCTGATTGGTTTAATATACCAATTGCCCTTTGTCACGAGTTGGGATTGTCCGATTGATTCTGCATCTATCTTTATTTTCGTATTCAAGAAAAGCTTCGAAAATCCTTAAAAAGAAGGAAGACTGCGTACTTTGGTCATATAATCCGAGTTCGAGGATTCTCTTCGGATTTGGATCACATCAAGTGGTATCAGGAGCTCGGTTCAAATTAAGTGGCGATTTGAAGATTATTGGTTCAAACTCAGTGGTGATTTGAAGAGCCCGGTTCAAACTCAGCGGCGATTTGAAGATTACCGGTTCACACTTAGCAGCAGAAAAAAGAGAATGGAGCAAAATCAACGAACGATGGAGATGATGAAGCAAATGTTTAAGATGACAGAAGTTATTCTTCAAGGATTAAAGGGGAATAATGCGCCAGCAACAATAATCCAACCTGAAGCTCATTTGACGATAGGGAGTCCAAATCCAAAGCAAGATCTTGAGCAAATGGAGAATAAATTTCAAACGAGATGCTTAGTGGATGGTAAGCTACTATCGGTTTTGATTGATGGAGGGAGTTGCACTAATCTGGTGAGTGAATATTCAGTGAAGAAATTGGGGTTAAACACATTGCAACATCCGAAACCCTACACTCTTCAATGGCTTAATGAAGATGGATCAATTGAGGTCACCAAGCAAGCCATATTAAAGTTTGAGATTGGAGATATAAAGATGAAGTCCTTTGTGATGTGGTGCCAATGGAAGAGGCTCATGTTTTGCTTGGAAGACCATGGCAGTTTGATCGAAATGGACAACAAGATAAAGTCACCAAGAAGTACAAGTTGTCGCATAGAGGTCAAAAGTTTGTATGAAAGCCTTTATCTGCCAAAGAAATCTATAAGGATCAATTTCATATGCAACAAAATTTGAAGAAGGAAAAAAGAGTTTCAAGCCAAAGTAGAAGAGGAAGTCAGAGAAGACGTGGAAGAGAAAGAAGAGGTTCTTGTTGATGGTCTTACTATAGTCACTTGTGAAGAGGATTCACAAGCTTTGATTTCATCTCGCGAAGAATCAAAACTTGAAGTAGAATAGAAAGTCTAAGAAGAGGCAGAAGAAGTAAAAGGAGATATTCTTGTTGAAGTTCCAGATTTGAGTGCGCAAGAAGTTAAACAATACATCGAGGAATCAAAATTTAAAGGCGGAGATGAATGCTTGGAAATTATGGAGCATTCACCAATAGTTCCCAAAGTTTCTCATATTGATTTTGTGATTGGTGATGCAATGTTAGAAGAGGCAGCCCGCCTGGAGAATCATCAAGAAATTCAGCGCTACATGGAGAGTTTTCATCATTATAGCGTTTATGCAATTCGTGGGCGAATTGTTCTTAAGAAGGGGGGAATAATACGATCCTCAACAATAAAATTTTGTTGGAAGAGCAAGAAGAGTGGCGCTTATCAAGGATCGAGATTCTACAAAGATTCGAGGTCGAATCTTCTTCAAGAGAGAGGGAATGATGTGATATCGACTAGCACGATATTTAATTCCCGTGGTCCAAAAATGAAGATTCAGATTATACGATATAAGGATCAATCGGGATCGTTCTTGATGGATAAACTCACCCAATATCTTGGAGCTGGCCACGTGGGGTTAATTGCATGGCTGGGACGTGTTTCATTACATGGAATTGGATGGCTCATCATTAATTATTCTGGGAAGAAGTTTGGTGGAGTGGCAATTATCAAATTGAGAATTACATGGTGGGTTATTCACGTGAAGCATTAGCATGGAATAATGGTTGGTTGTTTAACGCAAAGGAATGCAATTCCGTCCCAGAAATGGAAAAGGAATGGACGCGCAGCGACTCGGAAGATTCAGCACGTGACAGTTGGAGTTTTATTGTTTTTATTATTGTTTTAGCAGTCTAGGAGTTTAATTAATAGTTTGAGTCCTTATTTAAGTAGTATAATGTTTCCTCGTTAGTTTGGGATTTGTTTTCCTATTCCTTTTATGTTAGTTTTATGTTTTTGAGACCTCTATAAATAGAGGATGTAAGAGCTACGAATTTGGTACCCATTATCCAAGTTATTAATCAAAGTTGAGTTCTAGTTCATTGTGGACGAGTTCTTTTGTGCAAGACTTCTGTCGAGGATTCCAGGAGATTCTACGTGTCTCTTATCAACTAGAGAACGTGTCTAGTTGTGGCGAGCATCTACCCTATATTAATTGCCCCTTTCCACGAGTTGATTATGTCCGACTGGTTTAATATACCAATTGCCCTTTGTCACGAGTTGGGATTGTCCGATTTATTCCGCATCTATCTTAATTTCCTTATTCAAGAAAAGCTTCAAAAATCTTTAAAAAGAAGGAAGGCTGCGTACTTTGGTCATATAATCCGAGTTCGAGGATTCTCTTCGGATTTGGATCACATCACCTTTGCTGGCATGCATGGCGGTGCTAGAGACCACTTTGACGTTATGGTATTTGGTCGACAGGGCCATCCCCTGCTTGATAGGGACATCAACAAGTCCCGTCTGTTGTGGTGGGTCCACTAACATTTGAGATGGCAGAGGATATGTCCTGACTTGTTCATCCAGTGCTTTTCGTGTATCCATGACGTTTGAAATGTCGGTTGGTGCTTCAGTTTCTCCCGCCAGTGCTTCATTGGCTTCCTCCACTTCTAAACCTTCAAACCTTGATCCCGAACTAGTCTTTTTTGCTGGAGTTTCCACAAACTCGTTAACCGGCTGAGATTTGAGATTTTTATTTCTCTCCGCAGAGCTGCCCTGCTTCTTGTTATTTTTTCCTTTGGACTTAGCTATCATCCAGTCACCATATAGTGGGTTGGATGTCTCCGTAGTTTTCACAGCTTGGGGTTCTTCTACCATGGGGGATGGTGTCCTTGCGAGCGATGGGCAGGTCTTGCTCGAGTGGCCATATCGGCCACATTTGCCACAAATCGTATGGAGCCCTTCAAACTCAATGTAATAAGTTTTCCCTTCAATCTTGTATTGCGAGAGTAGAGGCTTTGTTAGATCAACCTCAACGATGACTCTTGCAAATCGACCGATAGCACACTCTTTGATTGCACGGTCCACCCTGATTGGTTTTCCGATGCGGGTAGCGATACGCTCAACCGCTTCTTCGTTGAAAAATTCAACTGGGAGGGCTGGTAACCTAGCCCACACCATAGTTCTAGCAACTTCAGCTGTCTTAGGATCAAAGTTTTTCCCCCATGGTCGTACAGTAAGGTAGTATTAACCTATCATGTATGGCCCGCCCACGAGCGCTTGCTCATAATCGATCTGACTTGCAAATCTAATTGCATAGAAACCCCCGATAGACTGGTTATCTGAATGCTACCACATTTAGCCCATAGGTATTCCAGTCGCCGAGATAGGATGGGAAACGGAAATGTTTTCCCTAAAACCTTAACGATCAGGGCTGGTCGCCATTTGCGTCTGTAACGTAGCTTTTCCATTGATGAGAAAGGGATGGTAGGGCAGGTCGGGTCATCATTCTCAGGAACCTCATCATCCAAATCATCCTCCTTCATTGCCATACCCACGTCCTCAGAATCAGAGTCTGCAACGTACCATGAGTCCTCTATTAGTATGTCACTAAACAGCTTCTTCTTCGTCCCTGTCCCCCAAGCTAAATGCGGAGCAGATCTCGGACTCGCAGCTTGGTTGTCGACAACGTTCGTCGTCTCTCTGGATTGTTGCACGGTAGTGGTATCTTCCATCATCGGAGCTGGTTCATAGAGCGGGTTCTCTTGAACGTTTTTGCCTTCTTTTTGGGATGCTGAGCCTCCTTGTCGTCATGGCCATTTTGAGAAGAAGACATCACGGGTGATTGCCTTTGCCCTCCGTTAGGGTCTGGTGGTCGCGGTGCGGGGGGCTGGGCCCTTTGGCCGGCGCCCTGCATGAGCCGGTGTTGCGCTAGGGTTTTTCGCCGATCACGATGTCGCCGTCTCCGAGAAACTCAGAGCGCTAGGGTATCTCCTTGTAAAAAACCAAATATTTGACAGCCATCTAATACATGCAGTAACCAATGTTTTAGTTTTACAAACAGTACTATAGACGGAAATTCGAGTATCATTGAAATTAGGTGTGGCTATACGGTCCGGTCCGGTTAAATTGGCCTAAATTGATACGGTCTCAGTCCGGTCTTTTAGAGAATATAAGGACCAAAGATTGGATTGGATACAGTCCGGTCTTGAACCGGTCCGGTTCGAATTTGGTCTTGATTTTAGATTGAGATTGTGGGGATTTGAGTGGCCTGAGGGGGGATTTGAGTGGCCTAAGCCTGAAAGGGTGAGGAGGTTAAATTTTGGGTGTTGTGCTCTCTTATCCGGTCTTTATTCGATTTTCGGTCCGATCTCAAACAGTTTTTTACCTCAAATCTAGGACCGAAGATTGGATTGGATTGTTTGCTATCCGGTCCCGATCCGGTGTCGATCCGGGTTATACGGTCTGGTTTTGAGTAAAACCAAATAACCCTGACCAAATAGCCAGTCCTAATTGAAATGGTTGAATCATAATTATGACATAGAATTTTACCGTTGACTTTTTTTTCAGTACAACTTCCGATAGAGTTTCACAATTCTTTCATAGCAACTACCAAATATTCAGAGGTGTAGTATTATCCCTGAAAAAAGAATAGTGTACCATTCCCAAGTTAGTCAACCAGTTATTTTCTTGGCTAAACTTCTCGTGTACTTTTCCCAAGTTAATCAACCAGTTATTTTCTAGGCTAAACTTTTCGAGCAATCGCTCAAACAACATATGAAGATACATTTATTTTAATTTTTAAGCAATCGTCCCTCTGGAGTGAGTTCTGCACGCATATTTCTTGATGCAATTGATCAAATCGTTTGCAGTCTCTATACCTGAAACAATCGATCACTCCAAGATCAGCAATCATTACAATCTACACCATTATATTCATCAACCAAAAAGACGCAGTGAGATTGGAAGTGGATTTACCTGAGAAATAAGCTCCAGTGGCAAATCCCATGTACTTTTCATTGGTGTACTCCCCTGTAAAGTACACTGGACCAACTGGGTCCTGAATTGTAAACATCAATACCAACAACCTCAGTTCACGATTGTTCCAGTCATTAACTGTTCAATCTATTTTGACAGAAAAAAATAAAGGATGAACTAAGTAATGACCTTTAAATATTGGAACTCCTTTTTGGTGTAACGGGGCGGCCAATTTGCAAAGCTCCCCTTCACCAACCTGTTCCTCGACCATCTGGTGACAAGTATGGCCTCTGGTTCAGGAATTTTATCCCCAAACATCTTCCTCAGAACTTTCATTGCCTCCTCCTGGGTCGCTTCGTCCGATTGCCTCTCGATCCTCATCGATTCCTCGCCCGTCACCGTTACGTAGAGTATGTTGGATCCAGGGTACTGGTTCTCCAGATGCTACAACAAGAAACAGCAACAATGAGCTAGGGACATCTATTCAGTTGAGAGAATGTTGTAAAAATTTCTACCTTCCATATAGGGTAGTATCCACGCTGCTCATGTGCGTAGAGGAAGATCTCGGATCCGGGGTCAGTAGGCCAAAAGTAGAAAGGGAACTTGAGGAATATCTTGGTGTAGCCAGTCATTGTGAAATCTGATATCGCCAATCTCTTCCACATCTGGATTTCACGTACGCATCCAGACAAATCAGGTGAGTGGGTGTAAGAATTTCACTTAATTCAGTATCAGGTGATGGGGAGGGAAGAATGAATAACAGGATTCCTAACTGGGAGCTCAGGCTTGAAGGAAATGAGGTTGCTCTGGAGAACTCCTAGGCTCACTGAAACAATGGCGTATCTAGCCTGGAAAATCGACCCGTCCTCTGTCATCACAGTCACTCCTTTCTTAGAATATGTAATCTCTCTAGCCACCTGAACCGCAGAGTCACAAACAATGAGATCACAATATCTCCATGTTAATCAGCAGCCAGAATAGGATGATTAGATAGATGACCATTTCTTTTTCTTGGTTACCTTATTAATCTTCAGCCTGGGATCTCTTTTGTCCAAGAACTGATCTGCAATATGATGAACCATAATCTCGAACCCTCTCGGGTCACTAACGAAATAGACGTTGGTACCATGATCTACGAGCTCGTGCCTCGGATGCTTGTGCTTCGTGCTCGTCATCTGTGGCGCCTGGCCGTCTTTATAGTCGTTGTTGTAGTAGTCCGCCACCATTTCAAGAGGCGTCGATGGGACCCTGAAAAAAAAAACACGGTCGAAACCCAGACAAATACACAGTACCATTTTACTTGTGAATCAAGCAACATAATCTTTACTATCTTTAACAAGAACAAACAAGCAAGTGACATTAGTGATTGTTTACTTTTTATGAAGGTGGTACGCCCCAAGAACAGAAATATCATGGTCATGTTCCGGGACAGCATTCAGTACAGCAGAGAGATTCGCGCATAACCGTTCCCTGGCCTTGCCTGCTGCGAATGCTTCTTCGACTTCTGATTTCGAGTACAATCCGCCGCTGTAACATGAAACTTCAACATGTTGAGAAGCCAAGAAACATGGTTGGGGTGATGACTGATGAGATTTGGAGGCTTAATTGTTTACTCTTGTTTGTAGGTGTTGGACGAAATGTTCCAAAACTCGGTGGTATGAGTACGGAGCTTGATGGATTTGGCAATGTCGACCAAGGGGCTCTGCTGAGGCCCTCCTTCGGAGAACCAGGCCGCGCCCATCTCCATCGCATACCCACCAAATGTAGTCTTGTGAAGCCTGCCGCCGATCTTTGGGGTGGCTTCAAGGATCAGCAACTCCCTGATACCTGCGTCACTCAGTTTCTTTGCTGCTACCATTCCTTCAAACAACAAAGGGATGATGGTGGTGAGGGATATGTTAATATGTTACCATAAAATCGACGAAACGAAACTACGAAAAATGGCTAGGTGAAGATCACCTGATAATCCAGCACCAATAATGATAACGGAGGCAGCGGAGGGTGATGGGGGAGGAGGAGTTTCTGCTGCTGAAACCAGCAGAGGAATCAGAAGAAGTGTTACCAGAATAAGCTGCTGCTCCATGTTCAAATGTGTGTTTGGATTTGGAAGCATAATGAGCCCACCACGTTTTTTCACCTTACAAATACGTGCATTTGTTAGGTCACACACACGAACTTTCTTCCCTTGGTGGAGAGATTATTGAAATGATCTGAATTAGGACATGTGATGTGCCTGTTGTGCAGTTGAATCAGTATCTTTGGCTCTTCTGCAAAACAATTAACAAAGTCGGCACCACAAAAAAAAAAAAAAAAAAAAAAAGCGCACTTTTGTGCTCGTTTCTTTTTTTGCCAATCATGTGTCTGTCGTTTGGAACCTGCAACATGGTCATATGACATTGTAATTTGAATGTCCATATCCAGCAATCATGGAAGAAACACGAAGTTCATGCCATGTTGCCGCTCTGCCATATCCGGGTCATGGCCACATCAATCCGATGATCAATTTCTGCAGGGAACTGGTTTTCCAAGTCAGCAGATACTTCGATTCTCATCACCACTCGGACTTTTTAGTACTGCAGACACTTTAGGGAATAACAAAATTCGTTTGAGAACGATACCTAATGTGATCCCATCCGAGCTGGGTTCGAGCTGCTGATATGGAGAAGTTCATCGACGCCATCAATACCAAGATCGACCCCTCACTTCGCGCAGCTGCTTGATCAGTTCTCGGAGCCACCACCTTCTCTTATCATGGCTGACAATTTCCTGCCCTAAAGTCCGAGTGGTGAAGGAAGAAGGGAGCGCGCCGGTGGGGAGAGAGCGAATAGCAGGGATTGTTGAGGAATTCATGGATGAATAGAGTGACTAGGCTCCAGTGTAAGGTCAGAGATGTGGGTTCGGTAGGAAAATCGACGGTCGCCGGCGTGGAATGCTTTCTCAGGGGCATTTCATCGAGCACGTGCTAGGCATAGACATTTGGGAGAAAACAGAGCTTACTCCTTAGCGACACCGGAAGGAAGTCGGAAAATAAGGTTTCGGCTCAGTTTGCTAGTAGCAAAGCTATAGGAGTTAGTCAGTTTTTTTTTTTTTTTCAAAAGATATCATATATTGATCAAAACAGAAGATAATTACACCGTGGAAACCAGCAAGGGGACAGGTTACAATCATCGTGGTTACTAAGGGCAAATTGGGTATAACAAAAAATTTATTAATGATCTTTTTTAATAAATTACATTTTAGGAAATTACATAAATATATTAAATACAATTCTCTCTCTCTCACTTCCACAATTTTTCAGTCAGATCTCTCTTCCTTCTTTTTCTCAATCTTTCCTTGATTTCGTTGCTGCAACAACAAAACAATAAATCAATACCAATCCATTAAAAAATACTATCATTGTACAAAACATCAATACCATTCAAGAAATAAAAACACTACCATTTCAGAAAACATCAATACCATTGCAGATTTAATCACTACCAATGTAACAAAATCAATACCAATGTAACAAAATCAATACCAATGCGACAAAAATAATACCAATGCGACAAAAACAATACCAATACGACCATAACACTACCACTACGGGGGGAAATGACTACCATTTAAAAAAAATGACTACGGAAAAAAATGACTACCATTGAGGTAAGCCTTCACCTCCGGTATACCAGAACCGGCGGCAGGCGGAGCTATGAATGCCGTGATGATGGTTGCAAATAGAGTCAATACCAAGTTGATCGGAGAGGGGAAGGGGTGGAGGCGATGGCGGATTTGATGGCGTCGGAGAGTGCGGTGGAGTGCGAGACGTTAAATAAATCATAGCAAAGAAAAGCTAGCAAGCCTTAATTTCATTATGGATTCAAGAATAGAGGCGTAGCAGAGATAAACATACCTGTCGTGTAGTTGGATCGCTCATTTGATACATACCTGGCGGGGAGTGCGAGACGTCGAGGAAGGCGTCGGAGTCGGCCGGGAAGGCAGAGCCGACGAGGCGGAGGTTGATCGAGAGCGGGAGTGACAGGGAGAGAAGGGAGGAGACGACGGCTAGGTATTAGGGTTTGAGTAAAATATATACAGTAATCAGGTGTGGTATGTTTTTCATTTCCTAAATTACCCTTAGCTAATCTTAATCATTAAATTAAAATTATAATAAAATAAAGATAATGAATGGTATAGATGTTGGTAGCCACCGTGATTACTCAAAATTGAGTAACCACCCTAACCTATTCCAACCAGCCAGGTCTGAAAATCAAAGAAGCGACTCATAGTCGGATACAAAGAGAGGGCTTTCCTAGCTACCAAATGAGCTACCCTATTGTTCTCCCGACCTACAAAACGCACACTAAAGCCAGGCTGAGCATGAAAATAATGAACAATCTCTTCCAGAACAGCACCCAACCGGCTATCTCTTGTGTCGGCCTGATTAATTTTGTCAATTATCACCTTCGCATCACCCTCAAATCGGACCTCCGACAAACCTTGCTCCACACACCAAATAATAGCATCCCTAAGCACAAGCATTTCCACCACTGCAGGATCATCCATTTGAGCAAACTGGACCCCTCTAGCCAGAAGGAGGGTCCGTGTTGGGTCAAACAGAACCATCCCACCAGCCGAATGAGACCCACCCTTAGTAGCCCCGTCCCACATACAAACATAATGGGAATCATCCAATTATGCTGTAGAGTGCATTATCGGTGTTTGAACCCTAGGCGCCTGATCCGCTGGGAGACCCACCCATTCCTCATATTGTTGGTGAAACTGGCGTATGAGAGCTGGGATCCCAAATTTTTTGCCTTCAAAGACCACCCAATTACGAGATCGCCAGATCCTCCAAAGGATGGCAACAACCGCCATAACCACAGACGGTTGCTGGATCAAGCCCAACAGGCGTTTGAGAAACAAAGGAAAAGTATGCCAAGGCAAACCCTCTCCCAAGTATTCCAACCCAGAATAATCCCAGAGAGCTTGCGCCACTGGACAATAAAGGAACAAGTGTTCCATTGTCTCCGGGCCATCCCAACAAACTAGACACCGAGGAAGCACCTGGACCTTTTTCTCAATAAGCACCTCCATAGTCGGCAGAGCCCGATTAAGGATTTGCCAAACAAACACCTTCAACTTTGGAGGGATCTTAGCCTCCCAAACTCTGATCCAACTCGGCTTATCCATCCAGCTAACTGAGGACCGCCACCCCCCTCCTCCTGTCCAAATCGACAGCCAAATGATAAGCCGTCTTAACCGAAAAGACCCCGTCAGTCGTAAAATGCCAGATAAGTTTATCAGGCACATCCCAACGCGGGAGGGGAATAGCTTTAATAACCTTGCAGGTGGGCGGGTCAAACCATCGGTTGAGCATTTCATCAGACCACCCCCCCCCCCCTCCCCCCTCACTAATTACCTCCGCCACCAAGGGATCACCCCCCTCAGGCAAGATCCGGGGATTATAGGTTGGGGGGATCTGACTGATACCTAGGAATCCAGTTAGAATGCAGAAGGGAGGCCGATTGACCATTGCCAACCTGCCATCTCAAACCTCTTTACAATAACTGACGCCCATGAAGAATACTTTGTCACCCCCAAGAGCGTCGATATCTAGCAGTTGCAGTTAGGAAAGACCCTTGAGGGAAATACTTGCCTTTATACACCTGAGCAATAAGAGTGATGGTTCATTAAGGATACGCCAGCCAATCTTAGCCAAAAGAGCTTGATTGAAATGTTCGAACTGGCGAAATCCCATCCCCCATCATGCTTACTGCTGCACATGTTACGCCAGGACACCCATCTAATCTTGGGATTCCCGTCCTCCGCACCCCACAAAAAATGGGCCACATGCTTATCTAAAAGGCGACAAAGAGCCAGGGGAAGCCGGAAACATGACATAACATGAAGTGGAAGAGCCAACGCTATAGATTTGATTAAAGTTTCCTTAGCAGCCCACGACAATGTCCTTTGCTTCCACCCCTGAAGCCGCTCTAGGAGTTTTTCTTCCAAATATCTGAATGTAGCTGTTTTGGATCGGGCAACCAGCGTTGGAAGCCCCAGATATTTATCATGGACTCCCACCACACCAACCCCTAGAATCGTGGCCAAGAACTCCTGATCTGGCGTGGAAATATTTTTGCTAAAGCACACCGCCGATTTCTCCAAATTAACGCGTTGACCACTTAGCTCCTCATATTCATTCAACACCTCAATTAAGTTCTCGCACTCCTGCAGCGAACCGCGCAAGAATAAATAAGAGTCATCCGCGAAGAACAGATGCGAGATTCTTGGAGCACGAGGAGCTACTTTCACCCCCTCTAACTGTTTCTCCGTGATCGCCTGTCGGAGGAGAGCTGCAAACCCCTCAGTGCAGAGCACAAACAAAAGAGGAGAGAGCGGATCCCCCTGGCGAAGGCCCCTAGAGGCAGTGAAATATCCCGAGGGTGTACCATTCATTAGAATCGAGAAAGAGGAGGACCAAAGACATTCATGTATCCATCCTTGCCAGACAACATTAAAACCCATCTTATCCAAAACTGCAAGCAAGAAAGGCCATTCGACTCTATCATAGGCCTTTTCCATGTCAACCTTCAGAGCCATGTACACCTTCTTCCCTTGCGTTTTGATTTTCAGGTAATGCATTAGTTCATGTCCTATAAGGATATTATCAATGATCTGTCGATCCCTGATAAAGCCATTATGGCCCTCCGAAACGATCTGCTGGAGCATGCTAGCCAGCCGTTCAGCCATGATTTTGGTAATCACTTTGTAAACAAACTGGCAGAGACTGACCGGACGCAATTGTCTGATTGTTTCCACCGAATCCACCTTAGGGATCAAAGTGAGCCAGGTATGATTAAAACTCCGCAACATCCGACTCGAGGTAAAGAAGGAGATTACTGCTTCAACCACCGAAGTGCCCACAATATCCCAAAAAGCTTTAAAGAACTTCCCGGTGAAACCATCCGACCCCGGAGCCTGCTTCGATCCCATCGCAAAGACTGTTTGCCTAACCTCACCCGGCAAAACCTCCGCCGTCAACTGCGCATTCATTTGCGGAGTAACACTATGGGCAATCGGCAGGCTCGCCACCCTCTCGGCCATATTAGGGACCTGAGATTCTTAAGTAAACAAGGTCTGGTAAAAATTTGTGGCAATAGTAGCCTTCCCGGTCTCCTCAGTGACCTATTCCCCTTCCTCATTTCGAAGTCCGGAAACAAAGTTCCTCTTCCGCCGAGCCCTTGTGACTGTATGGAAGTAGGCAGAATTATGATCTCCTTTCTTTAACCATTTTACCTTTGATTTCTGTTGCCAGAACACCTCCTCTGCTTCCCACTAGCGGGATAGCTCCATCTCCAGCTTCTTGACCTCATCCCAATCCACCGGGCGGAGCAATTTTATCCTATCAATTTCGGCCTGAAGCGTCTTAATATTACGCAGGGAATTAGTCGTGCCCGCCCTACTCCAATCATACAGCAGATGACGGAGTTTCTTTAGGCGTTCCCACAGTCGAAACATAGGGGTGCCTTGGACCTCCTCCTGCCAGACATAGTTGACCATGGCCCTGACCTCCGGATTATCCGCCCATCGGGCATCAAAATGAAACAGCGGTCGACTAGTACGAACATATGGTTTATCAGCAAGGAGAAGAGCACGATGGTCTGACCCCTGATCTGTGAAGTGTTTGACTAGAGTCTCCGGGTATGTATCCATCCAAGACTGAGAGCTTATCGCTTTATCCAGACGTGCACGAATGCAAGCATCGCCCATGCGTTTATTAGTCCAAGTAAACCGATCTCCTTGGTAACCAGGGTCGTGGAGCCCCAGATCATGAATCAATTCGCGGAGACTAAAGGCTTGGGTAGCATTCCACTACCGCCCCCCATCTTTTTCACTCTCATGTAGAGTAGCATTGAAATCGCCTATGATCACATAAGGGTGAATGATACTCGCACAAACGTTTCGCAATTGATCCAATTGGGAAGCTCGAACAGCAACATTACAACTAATATAAACAAAGATCACAACATAAGAAAAATCTCCTTCATTAATTTGAGAACAAATATAGAAATTTGAATGACAAAACACCAAAGTGTCAACCCCGGGGGACCAAGCAACTACTAAACCTCCCGATGCATCCACTGCATCTACAAAAAAACAATGCGAAAGAGGAAAGCCTAAACCCCGCATACGACGGGACACTACACGCCGGCTCGATCGCGTTTCCGAAAAAAATACAAGATCCGGTTTATTATAATGAACCAGCCCTACAGCAGTGTGGAAAGTGAGGGATGACCCAATTCCTCTCACATTCCAGGACAGAAGCCTCATTTATCGACTGGGGGCCACTCAAGGCTGGCTTCCTCCACCTTCTCCAGAATATCAGTTGATTCCACAAATTGCTTCTTCGGGGTAGGGGGATCCCCCATCTCCCAATCCAACTCATCGAGCACACGCTTCCTGGTCTCCACCGATCTGTCCATGAGATTAGACCCATACTCATTGAGATTCGAGCGAGGCCCATTGATAGGTACATCCTCCTCTTTCTCAAAGACCAACCCAGCCTCAAAAGCCTCAACCACTTGGTGGACTCGCCCAGTCAAGACTTTACGAGTCTCCATGGAGACCCCACCTGGTGATCTTCTCTTAATCTCAAACGGGAGTTGATCGTCATTCGACTTATCATCATCTGAATCCATGTTCTGCTGCTGACCCTCATAAACTCGAGGGGCTACAACCTCCTCATCCTCCAACTCTCGCAGATCCTCAGCCGGAGTCGTTCTCCCATCCTGCTTCGAGTTAGCCCGCATGCAGTCTACGCCAGTCGCGGGCGAGCCAGATGCACCATACTTCCATTATGAGAAGTACCCTTTGGGGGAATTCGAGGATTCTCCAGGGACTGGCTAGATTGGGCGGCTTTCGAACCAGCCAACTCCTCTTCTTCTGATTCCTCCAGCAAGATCAGCCTTCGCCTCCGGGACTGTTCCAGAACAACCTCAACCTGGTCCTCTGGCTGCTGACGATTGGAAGACACCTTTCTGGCACGCTTTCCCACCTGATGACGACCCTTGGAGCCCTTCCGGGGAAGAGGTGCAGCCTCTCTGGGAGACAGTTTCTTTTGGTGCGGATGAATCCCACCACCAATCTTCACTCGAGGTGAGGCTTTGAAAATAACCCGTTTAGGGCTAGCACGATTCCCTAACAGCTTAGGTCTGGATTCCTGCACCCGAGGTTGCGGCTCCATATAGCCATGAATCTCCTGCTGATGACCCACCTGCTCAACAGAGCAATCACTAGCCACATGTCGTATCTCACGAGGTCTAGCATTCTTAGCACTCTCATCTTTCTTCACTTGAACATTCTTGTTCACCCACACCGATTTACTGGTGTTGCGAAACTTCGGGAACTCATCCTCATCCATATAGATCTTCCTTCCAAGTTTCCTTGTAGACATATGCGGGACAAAGCGTTCTTTACCAGGTGGAGGATCAAAAACACATTCTGGCTTCGAGTGCCCCACACGGCCACAGAGGTAGCAGAAGGTCGGCAGAAATTCATATTTGAGGTTTACCCAGAAGCTACCAAGCTCTTCACTAACTGCCAAAAACTGAGACCGCAACGGTTTAGCGAAATCAATGAGGGCGTGCACTTTACTAAAACTAAACATATAATTATTCACATTTGAATCCAACAAATAATATTAACTTTTAACTTTTAAATTCAAGAAACAAATAAAAAAAATTATTAATCAAATTCACCAAAACGGCATCATTTTGCTTAGGCCCCATTTAGTATCGATTTGTTGCTGTTGTGGTTGCAGTGGTGTTGTGTAAACAGATGTACAACCACAACAGGAAAAAAAAAAAACACAAACTTGTTTAGTTGATAATCTGAAAAATAATGAAAGCAGACAACAAAAAACAAAAACGCGTTCAATTACTACTATTAGAATTAAAAACCAGAAAAGAGAGGAGGCGGCGGCGGGGGGAAAGGATTCGAAGTCGGCGACGGGAATCGAGAGGAGGAGGCGGCAGGGGTTGCGAGGTCGGGCGACAGGGGAAAGGGAGGCGGCGAGGGCAAAGGGGCGAAATCGACGACGAGGGGAGATGGACGATATCGGCGGCCTGGGTCTCGAGAGGAAGAAGTTGAGAGAGGGAGGGAGCTGTTGGGCGGCGGGTTTGGAGGTGGGTTTGGGAGTTAAAAGAAAAAGAGAAATTTTTTGCTTTAGTTGGGATTCGAATTGAGGGTTGTTTTAATGAAAACAAACGGGAATCCCGTGTAAAACATGTACAAGAATCAAATCCAAAGCAATAAATTGTTGTTTCTCAAATTTGGACCATGTTGTGCAAATCTGATTCACAACAAAAAATAAAAACCCAACTAAACATGTTTTTTTTCTTGGTTTCTCCAGTCTTGAAAAACACAACAGAAAACAAAAACAGGCAACAATACTAATCGGGGCCTTAGAGTTCGAATACCAGTCATACTGAACGCATTCCAACCGATTTTGTAATCGATACCGATTGAATCCGATTATACCGGTTGACACGCCACTAGTTTGACAACCATGTAACTAACAAAAAAAAAAAAGTGAACTTTATGAGTGTGTAATTGCTGTTTGTTAAGAATGAGGTGTATCATTGGTTTTACCTTTGTTCCATACATCTTGTCTTATCAATTTTTCGATAAAATAAGACTTAGGTTATAATACAAAATCCTCCCATTTGTAGTACTATATATATAGAACTAATAGTTGTAGTTTGGAAATAAGAGATCTTATGATACATATCATAAATGGGTAAAGGAAGGAAATAAAAGATTTACGAGTGAGTTGACCGGAATTTTTAGACCGTTGGTTGGATTTTTTTTTTTCAGCTGGCCGGATTTTTTCATAAAAAATAAATTTTACGTATGAAATTTTAAAAAACAAAAATTGTAAGTACTAAACTATAATTTTCCAACAATTTATCAATTCAATTGAATTTGAATTAGATTTAAACGAATTAGAATAATTAGATATTTTGGTTGATAGATCGGATCATATTAAATTTAAAATTGTCATCTCTAGTATTAATATCACCTCGCATCAAAATATCACAATTCATCAAGAAATCCAAAAGCAATCAACCAAATTTTGGGATTCAAATACAATCGTCACACCACCAGTATAATCAATTTCATAAATTCTGACACATCTTTCAAATCTAACATCAACACCACCCCTTTCAGTATTTTTCGAGAGACAATCTCACTCCTTCTTCAGCCTTGATTGATTTGATCAAATCTCTAGCAGTATCAATTCCTGCAATAAACAACAAGACACAAAATGTTGCGAAGAGAAGCAACCAATTAATTTACCTGCCAAGTAAGCCCCACTCACGTAACCCAAATATTTACTGTTGGTGTGCTCTCCGGTAAAAATAAACCGAATCCACACGAGCCTGTCGCATGTCAAAATCAAATGCCCCCATGAACACGTGTTATTAGTGCTAGAAAAATATTCGACATAAATTACAGTTACAAAGGATTTACACACGATAATTAAGGGGTTGTTTGGAAGTTATGATTCTCTTAATTGATGTATTTGATCAATTCATGTATTGTAAATGTATGTATTGACTCAATGTATCATTTTGAAGAATACTTTGTTTGGAAGAAGTAATAGTACTTTTGGTTGGAAAAAAGAACAAAGCACTTTTCAATGTTAGAATACATAATTACCCTTCACTTTTATTCGTTCTCCTCCATTCCTTTTGTTTCCTTTTGTTTGTCCTTCATTGCAGTTGGTGAAAAGAGAAGAACTAGTACTGCTGGAAACTCCTTGCGAAAAGCTCCTCCATTTCCTTTGTTTTCCTTTTATTGCAGACTTGCAGTTGGTGAAAATCGAAACAATCAGTTCAAGAGACTCCTTGCGACGGAATCGGCAGCCTTCCGACCAACATCGCGTGCAAGCACAATCACAATAGCTGTGGTCAAATGAGCTCCTTGGGACGAAACCGACGACTTCCTGGGGCCGACGAGGAAGAGATTTCCATCACTTGTAATTGTGGGTCACTTGCAATCACCAAAACATCGCATACACCTGGTAATCCTAATAGAAAGTTCTTCAGCTGTCCTAAATGGAGTCCAAAGCAGGTAATTTGTTTTGTTGATTAGGTTCGGCGTTCCATATTTGTTTTAAATGAACAAAATGAACTACAAGAGTACCAAAATAAACAAAATATATAAAGAAAACCAGCTAAAGGAACAAACAGCAGTCATTCTGCAGAATAAACAAAGAAAACCAGCAAAAGGAACAAACAGATTTGTCTGCAGAATAAACAAAGAAAACCAGCAAAAGGAACAAACAGATTTGTCTGCAGAATAAACAAAGAAAACCAGCAAAAAGATATGTCTGCAGAAATAACAAAGAACTGCAGCAAAAGCTTCAAGAGGAACTGTCTGCAGTATAGAACAAAGAACTGACAAAGAAACTGTCTACAGAATATACAAAGAACAAAAAGAACTAAAGGAACAAACCTTTTCTCCTGCAATGTTACAGACTGTTGGAGTACCAGTTAAATAGAACAAAATGAACTGAAGAACTAAAGCATTAATTTTGGCCAACAACTAAGCACCAACAACCTGCCTTGCATTAAAGTGAAAAGAACTACTGTTCTGACATTTCCAGAAGTATAAATGCTCTTACACATAGCTTGAATGAACAAACGCATAAATGCCAACCCCTCACATGAGTTCAATAAAACAAACATGGATTACAGAGGCAAAATATTGTTCTTCTCTTAGCATAACTACACAAAAGGCCAACATTACCAACTCAACTACCCCTAATCAGTTAGTAGCCCAATTCCTAGCATCCCACAGATCTTGAGCCAACTTTTGTCTAAACTCTGACCATTCTACAGAGGGTTGGATATGGAGTATAAGCTCCTCGTCCACAACGTCTGTTTCGTCGTCTTCCTCTTCGTCAATATACAACCTTTCGAACACATCGGCACCAACCTCTCCACGTATGAAATTATGCAGCAAGCAACATGCATTGATTATCTTTGTTACCATTTTTGTTGAAAACCAGGTGGTATCTCTTAAGATTGCCCATCGCATCTTCAGTATGCCGAATGCTCTCTCTACGCCATTTCTTGCTGTTGAATGTCTCATATTAAACATTTCTTCAGGGGTTCTTGGCCGTCTCCCGTCCCAATCTTTTAGGTGATAACGTTGACCTCGAAAAGGGGACAAAAACCCCTCACAATTACTGTAGCCAGCATCACATAAGTAATAGAAACCTGTCATCATCAAGATACATTAATAAAACTCCTTCATTATAAAACTACAGTACATAGAGGAAAGAAGACAGAAACATACCTTTAGGAACTTTTAAACCATTTGGCCTAATAAGGGCATCTCTCAAAACCCTCCCATCATGAGCAGACCCTTCCCAACCCGCCAAACAGTAAATGAATTCCAAATTCTGATTAACAACTCCCAGAACATTCATTCCAATCGTTCCCTTTCGAGTACGATATCTTTCTTGATTCTCTTTTGTTGCACGTACAGTGACTATTGTTCCATCAAGTGCGCCAAGACAATTCTATAAAATAAAAAAAATCAACAATTGTTAAAAGTTTACAAGTTTCAGAACCATCATATGCACACATGTAACAGACCCTATACCTTGAAGTGCTTCCATTTCGGATCATCAGAATTCTCGAGAACGGGCGTGGGTTTACGAAGTAATATAGAGTGCAGTTTCAAAACCGAATGAAGAACAGTTTTGATGACCCTACATATGGTTTCTCCTGAACGACGGAAGGTGACCTGCAGCTGACGATTCTTCTCATTATGGGCTATGGTGTAAAGAAAGATGGCCACCATCTCATCTATTTCGATGTTCCAAGTACATCTAAGGCCTCCGCGATCCCTAAGAAGCTTACAAAGTTTCTGAAACGTCATACAGTTCATTCTAACTAGCATAGTGCAAGATACGTCGCCGTGGGAAACAATACATCGCATGAAAGATTTTCTAGCTAACTGTCTAGCAATAGGTGTCTCCCAAGCAGACACATGTTCTATTCTTTGCACACGTTCAGATGCTAATGCGTCATAATAATTGATAACAAGCTTGATGAAATTGAAAAAAAGCTCCAAGTACATGGAAATCGCAGCTATGACTGCCTTCTTCCTTTGCTTGGGGCACCTTGCCATGACCTTACCTTCTATCACTGAATCCTTGTTGAGCTAGCCCAGAAATTAGAGAGTTGTAGGAAACCCCGTCCTTATCCTTCAGTTTGCTGAAAACTTGCTCAGCATATGTGAAATTCCCCAAACGAGAATAGATGGGTACTGATTGAAACTAGGGATATACCTGTTTGATTAAGCAGACAACCAATGAACGAGCTCCTTCAATTGACGACAGAACCAGTTGCTGCGGCCTTCTGCTTCGATTCCTGGGGATTTTCCAATGGCGAGATGTGTAGAGCAAGGTTTGCCATGACTGAACTGGGGATATTCCTCTCCGTTCCGCAAACGATGAACGAACGAATGAGCTTCTTCAACCACCGTGGTTTGAAGAACAGCTCCAGTACTCCCGCTGCCAACAACAACCTCACACACGGCGGCGACTCATAATCGAGAAACTCCTTGGATTTGGTTTATAACGATGATTCTCCATGATGACAGACTACTTTACGATTAACCTGCACCCAACACAGAGCTAGGCCGCTTATACCCACGATTACTTTAACAAAGTAAAAGCAATCTGTACGAATTAGCTTCTTCAATTGTCGGCAGAATACGAAGTTGAGGAGATTCTGCTTCAGTTCCGAGGGATTTTCCAAGGGCGGGATGTGTAGAATTAGGTCCTTGTCCGTCGTGATGGCGATGATAATGGCTTTTTGTTGGAGATGGAGGAAGAATTTTAGGGATAGATATTGTCGAACTCAGGAGCAGGGGAGGAGCTTCTTTTTCTGGAAACTACACGAAAGAAAGGTGAGTGAGAGAGAGAGTTGTTGATGAGGGTAGTCATGGGATAAAGCAAAATTACCAGGGATAAGAATGGAATAATAAAATGGACAGACAATCCCTTATTATAATCTCAACTTTTGGTTGAGATTAGAAATCACTCAATTTGAATGATTGTGGGTGGGGCCACAAAAAGAGATTACATGTATTCTGGACTAAATTAAACCAAAAAAACGACACAATCTCACCATTACATGTATTCATTAAATCATTCACTTGAAATCACATCCTCCAAACAAGCCCTAAGTTACCCTGAGTAGGTCATGCTTTACTGTGGTGTAACCATTTGGCCAATTCGAGTAGCTCCCCTTTACAACTTGTCCATCCACCTTTTAAATATTTTCTCTTATATGACTATTGAACCCAAATTCATGTGTGTTCAAACTAATTTGAGCCAGAGTCGATGCATATGAATTTTGGGTCACTTTGAGATTGAACCCAAATTGAACCCCCCTTATAATTGTTGAACCCAAAATCCCACTTTATCGAGTTAAATCCAATATTGACGCATTTTTGATCGAGAACGGTTTTATCCTTGACACTTTTGGGGGTGTGAATGAATTTTATCCACTTTTGTAATCATCGAATTGGGTGAAGAACGTACTTTACCTGCTTTATTGATCGACAGATTGGGTCGCGTGTGGATTTTGTTAGAAACTCGCTCGCTTTATCAAACCGGACAAAGAAATTTATGTGTGTTCAAGCTAATTCCTGTGTGTTCACAAATTTTGGGTCGCTTTGAGATTGAACAAAAATTGAACCCGCCTCTTATGGTAGTTGAACACAAATTCATGTTTGCTCAAACTAATTTGACCCGGTACCGCTGTTGCCGAGTTTGGGTCGAAAACAAAATTTACCCGCTTATAAAATTAACGGATAGGGTTAGGTGTGCACTTTGTCGAAAACACACTTCGCTTTATCGAGTTAAGTCTATTGTGGACGTATTTTAGGTCGATGGCGAGTTTTACCCTTGACACTTTTGGGGGTGAGAACGCATTTTACCCGCTTTTGTGATAAACGAATTGGGTCGCTTGTGGATTTTGTTAGAAACTAGCCTTGCTTTATAATACCGGTCAGAGAAACTCATGTGTGTGCAAGTTAATTCATGTGTATTCACAAATTTTGGATCGCTTTGAGATTGAACCCAAATTGAACCCGCCTCTTATGACAGTTGAACCCAAAACCGCGCTTTATCGAGTTAACCTCAATGTTGACGCATTTTGGGGCAAGGACGAGTTTTACCCTTTACACTTTTGGATGCGTGAATGAATTTATCCACCTTTGTAATCATCGAATTGGGTCGAAAACACATTTTACCCGCTTCTGTGATCGACGAATTTGGTCGCGTTGGATTTTGTTAGAAACTCGCCCGTAGTATGACACCGGTAAGAGAAATTCATGTGAGTTCAAAATAATTCATGTGTGTTCACAATTTTTGGATCGCTTTGGGACTAAACCCAAATTGAACCCGCCTCTTATGACAGTTGAACCCAAATTCATGTGTGTTCAAGCTAATTTGACCCGATACCGGTTTTGTCGAGTTTTGGATGGAGAACAAATTTTACCCACTTTTGTAATTAACAAGTTAACAAATTGGGTCGGGTGGGAATAGTTGTTACAAACTCGACCCACTTTATCGATTTGAATCCAGTGTTGACCAATTTTGGGTCAGGAACAAGTTTTACCGCTTTTGTAATCAACGAATTGTGGATTTTGATAAAAGCTCACTCCCTTTTATCAATCCGGACTTAGGTCACCCAATTCGTGGATTTTGATAAAAGCTCACTCCCTTTTATCAATCCGGACTTAGGTCACCCAATTCGTGGATTGACGCTTGCCGCTCCCGGATTGGAGCGTGAAAACGCGCTGTTATAGTAAAGCGTTAATAATTCGCGTATTGCACTTTATCAGACCGCGGATTATATTAGGAAGTTCGCGACTCGCCTGACGAATTGAGCTTTAATAGAAGATAAAAAGGAAAAGTCTTCTTCGAGCTGGTCGTTCCATCGTCGCCGCTGCCAAATCAACAATCGTTGATTCAGTCCTTCGTTTTCCTTATACAAGTTGTTGTCGATGAACTTAGTTAATACAAAGCAAAAGGAAACACTTGTCCTCCTTGCCACCGACCGCATTATCTCCTCATGCTACAAAATCGATGGCCGTCGATGCAGTGCTTCTTCCCCTACAAACTAGTGTTTTCCAATTAGAAGTTGATCTGTTATGAGAAGTAACTTTGAGATAGAAAAAAGATTATCTAGCGGCTGCATGGCTCAACTGATGAAGGAAGGAGAAGAGATAGATTTAGATTGTTCTGGTTTTACATCAGAGAAGAGGGGAGAGAGACTAGAGAGAGGAGGAGAGAGAGGGGAAGTGATGACTGGTGAGTTTGACGGTGGGTGAATGGCAAGGATAAGGGGAAAGTAAAAAAAAAATTGAAATACTTAATTTTTCTAAAAGAAAAAGCGAGTGTTCTACTTTTTCTTGGAATTTTTTTTATCAAGTATTAGAGTTATGTTATTAGGAAAATTAAAGCTAAAAACTTCATATTATTTGTATGGTATGTATACTATTTTAGAATTAGTAAACATATTTCAAATTGTTTATATATAATGCATTATATAAATATAAAAAACAATTAACATGATTTAATAATGACGCTCTCTTCACGCTTTCGATTTAATTTTTTTAAATGATAGACGCTTTCACGCTCTCGCTCCACGAACTGGTTACCTAAATCCGGACGTAGGAAGTTGAATCCAGTTTTCACAAAATTTTGGTCGCTTTGGGATTGTACCTAAACCGAACTCACATCTAATGACAATTTAATGGAGCCCAAATTAATGTTTGTTTAAGCTAATTCGACCTGGTACAGGTGTTGCTGCATTTTTGGGTTGGGGATAAATTTTTATTCACTTTTGTAATTAATGAGTTGGGTCGAGTGTGGATTTTGTTACAAATTTGCTCCTCTCTATCGAGTTGAATCCAATGTTGACGAATTTTGTGTCGTGGACGCGTTGTGCACGCTTTTGTGATCAAGAGATTGGGTCACGTGTGGATTTTGTTAGAAACTCACCCCGCTTTATCAAGCTGATTAGGAAGATTTCTAAAAACACTGTTTCGTAGAGTCACATCACAAAAAGTGACCTTTTTGTAGTTAACCAAAGAAAGGAGGAGTTTTTGTGTTATTAGCGTTCCACTTCAGCTCCATCTGGTGGTGATGAAGCTTTTGCAATAAGCCGCCCTCAATTTCAACGTCCCATGTCTGAAATTATATGTCATCATTGTCGCACTGCTGGCCATTATCAAAAGTTTTGTCGACAACGCAATTTCTGCATATATTGCAAAAAAGAAGGGGCATATTATCACCGATTGCCGCCTCATTCAGCCCCGCTCGTCTGGTCCATCTCGTGCCGCTGCTGCTACACCGACTGGTGGTGCCTTTGCTGCCCAACCAGTTCCCGTTGCTGAGGCCATTCCGAGTCCATATATGACTGCCGAAGCTGTGGAACAGCTGGTCCATTCCGTGTTGCAAAGGTCGTTACTGACAGCTATCACAAGCGCCTTTGCCTCGCTGCATAACACTGGTACGTCACCCCTTCCATGGCTTTTGGACTCGGCATGTTTTAATCATATGACCGGTAGTACGCATCAATTTACGAAGCTTAAACCTGCTAAATCTTGTGCTATTCAAGTTGCTAATGGGGACAAACTTGCTGTTAGTGATATGGGAGATATAGTAGCACCACGAAGTAATCTATCTAATACTCTATGCGTACCGAAACTTGTTCCTAATCTTGTTTTGGTTGGTCAATTAACTGAGCAAAATTGTCGTGTTGTGTTCGAACCCTCGGGTTGTGTTGTTCAGAACATGAAGACGGGGAGGAAGATCGGAAGGGGGAGTAAACTTGGTCGGGTATTTCAACTGGAAGCATTGTCGGGTCAACCTCAATCATCGTCGGGCTTTCTTTCCTCTGGGTCGGAGTCATCTCTTGAGTCTCAAACTTTGGTTTCGTCTCCTGTTTTTTTCTAGTTTGACGAATAATGAGTTTGAATTATGGCATTTGCGTTTAGGTCACCCCCATTCGAGTCGGCTTGTAACCATGTTTAAACAGCAGCTTTTTGGAAATAAAAAGGTTGATTTTGCTTCTGGTAAATTTCAGTGCACAAGCTGCATGGAAGCTAAAACCACTCGTCGATCTTTCCCTTCCAGTAAAACAGTTGTACTTGATCCTTTTCACATCGTTCACACTGATCTCTGGGGGCCTTCTCCCACTGATTCTCGTCATGGTTACAAGTATTTTGCCTTATTCGTAGATCATGCCACTCGTTTTACCTGGGTCTACTTTCTTCGTCTCAAATCAGACCTTCTCTCTGTTGCTACTGATTTTTTGAAAATGATTCAAACTCAATTCGGTCAAACTGTGCGTATCATTCGTTCTGATCCTGGGGGGGGATTTAGCTCCAATCTGTTAGCCAGTTTGTTTAGGTCTCAGGGGATTTTAACTCAGAAATCTTGTCCCGGTGTCTCCCAACAAAATGGTCTCGTAGAGCGTAAGAATCGTCACGTAGTTGAACTTACTCGAGCTATGCTCCTTGCTTCTTGTGTTCCGACTCGATTTTGGCATGAGGCTGTAGCTACAGCCGTTCGGTTAATTAACTACCAAATTACTCCGCTTCTAGGTCAGCTTAGTCCTCATTATGCCTTGTTCAAAAAGCATTCGGATTACTCGCGTCTCCGAGTCTTTGGGTGCACTTGTTTCGTGCTTCTTCCCGTAAGGAACGTAGCAAGCTAGATTCCAAGACGTCTCGTTGTGTTTTCCTGGGCTATAGTGACATTCACAAGGGATATTTATGTTATGACCCGAGTCTCCAACGTCTTCGTATCTCTTGTGACGTTGTCTTTTTTGAGCGTCTTATGTTTTTCTCTAGCCCCCCTGAGGAATCTCCGTTGTTTTCGTCTGAGGTGACCCGGCTGCCCTTTTTGACGAAGATGATGACACAGATGATGACCACACGCTCCCCCCCCCCCCCCCCCCCCGATTTGCCTGCCCCATCGTCCCTAGGTGCCAGCTCTACCCCCCTCATCTCCAGGGTCCTCGTCTCTGGGTTCTTCGTCGGGCTCGTCCACTTCATCGGACTCCATGTCTCCGACTCTTTTGCCTCTGGTTCCTCGTCGATCTCTTCGGTCTACTCAAGGCCAGCTTCCAGTTCGGTATCATGACTTTGTTACGTATCATGTGGATGCTCTCACTATTCCGACTTCTTATAAACAGGCTAAGGATGATCCGGGCTGGAATGTTGCGATGAACGAGGAGTTTGATGCCCTCCATGCACAGCATACGTGGGTGGTAGTGGACCATCCTCCACCGTCAGTTCCGATCTTGGGTAATCGATGGGTTTCCGATCTTGGGTAATCGATGGGTTTATGCCCTAAAAATGAAGGCGGATGGCACTTTGGAGCGCAAGCGAGCACGTCTTGTGGTTCAGGGGATTGGGCAAGAATATGGCCTTGATTATGATGAAACGTTTGCCCCGGTAGCAAAGATGCAAACAGTTCGGACTCTCTTGGCCGTGGCTGCGCTTAAACATCGGCCTCTTTTTCAGCTTGATGTGAAGAATGTGTTTCTTCACGGTGATTTAAAGGAGGTTGTTTATATGAAACGTCCTCCTGGTTATACGGTTGGTCGTGATGATCAGGTTTGCCTATTACAACGCTCTCTCTATGGTCTCAAATAGGCACCTCGTGCCTGGTTTGAGAAATTTCAGTCGACAGTGATTGCTCTGGGGTTTCAGCAGAGCAGAAATGATCCCTCACTCTTTTTACAGTATACTTCGGCGGGTCGTATTCTGTTCCTTCTCTATGTCAATGACATGATCATCACAGGTGATGATGTGCTTGGCATCCAGAGGTTGTAGAAAGGTCTTCATGCATCATTCACATTGAAGGAGTTGGGGTCTTTATCCTATTTTCTTGGCTTGGAAATCACTCGATCTCCCCGTGGGATTCTCCTAAGTCAAAGGAAATATATCACTGACCTTTTATCATCCACTCAGTTTGCCGATTGCATTCTAGTTTCTACTCCCATGGAAGTCAATCTTCATCTTGGCCGTGAGTCTGGTGTACCCCTGGTTAATCCGTCGCAGTATCGTCATATTGTTGGCAGTTTGATATACCTGACACACACTCGCCCAGACATTTCCTTTGCAGTTCATGTGGTGAGTCAGTTTATGTCTGATCCGCGCGTTGATCACCTTGCCGCGGTGCATAGGATACTTCGTTACTTGCAGGGTTCTCGTGATGTCGGGTTGTTTTTTCCGTCTACTGGTGATTGTATTTTGCGGGCATACTCCGATTCTGACTATGCCGGCTGTGTTGATTCTCGACGTTCGACTACAGGATGGTGTGTTCGGTTTGGTGGTACTTTTATCAACTAGCGGTGTCGTAAGCAGGATAAAGTATCCAAGACTTCTACCGAGGCGGAATATCGAGCAATGTCAGACATGGCTTCTGAGCTAGTATGGATGCAGCAGTTACTCTCTGACTTGGGGATTTCTTGTCCGTCACCTATTACTCTTCACGTCGACAACACCAGTGCGATTCAGATTGCCGTTAACCTGGTTTTGCATGATCGCACGAAACATATTGAGATTCACATTCATTATATACGGGACTTGGTAGCTGAAGGTTTCATTGTGGTTCGACATGTTCCCTCCACAGACCAGCTGGCTGATTTGTTCACTAAGCCTTTCCATCGTTCTCGCCATTGTTATCTTACTGACAAATTGATGCTTAGGGACCAACATCAATTTGGGGGAGGCTGTTAGCGGATTAGGCCCATACTTTTGTATATAGTCCATTGTATATAGCCCATTAGTGAGTTTCGGTTGGTTGCGGTGTTGTGGCCGTGAGTCTAGCCCTAGCAGGAGTCTTGGAGAGCTAGGGCTGGCGGCATCTATTTAGAGGGCAGCATCACGTTGTAAACAGGCAAGCAAAACAAAATAAGATTCAAGCTCAGAGAGTTCTAGCTCTCCCGTGGAATAGTCCCGATATCGGGGAAACCACGTAAATCGTATCTCGTGCTTTCCTCTTTGTTTTCGTAAACGTCTTGTGATAAGAGTGTTTTGATACTAACAGGTTATTCCGGCATCGTAGAGGGTCTTTGCGGCTGAAATTCCTGACATTCCGGCGCGGACGACGATGACGGACGGTGGTGATCGCCGGGAACTAGCTGACGCTGCTGTTGTCGCCGCCGATAGAAGGAGAACAGAGACGAGGAGGGTCGCCATTTTCTGCTGGCTAATGATCTTCATTCGGTGAGGACAAGGAAAAGAAGAGAATTGCCGGGGAAGTAAGGGCATGAATCCACCACAGTTTCAATAGTCAATGGAGAGGAATCGAGTTGATTACATTGTTGTTGGGAAATTGTTTGATCAAAGTTTTTCCTATCTCATCGTTACTATTATTAAAGCCTAACTACGGAATAGAAAGGCCAGGTGTTTACTAATTTAGCAAATATTTTTTCGTTCCTTGTGCGTGTAGTCTACTAGTGTACGGTTTAATCTTGATTTTTTTTTCTTCAAAATGACCAAGCTGTACTATAAAGAATTCTCTTAAATACATAGACTAATATTATAAGAAAATCTCAAAACTACACATGTTTGAACCAAATCACTTTAGATCAACACGATGAAGCATTGGCCGCTGCGGGCGGGAAGCGATCTAGATAAATCATTGCATGCAAAAACTTTGCAATGATCAGATAATCAAGCGCAAAGTTACAACCGTTTTAAGTTCTACTGCGTGTAAGGTGAAAATTGTTGGAGCTACCGATTTTGGAGCTAGATTGCTAGAGTATGCAACAGTATATCTAGATCGATTCCTTTCCTCTGCGGGGTGCAATACTTTATCACATTTATCGGAAGCGATCAACATTAAGTCTCAAGCAATCTGGTCGAAACAGGTGTAGTTCGAAAATTTCTAATAAAACAAACGTACTTTGATGATTTTTATAGCAACCTATATACTTTGCTCAAAAATCCCTCTAATTTAGTAATTTGAGTGATAATCTAAATTATTCCTGTCATATTATTTTCTTGACCATAAATATTGTACTTTTAGGAGAAAAGAAAACATAAATATATTCCTTATATGAATCATTTGATTGATCTTTCATACATTTTTTAAGATACCACGCATTTCATGTGTAATGTTGATTAATATTTTCTTCACCTTTTTTAAGATACCACGCATTTCAGGTTTTGATAACACTTTCAAGTTAACCTAATGAATTATAGATTATGCGAATGAAATGACCAGAGTGTATCCCTACTGGATAGCTGCTAACACTCTGTGTTATTATGACGATAATAATAGGCAACTAAAAAGTTAGAATTAGGTAGACTTTTGCGTTAAATATGTTGATTATGTATAGAAATTAATAGAGGAAAAATATACTAAGATCTTTTACAAATTGTATTCTGTAATATTAATTTTATGGATTACACCTTTTAGTCACTGAAATCCGGTTACTGGTCACCAAAACCTGGTCACAAGCCATCAGAAGATGCTGGAATTCATTGATCAGACACCGAAATTGAAAAACTGTGGCCGGCGACAAATTCCAACATCCAAGTGTTTTCTAGTGGTCTGATTTTGACAATGGTGACGGGGAAGATGAATGCATACAAAAAATACCACAAATATGTAAGAACACATACAAGAAACACAATAATGCATACAAAAAATAGGTTTTGTCATAAGTGTAGCATATAAACATATTTGTGAGAAAATTAAAATATCTTGTCATATTTTCTCTCGATGCCTCTTTAACCTAATGCTTTCTTCGATTTAAAATTTAGAAGTAGATTTAATATAGATTTTGTTTCGCGTAGTTTTATTCCTTTTGTACAATTTTAGAAGAATGATATATCGGATGTGTTCGCTTATAACTTCTTTAGCTTATTTTGGCAAATGTTTGTGAAAAAAACTATACATATGGTGAAGCAAACTATATTTCATTAAAATTCAAACAATATCTATACATTTTGATAATTTTTGCCAATATTTATTTGTTTGAAATTCTAATTAGTTGTATAATATTTTGGTAGTGTAGAATAGTTGCTTTTTTGTGTTGGTTTTTTTTTATGAATTTGAATAGTATTTTCAAAACCGTAATATAAAAATCGAGTGATTGCAATGTCTAAATAGTAAAGCCAAACACCCAATTCATATACAAACATAATGATGGGCATACTCAACGCAATAATACAAGTGTCCAATGCATAAACTCACACTATGGCCCCCATTATATAACACAATTAATATGAAAAAAGATAGCGCAACTAAAACTTAGTTTTAAATACACCAATAAAAGCACAGCCTAACTGATTCTAATTATTTTGCGCGACAATCTCAATCCTTCTTCTGCCTTCATGGATTCAATTACATCTTTAGCTGCCTCAATTCCTGCCATAATAAACAGCAAAGCTCACAAAAGAACCTAGCCCGGAATTCAAAAAGGAAAAGCAAGAAATTTAAATGTTAGTGCAATTTTGTATCGTCTCACAATTTACGTACAAAATCTATATTTTCGCACCATCTTACTAATTATTCACATACATAATTTCATTAATCAATCAGTCATTTTTTCACGTGATCAAATAGATTTAAATCACATTGTATCATCAACCACTTATCATTTCATAATTGCTAAAATTAAAAAAAAAATCATACAGAAAAATAAAATAGTGAAATAATAGAATTTTTAAAGGGTATAAAGAGGACAATCAGGCAACCAACCTGCTAAGTAAGCTCCAGTCGCGTATCCCAAATATCTACTGTTAGTGTGCTCCCCGGTAAAATAAACCGAACCAACACGAGCCTGTGCATAATGTTTATTCACACATGTTATTGTTGCCTAAACAGAGTTGAAAATAAAATAAAAAATTGTTATCACTCATGAAACAAATGATGTGCACTAACACAATAATAAGTTACCTTGAGTTGGTCATGTTTAGCTTTGGTGTAACCATTCGGCCAATTCGAGTAGCTGCCCTTGTAGAGCCTGTCCATCGACCACCTAGGCACCAATATTTGTTCTGGGTTCGGAATGTGATCCCCGTACATCTTTCTTAGAACGTCCATAGCCTCTCTCTGTACTGCCTCGTTCGATAACTTCTCCACCCTTGTCGACTCTTCCGACGTTATCGTAACGAATAGTATGTTTGAACCCGGATATTCATTCTCGAGATGCTGCATATGGAAACAATCGATCAACTGCTTTCAGGGGAAGATGCAGGGTCACCTGGGAGTACGTAGTTTAGTTGGATTCCGATGTTGAAGTGTGGTTTACCTGCCAAAACGGGTAATATCCTCGACGAGAGTGGGCGTAGAGAGAAAACTCTGTTCCAGGACCAGTCGGCCAAAACTTGTAAGGGAATTGAAGGAAAATCTTGGTGTAAACTGACATATCGAATTCCGATATCGCATTCATCTTCCACATCTGACAGGGTTGTTCACAAATACATACCAATCAATCAATCAACCAACATATAAAATATGGAATTGTGATTAGGAAGAGAAAAATTTGTAGTGGAACTCACCGGTAAGGTTGGAGTGAAGCGAATGAGATTACTCTGAAGCACTCCAATGCTAACAGACACAACGACATATTTAGCTCGATACGTAGAACCGTCCTCTATTTTCACTCTGACTCCTCTTTCTGAGTAGAATATCTCCTTCACAACCTGGAAAAAAAAAGGTTTGGATTATAAATTTTGATACAACAAGATGTATGGATGCCCATATGTAATTAACACACCTTGTTCGGCAAGATCTTGTGCTGGCTGCTACGGTTCGAAAACCGGCATGCTAGGCCCTGAACCAATTCCTCGAACCCTCTCGAGTCACACACGAAATTCGACAGCTTGCCATGGTCCTTGAACTCGCGACGAGGGTACGTGTGCTTCAAGCTCGTAACCGTGGTTGCCTCTGCTTCTTCATAGTCGTTGTGGTAGTAGTCTATCACCATCTCCAATGGAGTCGATGGAAGACTGCCCCCCCAAGAGAAGGAAAATTGTTAACATGGACACCACTCTGTAACACTGTATCATGTTTAATGTTAGTCTTATAGAAACCCTACTTTCCAAATAGGCGTTGTGCTTCCAAAACAGACACATCAATGTCGACGCCTTTTGTTTTGGACATGGCAGCTAACTTTTCAGAAAGCCTTTCACAGAAACTCTCTGTGGAAGAAGCAGCCATTTCAACTTCATCCACCAGTTTCTTGGGGTACAAGCCTCCTCTGTTTTTTTTTTTTTTTTTTTCAATCCCACCAAACGTGCTCTGTCAGTTCGACATTTAGAAGGTTTAATTTCTTGCTACGAGAGAGGGAATGGAAGGGGCACTACTAAATTAACAGTACTCTTGTCTGTAGACATTAGCCGTGATGTTCGAGTCGTCGTTGAGTGAAGTTCTGAGCCTGGTTTTGTTGGCCAGAGAAGCTAAAGGGTTCTGCACAGGCCCTCCTGTGTAGAACCAATTCGCGCCCATTTCGACCGTGTAACCGCCGAACTCTGCCTTCATCATTCGCCCGCCGATCCTCGAGCTGCCTTCCAGGATCAGAATGTCTCTGATCCCGGCTTCATAAAGCGCATTTGCGGTAGAAATTCCTGATGCACACGCAGAAAGTTCAGCAGCTTGCGTGGGTAACAAGCAAAAGGGAAGAGAGGCAGAGGGGTGACATAAATTAATTAACCTGAGATTCCAGCGCCGATGACGATGACTGATTCCCGGTGTGAACCTGCAGCTGCTGCCACCGCCGTTAGGAGCAGAGTAAGAACAAGGTTCTCTGTAGGCTTCTTGCTCATCTTCATCGAGGAAAACGATTACACACAGGAGTGGAAGGGGGAAATAGGAAGAGGGAAGTGCAACTAAACTTGGAAACTGGGTTTTTGACAAAACTTGCAAGCTGAACTATCATGTTGGGGAGTCAGCTAAGATAATGAATTGTATATTCTAGTCCTGTAGTTGTTATGCAAAAGAAGGGACAAATGAATTGTCTTTCCTAACATTGTAATTGTCAAAATTAGGTAGGTGAGGTTTGTGAGGTATACAATCAGTAGACCTGAGAAATTTCAGAGTCCTGAAGAGGAAAGGGGAACAACAAAGTAGGGTTAAAGAACCTGAAGAGTGAGTGGACGGGAGAAGGATCGATATGACCACTATACTCAATTATAACAAATTACGACAATAAACTCTGATTTGGGATAACTAGACATTGAGTTTGGTTATGTAGGTCAAAATAAACATTGGTCACTCAATTATAACAAATCACGATTATAAATTCTGATTTGGGACGACTAGACATTGAGTTCGGTTATGTAGATCAAAATAAACATTGGTCACTGAATGTACATACTCAAAAATATTTCTGTCAACTTAATCTATTTCTTCACAAATTAATCCTAACCTAACTCTGTATCAAACTTTGAGTTTGTAAAAGGGATAAAAAGGTTTTTTTTTTCCAAGGATCTAATACCAAATTATTATTAGTTTGCTCCTATTAAGAACTAGTCAAGAGCTTTTATGAAATAGAAAAAAAAATATTTACAATATTGTCAAATTTTATTCAACCTCTTGAATTTGAAAGTGTATTGAAAACTGGCATCAAATCCAAGTGTGAATTTACACTCTGAAGAATATGTCTTCAAATTCGTTCTCTTTAGAAACAACTCTTCCTGAATAACTTGAAATTCTCTGCCAAAGCATTTAACTTGAGTGTGTATGCGAGGCTAAGTTAGTCAGGTTGGACTTAAACTTTGAGTTTTACACTCTTCTTGATTTCTTGTAAAAAATTTTACAAAAAAAAAAGGTTTCTTGTAAAATTATGAACTAAAAAAAACTGGTTTAAAACTTCAAAGAACCAAAAATAATTAAAATTAGTGGTTTCCTCAAATTAGGACGAAAAACAGATGAAGTGGCTCACATATCTAAATTTGTCCATGTCATAACTGGGTAGCCATTAGTACGATATTGTTCGTTTTGGGCTAAGCCCGCAAGGTTTTACTCTTGGGTGTCTTCCTCAATAGGCCTTGTACTAATGAGCTTGGTGGACACTTATATACAAGGGTTCCTTCTCCTGTATTTCCGATGGGGTACTTGGATTGTCCCGTAACAATCCTCTCCTCAAGACAAGTACCACGAACTTCGTGTCATCTCCTCATCGATTATCTTGATCCGCCAGACGCCTTGTATCGATGGGCTTCTCGGTACAAGGACTTTACCAGACACAGAACTCTCTTTGATCTGCTTCCCAAATGCGGAACTCTCTTTGATCCGCCAAACCCAAACGTGGATCTCTCTGGATCCACCAAACATGTGCGAATCATCTTTGACTCGCCAGACAAAGGCTGATCTCAAATCCCGAGGTCGCCGAATGAGGGTTCCCGCCCCGGATCCGCACCAGGCTCTAATACCACTTGTCATAAGTAGGGTTGTTAATGAGCCGAGCCGAGTCGAGCTCGACCCCGACTCGTTTATTAACGAGCCAAGTCGAGTCGAACACGAGCCAATTCATTTATTAAATCTTGACACCTCGTTAAGATAGAAAGTTTGGCTCGAGCTCAACTCTAAGATAATTTATAATATAAATACCCTAATATTTATGTTATATGTGATACAAGTGATTACCTAATGTTATGTCATATATGAGACGTATTTGCTTACATATACTCAATGTATTAAACACCATATGAGGTGATATATATATAATTTAATAATTATATGCATCATTAACAAACCAACTCATAAAATATAGATTGATTTTTTCATAAGCTGTAGGCGAGTTAGCTCTCTAGTCAAAATGTTGGGACATCTCATAAGCTCAAAACGAGACAGTTCATGAGTTGTATTAAACGAGCCACCTAATCGAGTTAGTTCACGAGCTTCACGACCTTTTTTTAATCGAACGAGCTTTTATCGAGTTCGAGACCGAGCCGCTCACGAATAGTTCGGCTCATTAACAGCCCTAGTCATAAGTGGGGCAGCTTATTAGTACGATATTGTTCGCTTTGGGCCAAGCCCGCACGGTTTTACTCTTTTGTGTCCTCCCCAAAAAGCCTCGTACTAATGAGTTTGGTGGACACTAATATACAAGGGTTCCTTCCCTTGTATTTCCGATGTGGTACTTGAATTGTCCCATAACCGTACAATTTAGTGCTTTAGCTGTTCCAAATCATAGTCTTCTGTCTAATATGGCCTGTCTAATATTTGCAAGCTGAAATCAACTAATCAATTCCCTCGACAACAAGCTAGACGACATGGTCACGCTAAGTTGCTAGAGCAGAAGAGTCCAATAATGGCGTTGCTTCTGGAGAAACTTTTGCACTCAGCTCACCTTATAAATGACCTGATAGGATTCCTGCTTGCTGCCAAGCTGCTGCTGGTGGGATCGGATCAGGGGAATAGATAGATTGCTGGTGGTGGAGAAGTAGGTCCGCCACCGCCATGCCTTTCTCTTCTTACACCCATTAATCAGCTAAGTAAATGAATCTATTTGTATGTGGTTAACAACAATGCTTCATTGTCTAAGTACATTCTTGAAACGACAAGGAAAAATTTTAAGTGAAAAGATTTGCAGCCAACTCCATTATTATTTGTCACCAAATCTTCTTTCTTTTTTTATAAAAAAAAATTTCAAAATTCATCGCCACAAAACCGTACATACAACCTGGCGAACTGAAACATCTTATTAGTAACCAGAGGAAAAGAAAGCAAAAGCGATTCCCGTAGTAGCGGCGAGCGAAATAGATATTCATTCTTAAAAAATTTCAAGTGAAATTTTTTTCCTGGAGCTACCGATAAGATATCACGCCACAGTGATATCTTGATACCACCGGGAACAGTAACAACAAATTCTAAAAAATATACAACTTCAATTTCCACTCAGGTAGGGCAAAAAATTATGGTTGGGCAGAAAGGTTCCTTCAACCCTGATTGGTCAGTGGCGCTAGATTCTTTCGGCTCGTTTGTCGGCCAAACGACAAAAACCAATCGTTCCAGGGGTTTTGGCCAATTACACTATGACCGGTCAAACCAGTATGGTCGTAATTAATATAATAATATAGTTATTTTAGTTTAAAATAATATTGTTGTGATTAAAAAATTAAAAAAATTGTATTAAATAATTTAAGATTATATTGAATCCAAGTAATTGAGTAGATATGTGTAGATTAAGTAGTAAAATTAGTGGATAATTAAAAATCAACTCTAGAATTGTGTTAATGTGTAGATTAATTGCATAAACTAGTGGACAATTACTTTAAAGTAAATTTGTGTAAATATGTAGATTACTTATGTAAATTAATAAATAATTAGATGTAACTCTAAAAGTATGTATTTAGGTGGAATAATTACATGAATTAGTGTGATTGCACACTCGTTTAATTGCATACATGTGACATGATCCGAGGCTGCCACTTGCTAATTATATTTAGGGTTTGTATTCTATCTAGGATACTTTAACTCCTCTTGGTCTCAATTCTCAAACAATCCCAAACTATTTTCACTGTGTATTTATTCATTAATTGCCTCCCATCCCAAAGTACTCTATTTCGAGATGTTGTCATGTGCCATATGCTACCATTGCCTTGGTCTTGAGGATTTTGTTCCATTATACGTAAATACACATTCTATTACGTAAGGCTTCCGTAATAATCTTTTACAACTGTTACGTAAGATTACCATATGTTACGTAACCATTACGTAAGGTCTATTGTATTTTACGTAATGAGACCTGTGAAACCTGCCATAACAGGTAAAAAAATCAAATCACCTTACTTCAAATTACGGTAGGAAATCCCTATACATACATCTATCTATCTATCTATCTATCTATATCTATCTATCTATCTATCTATCTATACTATATATTATGGCAATTCAAAAGTAACTTCTTTTTTTTTTTGATAATGGTGATTTTATTAATGAGAAGCAAAACAGAAAGAAGGCACAACCCGGGAAATGGTTCAAGAGGAAAGAACCAGGATCCCAAGCAAACCAGACCGCAAGACAAGTAAAAGAAGAAGACAGAAAATAAAATGAAACAGAGGAAGAATGGAGAAATGGCTAAACGGACTGGGAACCGTTCCTGCCAATCAACAAAAGAAAGAACAGCAAATCAGACCGAACTGACCCTGCTGTAAACCAACAACAATCAACAGACAAACAGAAAGTACACCAGAAAGCAGACAATCAAGGCATTAAAACTAGGATAAGAACTCAGCAAGCCAAGCAACCGCATGCTCCTTGTCGATCTTGTGATGAGCAGTAAGCCAAACCACAACCATCTTGACTGATTTTCGAGCAATGATCTTGGCGGTAGTACCAGAATTTTTGAACATCCTCTGGTTTCTCTGTAACCAAAAGTAACTTCTTGCCACATAAGCACTTGGAGAATTCACAAGTTGCCAAGGTGGACAACTTTTTTTGCAAACAAAAAAATCATTATTGATCTATTTATGGAGCTATCTCTCTCTTCTTTTAATATTTCTACTCATTTTTACTAAAAATTAATAATAAATTACATTTTTATGAGAATGTAATCAAACACACAAAAGTATAATATTTTTGTCAATTAAAAAAAAATATAAAGATGGAAATAGAGAGTGACTATATCGAATTTGTTTAAATAAAAAAATATGATTAAATTTTATCAAGTAATTTTTCTATTCATTTTCACCAAAACTTAATAATAAGTTACATTTTGACAAAAATTTAAAAAAGTACACATATATAATAATATGTGTATCAATTAAACAAAATATTGCAATAGAAACATTGAAAACAAATGATTAAAAAAGTACACACATATATAATAATATTTTTATCAATTGACTTTGAAAATGAAATATATGAATTTATATTTTTTGTATTAACAACTCTCTTATTTCTAATGTGTTTTTTTTGGTTGAATTATTTCTAATATATATTTCTATCAAATAAAACAAGTTTTATATAGTAAAAGGTCTGAATATAAATTTGACTAAGCAATAATAGTTCTTTCGTTAAAAAACTTTTTATTCGTCATGATTAAGTGAAAACATATATTCATGTTCTATCTTCTGTTTCTCAAATTAAGAGGAATCACGTGTGCAATACTTTATAATTTGTCGTAGGGTTCATATAAAAATATTCACTCTATATCATATTAATTGAACAATCTCTATTGAAGTCATAAGTCGAATGCTAAGTAATTTCTTTTCAGATTTGGAGTTATTGTCGAACATTATTACATCAAAGTTTTCAAAATGACTTAAGTATGATTTTTGACGAGTTTTGACTTCATACCTAAGACGAGACACAACATCACTTAAAAAACAACACATGTGAAGGTTAAGAAAATCTTCGTTGAGGATATACGATAAACATCACGTTTCATCAACTACTAACCTTAGCATTGATCAAATAAGGGTTGAAAAAATTTATTTAATAGTTGATGACTTGGTAGACAAATCTAAATTCGAGGATAGAGGCAATAAATAAACATAAGTGTGTTAGTTGAGATGTCTAAACAAAAAACTTTTGTAGCTACAAGAATCTGAATTGAGGTATTGTGTTAAAATAAAGAATCTTTAATAAGGATGAGTTTAGTAAGACAATTGTAAGAAAACATTGGGATAGTTTGCTTCGTGGATTTGAAAACTGAAGGTTTTAATAAAACTTGGATTTTGTAAAAGCATGGATATATGAAGGTTTTTGGTTCATTATGTATTTGAAAATACCATATTTCATTTCATAGATTTCATGATGCATTTGGTTAATTGAATTTGTATGTTGGAAGTGAAAATGACATATATTACCCTCATTAGTATGAGAAGGGAAATGCAATATGAGGGGTAGGTTGGTCATAAATAATAATCTGCAAATTCCATGATGAATTTCCATGTAAAGAGGTGAAATTTTCAAGTCTGTGGGGCCCACAAATTTGGAACCTTAATATACATGAGACCCACATATTTGTTGCCTCTAAATACATGAAACAAGCAATGGTTGGAAAAAGTTCACGATAGCTACAAATTCATAAAGCAAACAACCCCACCTATATGGTTGTGAGTCTGTGACTCCATACCAAATTTTGGCAATAACAAAAACTTTTTCAATATCGAAGTCTCAAAATGGAAATCTTTTGGTTAGTAACAGTAAGCAATTTGTATTTAGATCGAGTTATCCTAACTACAAAATTTTCGTTTTCATATTTCAGTCGATCAACCGAGTTCATAGGTATTAATTAGGGTTAAAAATTAAAATAAAATCATTATACATATTCTTAGATATTAATAGATATGTCTACAATACTTTTAAGAATTCAAATGCATGTAAAATGTCACAATGTTTCTACGAGTTATTACATTTTTATAAAAAAAAATAAAAATTAAATTAAGTTAATAAAAATGAATGCAACATTTTGGTTTGTTCCTATTCCTTTTCTCATACAACATTGAAAATAAAACACAACATTGATAATAAAGAAACTAGATCAAGCCCCACAAAAACAAATAAAGCTCTCTTCTTATTTGCTTAAATTTTGAGTTTCTAGAATTTGTCTTCTCTACTTTTTTGTATATAGATATAGGAAAGGAAATGGTAAGGCATATTGATTTTTTTTTCCCTCTTTGTAGGAGAATAGGAGGCGGGAGTTACATGATGCACTGATTTGTTGGGAAAAAATTGAATAACTCTAACATATTTTTGCCTATTGACGAAGAAAAGTCCAACCTATCATTTCTCCCTCTTCCCTTTTGATCTGATCCGTAGTGGGCAATTGATATTTCTTCCTCGGAGATATCTGACTGCTAGCGGCTGACTAGCCAAGTTATAGTCTTCTTCCCATTCTTTTCTTAATATCTTCCAGATTACGGCGGCTGGATAGTAAATTTCCCTTTACGATTCAATGGTTGTATTTCTTCTTCGTTATTCAGGTAGTTGTTTTATGGTTCTCTGTTATCCTGTATACTTTGATGTAAACATGTAACATATAATTCAAAGGGTTCGTTGCTTGGACTTGGAGCATCTCTTCCCTTTTGATCTGATCCGCAGTGGGCAATTGATATTTCTTCCTTAGAGATATCTGACTGCTAGCGGTTGACTGGCCGAGTTATAGTCTTTTCCCATTCTTTTCTTAATATCTTCCAGATTACGGCGGCTGGATAGTAAATTTTCCTTTCGATTCAATGGTTGTATTTCTTCTTCGTTATTCAGGTAGTTGTTTTATGGTTCTCTGTTATCCTGTATACTTTGATGTAAACATGTAACATATAATTCAAAGGGTTCGTTGCTTGGACTTGGAGTATCTCTCCTTTGGTTGAATAATTGATCGTTTTCCTTGGAGGCCTATTGCAACTCGATTCCTTGGATGTAAAGATGGAAAGCATAGTTGTGAGAGTTGTTCATTATGTTTATTATGTTCATGAGTGACATGCTACTAGCTAGCTATATGACGATGATCTGATCAAGTAAATAGTATGTAACAGGGGGTTATAAGGAGGGAACATATTTGGGATTTTATAAAGGGCGCGAAGAAGAAATAAAATGGTAGTAAATGTCGATGTTTTCCCCCATTTCTAGACGTTTGTAATGACATTGGTTTGTTTCCTTAGCGTGAATTTTGCCTAATTAAATCCCTAACTAAAGCTTGATTTTGGCCTGATTGTTTCATAATAACTACTATTTGGATTGATGCATCAATTCGATACACAATGGGGGCTCTGCAATAGGGCTGGAAATCCAGTCTCGGTTTTCGGTCAAACCAGAAACCGGGCAGTTTAAACCGTTCCGGTTGTAACCGGAAACCGGATTCCAAGCAACCCAATCCAATTTGCGGTTGTACTGACCACTGTCCCGGTCCAATCCGGTTAAAACCGGAAAACCGGATTCATAATTCATAAGCCCAAAACCAGCCCATTGATCTGTAAAATGAAGCCTGCCCTAAACAAAAAATAAAAAACATCCCCAGCCCAACAAAAACACGAAGCCCAATCCCAAGAGAAGCCCTCCTAACCCTAATCCCTTTCTCAGCTATGGCTCACGCAGCCGCACCTCTGCGAGAAGCAGCACCTCTTCTCAGCGGCTGTCTTTCCCTCGATCTCTCTTCCATTTCCAATTGCAGCGGAGGCTTGGCGAAGATGAGAAAAAGTCGAGTGGCCAGCCAATAGCCTCCTTCCTGTCCGATTCGCCGCCGGCCGATTCGTTGAGGAGAAACGAGGAGGAGATGGTGAATCGCATCGTCAAGCCCTTCCTCTTCGCTTATCTCCTCCTTCAATCCCCATCTCGATCTCGCTCTTGGGACTTCCTTCAATCGGCGACGTATTGCTTGCCGCTCTCCGTTGTGTCTTCTCGTCGCTGCCTCTTGCTTGCTGCTCGTCATCACCTGTAAACATGAAGGAGAAGAGGTTGTTGGACGCCTTGCTTGATCGGCTTCACAGGAGAAAGGCTCGCCGCCATCGTCGTTTGTAAAAAAAGAGGGCTAGAGGGGAGGGAGAAGAGAAGAAACTGAAAGAAGATGACTATTGAGAAGATAAAAATTGTGCGGCTAGGAGGAGGGGAAGCGGAGCGTCCCACACTTTGTTTTTTTTTTTTAATTTGTAGACGACAGCGTTTTGGTGGGAACCTGCACAACCTAGGTTTTTTGGTTAAAACCGGACCGGATCAATTCGGTCACGGTTGAAACCGGATCCCCATCCAATCCAATTCCCGGTTGCTGATATGGCCAAAACGGTTGTAAAAAACCGGGTTAATCCGTTTCCAACCCCTACTCTGCAAGATATAATGACTTGAGTTATATTGAAGTATACAACTTTTACTATTCATTTATGTTATTATTAGGTAGAAAAACATGATCCTTTTGGCGGGGTATGTAGCTATCTACAAAATATAAATTATGATTATATGCAGTTTAGTTTACTGAAAACATAGTTTTAATAAATTAGTGACAAACAATAGTTTTATTTGTGGTTCGTTTTGCTAGAATATTTTCAAGGTAAATTAAATGAATAAGCGGAAGATTGATAATGTGGATGCCAATGTGGTTTCTCATTCTTCCAAAATTACACGAGTAACTGATACTACACGATATTTGTGGTTTCTCATTCTTCCAACGTACGAGAAGGGTGAGAAAATGAAAGCTCTTCACTTTTTTTTTTATTAATTGAAATATATTTGCAAATTTTAACTTCTTCTTTTGTGTCCTTCAAAATTTTAACTTCTTTGTCACTTTGTGTGCTAAAAAATTAATAATATCTTAGTTTATATATTAAATGGTGGATTCGATACATAATTATAAATCAATAAAGAAAGTACTACAGAGAGCTCATTTAATAAAATTAATTTTTCATAAATAAATGAAAAGATATAAAAATGTGAAACAATATATGAAATTTGGTAAGTGAGATTAACAATTCAATGTATAATAGTTTAACATAATGAATCATAAATAAAATTATAATACTAGGACGAAAAATATAATAACCAATCAAAATTTGCCGTGGGTATAAAGCTAGTTTATACTACGACAAAATTATCAACAGCCACACAAACAAGTTGCCTAAGCCCAATTGCACTGCACACGTGTCATTCCAAAATCTGGCTTTTCGACGAGACATGTTCCCCCTGTATCAAGGTACTGCTATACCTTCAATCAAAGATTATAAAAACGGATCCACAGACCACAATATGTCAGAAGAACATTTATTACTATGTAATATAATCTTCCATCGGCCCTCCTCTGGAAACATCTCTCTTCTACATTACAGAATCATCCAGTCCTCCATTGGGTTATCAGAGTTCCATGTCTATATAATCTCCTGAAACTACTTCTTCTTCTTCTTCTTCTTCTTCTTCTTCTTCTTCTTCAACTCGCTCTGTTCCTGAGGAATTGCTAACGATGAATCAACCTGAAGAGTCCTGCTCGTCCGGAATCCTGCAGAACCATTGTCGAGAAGAAAAGCAAGAATGCAACGACGACAACAACCTGCCACAAATCACGCAGGAGCTCCGCAAGTTGCTGAAACTGGCAGGCCCCTTGCTCTTCGTCAGTCTCCTGCAGTTCAGCCTTCAAATCACGTCGGTCATCTTCGTCGGCCACCTCGGCGCGCTCCACCTCGCCTCCGCTTCCCTAACAACCTCGATCGCCGGCCTCACCGGTTACAACGTCATGGTCGGAACTCTGAACTCTGAACAACTCTGTTTTTTACTCCCCTGAGAGTTCTGCACAATCCAAAAAAATTGACTATCAATTTTTCTTGCAGATAGGGATGGCGGCTGCACTCGAGACGCTCTGCGGGCGAGCCTACGGAGCGAAACAGCCCCACATGCTCGGCATCCACACGCAGAGAGCAATGCTGACGTTCACAATCCTCTGCATCCCGATCTCGGTCCTGTGGTCCTTCACGGGACCGATCCTCAGGTTCCTGAAGCAGAACGAGGCGATCTCGACGCTCGCGGGTGAGTCCGCGCCCTGGCTGATCCCGAGCATTTTTCCGTTCGGGATCATCCAGTGCCAGAACCGCTTCCTGCAGACGCAGAACATCACACTGCCGCAGATGGTGAGCAGCGCGGTGGGCTGCGTGGTCCACGCCCTGTCCTGCTGGGTGCTCATTTTCAGGCTCGACATGGGGAACAGGGGAGCCTGCCTCGCCAACGGCGTCACGTACTCGACGGTCGCGGTCATGCTTACCGCCTACATCAAGTTCTCGGGCCGGTGTGACGATACCTGGACCGGTTTCAGCTTGGAGTGTGCTCGAGACGTAGTTTCGTTCCTGAGGTTAGGGGTGCCATCGGGGCTCATGACGTGGTGAGTTTTAATTCGTTACAACCAGTTCGCATCAATAACTCGAGCAATTGGAAAGACGTGATTGTGAATGTTTGGACAGTTTGGAGTTTTGGTCTTATCAGGTTTTCATCATACTGGCTGGACTCCTCCCAAATGCACAACTTGAGACCTCTATGATGTTGATTAGGTATGCACTAGTAACTACTTATGTTGTTCCAAACATCGTCGATATTCATTACTAGCGATGTTAGTCTCCATTCTCATAGTAAGGTCGATTTTTAACGATGTGAAATTTTAACATACGAATACACGAATAGGGGGCGAAAACCCTAAACCCACCTACTATGAAATTGAAGCTGAGTGTTGTTGTCCATTGTGTGCAGCCTCAACACATCCGCCATGGCGTTCAGGATCCCCATGAGCCTTGGCAGCGCCATAAGGTAAATCAATCAATCTTTGTAACCTTCAGCCGATTGATAGTGACGGAAGCGCTAAGTTACAAGGCTGCAGGGCAATCGATCATCACCTTACGAATGTCGTTATTTGCTGTCAATTAATTAATGGGTAATTAACTTTTTTCCTTTCAACTCCTCTGTCTCTGTCAATGAAGCACCAGAGTGTCCAAGGAACTGGGCGCCGGCAATCCAGAGGCAGCCAGGCTGGCCGTACGGGTGGTGCTATTCCTAGTCGTTTTCCAAGGGCTGCTGGCGAGCTCCATCGCCACCGCGGCTCGCCACGTGTTGGGATTCTTGTACACCGACGACAGGCGATTGGTCATATACTTGGCTAGTGTCGTTCCGATTCTCGCTGCATCCAACTTCATCGATGGAATCCATGGCGTCTTGTCAGGTAATTGAGCTTAAAACAATACTAGTAGTTGACTAAATATAGTAAATCAATGAACTTGTATAGCACGTCGTCACACGTCAACGTTAGTTCACTTATTACGGTTCATTTTCCGGCGGTTGAAATGTGACGAGATACTGACGCGGTGGCTGCCGTTCAGGTTGCGCCAGAGGATGCGGGTGGCAGGAAAGAGTTGCGTACATAAGCTTGGGTTCCTATTACCTTGTCGGGATTCCGGTTGCTGCCAGCTTTACCTTCTTAGGCCATCTTCAAGGAAAGGTAAAGGACAAAATATTAAGGAATTTTGATTGACTAAGTTGGTTGTTGTTTTGAATTTGGCACCGAATTTGGGTACGATGTCGATGGGTCTAGACGTTGATGTTTGTCGATCCAACGACTTTTGTAAACATTAACGCGTGCGCGTATGTGTACAACGAGCAGGGGTTTTTGCTGGGGATTATTGCCGGGAGCACGGTGAAGGCCGGTGCGCTGTTGATCATGACGATCGGGACCAACTGGGAGCACGAAGTAATTGTTACATAACATCCTCTTTGGTCTCAATTCATTATTTTTTTTCCCAATCTCATTTTCCTAATGTTTGATTATTCAATGAAAACCGTATATGTGCAGGCGAAGAAAGCGAAGAGAAATGTGGATGCGTCGAGTCTTCCTGTAGAGATGCTACGTTCAGCGAGTAGGTCCTGTTCCATGGAGAGGCGCAGTTCCATGGAGAGGCGCCGGAGCTTTCAGGGAAGTGTTTCCGCCTGACCGCCATCATAACAACCGGCAATAGATGTTGAATCTTGTAGAGAGTTATACGCGTAATATGCTTTTTTGTCTTGTAATTTTGTTTTTTTTTTTTTCTCGATTGTGTGTTTGTATTATAAATCACAGAAGAATTCTCAAATAATACGTCTCAATTAGTTTTTCACCCCAAATTTGTTAAATCCAAGGTTGTCAACCTGGTCTAATCCGTTGGTACGGTCGAGGAAGTGGGTTGAGCGTTAATGGGCCGACCGGTTTAGCCCGGTTTAGCACAGTTACATGTAAAAAGTAATTATATTGTTGATACAATTATAGATTATATCAAATCTCATCCAACATGTGAGTAATAACATATGACATTACACAAAAATAATATGGCGTACTTGGATCCAACATTTAGTGAAATTCACATACTTATATAACATTAATATTAAAATGTTCAACTTAGAATTCCAAAAAAATAGGGTCAGGCGAAGAGGAAAACCGTAAAATAGACATATTTCACAAACCAAAGGGAAAACGAAATCGTGTGACCCCCTACCTGGTAACATTACGGTGGGTCGACCCGGTTGATGTGTATGATCCATTTTTCTCATTGGGTCAGGGTCAAAATAGGTCAATCTATGAGTCGACCCACGATTGACAACTTTGGTTAAATCAATTCCAACCACGATCTCGCCAACGAAAAATGGAAGGAGTTAAGTCAATTTTTACTCGCCCCGTCCCTTCTTGTCCATATGTTCTTACAAGGATGTGAAAACGTTGTATTTGATCACCGGACTGAACCGAAATAGAATAATATCAAAAAGTTAAAATAAACTAAGAACTAGATGAAAAGTACATTTGGTATAATGTGATCCACTTTTTTTTTTGTTAATTATGAACATAGTGTTACTAAATCGTATTACATTCGCTTTTACACGCCGGTTCCATCCTAATGTCGACTCAATCAAATTGACCAGACAGTTGTACAACCCTACATTGTGACATCAAATATATCCACCAAGTAATCATAGAAGCAAATCTTGGGCAAATGCCATCTTTCAGTTCACATTAAATGACATGCATGGGAAAAAGGGCATTCATTCCCTACTTACTCGTTTCTAGCTTGTCTCTGTTAATGGCGATCGAGGCCCCTGGATGTGGACAAGAGCAGTATTTGGTGCCACTACATCCTTTTTGCTGACATTACATTTTAACTACCTATTAAAATGAGATTTTCTTTTTATAAGCATGATATATGTTTGCTTTTTTATGGTTAGGTACTATTTAAACTATTCGAATTTGTAATCTATAAATTCAAAACTGTTGATATTACCATTAGACCAAACTCTTTTCATAAAATTAGATAAATTTTTTTTTAATATAAGTCATGCAATGTAATGAATGAATAAGAGTATTTGGTCGGCATCTCTAACTTAACGGTGGGGAAAACAACAATGATCCAAAAGCTGTTGAAGAAGCAACATTCTCCAAATACCACATGCTAGCACCACAAAAGGAACACACACGATGGTAGTCCAGTGGCGGAGTCGGGATTTGAAACTATTCATGTCCTCTTTTTCAAAATATTAATATAATTAAAACTCATAATATTCAAATAATTCATTCATAGATAAAGAAATAACCGACTAATAAAATTATTGATTGCATAACAACTACAACAAATTTTCATATATTGAAAGATGTGCAAGATACATTCGTTGTATACACTATTAAGTAGGTCATTTTCAATGTATCCCACTAAACAATCTTGTTAGGTTTCGAAACTTGATCTTTATACAGCTCAAGCTAAAAATGCTCATTCTACACTTACAGACAGTTGCAACTAGTAGAAACAAAACTAGGTTCAAAAAGAAATAAACTGACAGATATGACTTATGCACTTTTATTTCTACCATTATTTGATATAATTCATCTATTCCATTCGATCCATGAAATCTCATAACATCATGGTAATATCAAACAAGGTGTTGTAGAATAATAGTATCATGAATGGAACAAATAAATTAATTATGTTTTTGTCAATTATCAAAACAAGTAATGAGTAGTGGTGTAGTGACAAAATATTCTTATATTGCTATGAACAAGGGCATGGTCTAATGGTAATACCACTAGACCAAAAAAATATTCTTATATTACTTGTAGCCTGTAGGTGTTGGATACGCATATATGTAAATATTTTTTGGTTAAATACACTTGTATATCCAAAACTTTCACGGTTGTGTCAATAATATCCAAATTTTCCGAAATACCACTTATTACCAATTCTTTCACATTCTTTAACGGTGTTTTTGGATATACAAGTGTATTTAACCCAAAATATATTGGAAAATGGATAAATTTGACAAAGAACAATTTTAAAACATGGATATAAGTGGTATTTCGTGAAATTTGGATATTATTGGTACAACCATGAAAGTTTTGGATATACAAGTGTATTAAACCATATTTTTTCCTCCCAAATATCACCCCACTCGAGACATGTGTACTATGCGGATTGGGCTTTCGGTGAGAGAGACGGGGAGAAAGTGAAGAAGGAGATGCGCCGCCGGTGTGAGAACACGATTAACTATTAAAGGAGGCCGGCGACCAGGTTTGTGCACCAATTTCAAGTGTTGCTGCCGCTCGGTGTGAAAACACGAAAAAAGGTGAAATCTATAATGGGCCTTAAGTAAGAGTATGTGTTTAGGATGTTGGGCCGAGAGTTTGTGGGCTTATATGTAAATATAAGGAAAAACAAAAAATGAATTGGCACTCCCTAACCAGGTTGGATACGGTCCTTAAGTTAAAAACTTGAGGAGTTTCTTAAGTTTATTTCGGCCAATAGAAATAGGAGAAAAAGGATATATCTAACCGTCAAAAGGACAATTAAGATATTATCAACAAATATTAAATGTATTAAAAGAGGAAATTCAAAATTAATATTTTAGGTTTTAAAAAATAAAAATTCGTAACTAAAAATGTGATTTTTCTCTATCTCTCTCTTCAAAATGGAAATTCGAATTAAAAATGGGAGTTGGCTCTTCATTGTGACTGGCAATGATATTATTAACATTGGGCAATACATTATCAACGTTTATGAAATAGATTATTATTGTTATATCACATCATTATTAACGATTTTAATATGCTTATCAAAGCTTTACGATGTCATTATTAACATTTTCAGATCAATTTTAACGATTTGTATTTTCATCATCAACGCTTATGAAGAAATTATTAAATTTATGCCACATCATCATTATCGATTTGAATAAAATTATCATTGATTAACAACATCTTTATTAACGATACATTTTCATGTCATGCCCTCTTAGAAATTGCAATGAGTTTTAATGGCATTATCAACATTTTATGATTTTCCATTGTCATTTTAAGAGATCATAAAAACACAACACTTATTTTGACAATATTCAACACTTTTGTGATATTGTAACTATGATTCAAACAAACATTATTTGATGGAGGTGCAAAACATTAGTCAAGCAAACCAACATTCACACCCAACAACAAACCGTTAATGACACTAACAAATCATTGGAAACAAAATTGTACTTTGTTGAAAACAAGCACAAAACATTTATAATGTTCGAACTCAATACTAAGTATTAAAATATCATCCAAAAAATTCATATGAATGGTGTATTTCGTTCAAAACTAAAACAAATAATGTTAACAATGATAGCCTTCAACATTAAAAAATGACATCAAGTCGTTAATACTGGTATTGGAAACTTTTAATAACTAATGAGCAAGTCATTGATCAGAAAATTGAATTTCATTGAAAACCAACACAAAATCATTAATAAAATCCATATTCAATGTTAAGTGTCAAATACCATTTAAAATATTAAAAAAATATCATATTTGGTTAAAAAAAAAAAAACGTTAACAATGATTGGCTTCAACCGTTAGCAGTGGCGGATACATGCATGGGACACCCCTAAAATTTGAAAACACGATTATTCAACTTACGATAGTAATAGTAATTTGCGTATGAGAAAAAATGTTTAAGTGGTAGTGGGACACCTTTCAAATTTGGAAACACGATTATTCAACCTACGATAGTAATTTGCGTATGAGGAAAAAAAATTAAGTGGTAGTGGGACACCTTTAAAATTTGGGAAAATGATTATCCAATCTCCCGTAGTAGTTTGCGTATTGGTATAAATAATATTTAAGTAGTAGTTTATGTGATTTAAATTTGGGACACTGCCACTATTAGTTAATATATTTTCAATTACGCTACAACTCATTTGTATTGTGTTTTAGATCCAAATATAATAGTAAAATGTTATTCTTATCTCAAATTATTTTCAAAACCTAACGATTAAACTCAATTACGGGATATTCTTGTCTAGTAAGATATGTCGAGAGATATTTGTTGAGCAGTATAAACACCGAATGCATTTCATCATTTGATGAAACACGGCTGAACTCTTAATGAAACTTTTATTAGTTAGATATTTTCATATTAAATAATTATTTAATTTAATTCTAATATTTAATTTAATTTTTATAGAGGACACCCCTACGTAGAATTCCTGGATCTGCCACTAACCGTTAGCAAAGATCTACGATCAATTTTTAACTTTTTACATTTTCTTCATCAACACTTAAGAGGAATTATTAAAGTTATGTCAAATTCTTATTAATGATTTTAGTAATATTATCATCGATTTACAACATCTTTATTAACAATTTACGTTTTCAAGTCGTATTCATAACTAGTCAATCGTGGCTTCTTACCATGACTTCTAGTGACATTATTAAAAAAAATATCAATTGTTATCGATTCACATTGTCGTTCTCCGCGTTTATGAAATATTTTTTTCATTGATATGTAACATCATTGTTAACAATTTCAATATACTTATAAATACTTTACGATAACATTATTAACAATTTTTTATCATTTTTTGTAACATAAACCTCATCGCATACAAACAACATATAAATCGATAAACATAGAAACAGGAGATATACACAACAACATATACATCAATAAATATAGGAAGAGGAAACAACATATATACAAGTGAGGTTGTGGCTTGAACTGCCATGGACAACATAGAAATAGTTACCCATGTCGTCCCTGCGGAATTCATCAACCTACCTTTCTTCTCTTTGGCCGGTCTCTCAAGGACCAAGATCGATAGCAAGATATTGGAGTTGAGGTGTAATTGCATGATGAAGAGCAACAACTTATTATCGTCGGGGTTGTTTTGTATCTCGAAGATCATGTTGGATCTTGAGGCTGTCGGACTGCGACGGTGGAATAGGAGTGTTCTCGAGTCTCGACCAAATCGGCAACGGTCACTACGGAATGGTATTCAGTGAAAATAATACTATACTAAAATAACAAAGATATTTTGGGAAGGCGAGGCATGCGCCATTGGTTGTGAAATTTATTTATTTATCTTAATTAATTATAGTAATTATTAATACCCTAAATACCCCTTACTTCATATTAACCACTAACTCCCTATTAACTACTTCAATTGTTATTAGCCAATAGGAACAACTTAAGATAATTCTTAAGTTTATTGCCTTAAGGACCTGAACATATCCCATAAACGTATTGGGTCAGAGTTATCAGACGAGAGGCAGTTAAGGCCTAAGGGATAGAATTAGTGCCGACTGCCGAGTATATGAAAGTGGTAAGATGACAATGATTTGCAAATTACTTGTTTTTTTTTTTTCGTTACTAGTTTCAAATACTAACTCTTTTTTCTCTTCACAAACTCAATACTATCTAATTATTTTCAAAACAATGCTTTCCAACTATTTTTCATTAATACTTTTCAATTGTTTATCATAAAAGAGCCGTTATTATTTTGAAACCCAATTCAAATATACGTTATGTTCGGTTATAAAATGACATCATTTGTAAACGTTACTATTGGGGAAGAAAGTTACATAAAATTATCTCGAGACCGACTATTGGTTTTTTTTTCTTCTCGTTTAAATATATCTCCCTATTTAATCTCTCCATCTATTCCTTTTATATTATTGTTTTTTGTGCTAAAACCGATTAACTTTCGTATTTGTTTTTATATTCTTAATATCTTGAAATCGATGAGATCGCTCGTGATCGACTTTCGTACTTGGTTATACATTTTACTCATCTCTCTCACTCGATGTTGAAATCACTCACTTTCAATCGAAAGTTGAAAGAGACATCATAACCAATGAAATAGCTCGAGACCGACTTTCGTTCATGGTTATACATTCTACGAATCTCTCTAACTCGATGTTGAATAAAAAGAATGATGGAATCACTCACCCTCAATCAAAAGTCGAAAGAGGCATCAGAACTAATGAAATAGCTATAGACCGACTTTGTATTTGGTTATGCATTTTTACTCATCTCTCTCGCTTGAGGTCGAATAGAAGGTTAACAATAAAATATCACACAATCAAAAAGCACACGAAGTGGCATTGGAATCAATAAAATCGCTCGAGACCGAATTTCGTATTTGATCATGCATTTCTACTCATTTCTCTCACTCGAGGTCTAATAGAAGTTAACATTGAAATCTTTTTGTCCCAATCAAAAAGTACAAAAGTGGCATCGGAACCAATGAAATGAGATACTAGGTTCTTCCTTTTTTTCCTTTTACATTTGTTGATTTTTTTTCTTCATATCGTCTATTTCTCTTCTATTTTCTATCTTAGTTGAAAATTTAGGATGCATTCTAACTTTATCTTTTTGTTTGTTGGACTTAATAAATGAATAATTAGTTATCTTTTTGTTGTACTTACAAGAGAACAACAGTAATACGTCTCAATAATTCAAATCAAGTTCCACAACCAAAAAGGATTTTTTAAGTATACTTTTAAGTTTGTTGTTCCACAATCGGTACTTACTCATTGGCTAGCGAGTCCATTTTTTATTGTTTGCTTCGATTTATTACAAAATGTTGTTTCCTCAATTCTTATTCAGCTGCTTAGATGTTCCTATTCGTGGAATCTCTTATCATGATTGATTTTTGTTACCTATTACTTTTTTCATCGAATGAGAGTTAGGCCTCCAATTTCTAGAGTTTGTGTTCCATACATGTTATTTTATTCTCTCTTACAATCACATGCAATCTTTCATATCGCTCGCTTGACGCGAAGAGTAGCTAGCAGGCTTCTCTAGTACAAATGAAAATGAGTCATTCAAAAACTTCGTTTAACAAACAAAATGTATATGATCAAATATCTACACTTATTTGATCAAATATTTTACACCAAACAAACCATCATCATGCTTCCACTGAAGAAAAGTGCAGCATAAAATCTTCCTGTGATCAGAGTTCTTGACTTCATTAAGCTAGCTCCCCGAGAGCTATAACATGAATTACTACCCACAATTGCAAGAAATGCAGCATGATTCCCTCAGCACCTCTTTACACCTCCATGTTCTTGTCGCCTTTGCACCCTTTTCCTTTGATGCACTTGATCAAATCGTTGGCAGTTGCAATACCTAGACAGCCCCAATTATCAAAAACAAAAATGGACAAAATAGATAAGAGAAGATAGAGAAAGACTAAATTAATGGAAATGAGAAATGAGACCTTCCAAGTAAGCTCCATCCACGTAACCAAGGAACTTATTGCTGTTGTGCTCTCCTGTAAAGTAGACTGGACCAACAGGTGCCTGCGAAACAAAACAGAAACAATATAACACTGACGGGATTCAAATCAGGTACCTCCAGGTTCAAGACTAATCGTATTATCACTAAGCTAAACTCTAGTTGGGTGAATTACTGGGCTCTTTCACTCACCCCTAACTGGTCGTGCTTTTCCTGGTTGTAGTTAGCTGGCCAGTTGGAATAGCTTCCCTTGTAGAACCGGTGCAATCCCCATCTGGGCACCAGTATGTTCTCCGGATTTGGTATTTTGTCCCCAAACATCTTCTTTAGCACAGCCATGGCCTCTGCTTGTATGGCCGCATTGGACAACTGCTCCACCCTTCTCGACTCGTCCGAGGTCACCGTTACCATCAAAATGTTCGATCCCGGATACTCGTTATCCAGATGCTGCAAACGAAAGCATATCCTTATTTCGCTTATCAATTAGATTTCAAGTAAAAAAAAAAAATTAAAGGCATGAATGATCCTAGCTAGTTACCTGCCACACTGGATAATATCCACGTTGGATGTGGGTATAGAGGAAAATCTCTGTTCCAGGTTCACCACTTGGCCAGAACTTATAAGGAAACTTGATGAATATCTTGGTGTATATAGTCATGCTAAAATCGGATATTGCCATTCTTTTCCACATCTGAAAAACGTTTTAATAGTGCAATAAATGAATACCGCAACCAAAATGAAGTTCGGGAAAGGAAAAGACAGAAACAGATTGGTATCAAACCGGAAGCGTGAGCTTGAACTGGATGAGGTCACTTTGGAGGACACCAACACTTGCGGAGACAATGACATAATTTGCTGAGTAAGTCGAACCATCTTCAGTTTTGATCGTGACTCCAGTCTTGGAGTAAGCTATCTCCCTCACCACCTGAAAACCATGGATTCCACAAAAGGAAATGTGTAACAGAGAAAGATTGATTGATACGGCGCGATGACAAAGTAGATGGTGGCACTGGTTAGTTTTTGGACCTTTTTGAGCTTCAGTTGAACGGGGCTTCCTTTCTTTAGAATCTGGCTGGCGAGATACTGAACCACAACCTCGAACCCTCTTGGATCCATGACGAAATGTGGATATTCGCCATGCTCTTCGAATTGGGCACGAGGGTAAGTGTGCTTCAAGCTTGTCACTCTCGGGGGCTCTGCATCTTCGTAGTCGTTATGGAAAAAATCAATTACCATTTCCAGTGGCGTCAACGGCGGCCTGCCAAAACAGCAAACCCCAAAACTCTGTTTTGCCTAAATGCCAGAACATGAATAACAAACAAATATATGTAGTTTTGGTTTCCAATGAATACCTTCCGTAGAGCCGTTGGCTTGCCAAAATTGACACATCAACGTCTTTCTTCTTGTTGCGAGACAACTTCCTGGAGAAATTCGAGCAGTACTCATCCCGTGCTGTGGCCACCTCGTCTACCTTTTCCACGTCCTTCTTCGGGTACAACCCTCCCCTGTTTTTAATTTCACTCAGCAAACAATTGAACTGCTTTGAAAGGGGTTTGGACCAGAAGTAGAAATATGGAGAGTTGGAAATAATTTTTACTCTTGTTTGTAGGTGTTTTCAGCGATGTTGGAGTAGTCATTAATGTAAGATTTGAGATTCACTTTCTTCGCCAAATCAACAAGTGGGTTAGCGACAGGGCCTCCACTGTTGTACCAATTCGCACCCATTTCGACGGTGTAGCCGCTGAAGTCGGCCTTCAACATCCTGCCGCCGATTCTGGAGCTGGCTTCCAGGATCAGGATGTCCTTGATTCCGGCCTCGTAAAGTGTCTTCGCCGCCGAGATTCCTGAATGCTCAATAAATGGGTTTATTCGTGTTAATTAGGTCGCTGAAAAACAGAGTGCTGAAAAACAGAGCAAGTTTACTTCGCGAATGAATGCGATCTTTTTCATAGGGCTTTTTGTCTGCGGTGTTTACCTGACATTCCGGCTCCGATGACGATGACGGAGGGTGATTGGGCGGCTGTTGCTGCTGAGAAGAGAAGGGTGACAAAGAGGGAAATCAATGACATAGCAGCCATCTTCACTGTTCCCCTGCTGCTTGAGAAATGAAGAGTGAAAGTTTCGGGCTCTCCATAGTTTCTCAGTTTATAGGCAAACAAAACCACCGGCCAGTGTATAGTATGATAGCAGCCTTTTGGCTTTTCTTCTTCCTCTGCCGTTGGGCTTTTATTCTTTCGTTGACTGATCGTCTGATCCTCTTCTTTTTGGCCGAAGATGGAGATTGTATATATATATCGGTTGCTGTCTTTGTAGAAAGCCTAGGAAACTCCAATGCTTGATGAAAAAAATATAAAAATCTACCTGACAAACCTAAAAATTCCAAAGAGCTAGAAAAAGAATTTCTTGAGACCCATATTTGACCCACAAACGTCCAAAACAACTTGGAAAATTCAACCCCCGCAATCCGTAAAGCAGCGGGTGTAGACCAGACCGTTAGAAAAACCACGATCCAAACTGGATCTCACAGTTTAGTCCGGACCGTAGACCGTTAAGTATGTTCTGGTCTGGTTTATGGTCTGTATTATATGATGTTTTCATCTCTTGGTCTGGTCTCGTCTAGACCGCGGTTTACCGGACCAAACCGTGGACCCCAATCGACTTGTCAATACGTGTTAATAGCCCATTTGACCACTCTACCAACTACTACAACGGCACCCAAGTTTATACCTTAATTTTAAGAATCTCGTCCCTCCTTCATTCACGAACACATTTCACCAGAGAGTAGAGATAATTGTGTCTTCATATGACATTATGTTAATATTTATGACGTTATGGTGCAAGTTAAGGAGTTTCTTAAGTTTATTTCAGCCAATAAAAATAAGAGAAAAAGGATATATCTAATCGTCAAAAGACAATTAAGATATTATCAACAAATATTAAATGCATTAAAAGAGAAAATTCAGAATTAATATTTTAGGTTTTAAAAAATAAAAATTCGTAACGTAAAATGTGATTTTTCTCTCTCTCTCTCTCTCTTCAAAATGGAAATTCGAAATTAAAAATGGGAGTTGGCTCTTCATTGTGACTGGCAATGATATCTATCTATCTATACATAATATTATGGCAATTCAAAATAAAATTTTTGCCACATAAGCACTTGGAGAGATCTCAAGTGGCCATGGTGGACACTTTTTTTACCGAAAAAATAATTATTGACCTATTTATGGAGTTGTCCCTCTCTCTTCATTTAATATTTAATTCTCTTTTATCCAATAATTATTTTGTTTTTGTTTTTGCATTATATCTATAAATAACATATGGAGAGAAAGATTATCAAACCGGTTTAGCAAGTGGAATGTTTTACCAGTGGTACAACCGGTTTAATTATTCATATAAAATGAATTTAATCCTATATAAACCATATTTTTTGAAGACAATTTACGTACAATTCATATTGATATTTGAATAAAATATGATATTTCAAATAAAATTACATGTACTCATACTTAAATTCACTAAAACTACGTATTATACTAAGAAATTCGTAAAACGATCATTCCGGTCATACCGATGGTGTCATGTCGATATCATGACCGGTACCGGTTGAATTGTTCAACCGGTGGCATGCCGACCGACGTGACAATCATGATGGAGAGTGACATATATCACATTTTGTTTTTTCATTATATCGATGTACGCAACAGTATACTAATGTATGTAGAGTGACATATATATTACACTTTTTAAACAAAATTTATATATGATTAAAGATTACTATGTAAATTTTTGCTCATTTTTACTAAAACTTAATAATAATTTACATTTTAACGAATAATGTAAACAAACACACAAAAATAAGAATATTATGTCGATAAGGTCTGAAAAAAACTTGACCAAGAAATAATAGTTATTTATTAAAAAAGCTTTTTATTCATTCTGATCAAGTGAAAACATATGAATCGCATGTGCAGTATTTATAATGTATCCTAAGTTCACATTCCTAATATTTTCTCTAGGTCATGTTGATTGAGCAAGCTCTATTGAACTTAGTTATTGTTAAAAATTATAAATTGAAGTTTTCAAAATGACTTGAGTATAATAGTTGATGAACTTTGATGTCATATTCTAGGATGAGACACGAGATCCCTTGAAAAATGAAATGTGTGAAATTTAGAGAAATCTCTCTTAAGGATGTACGTTAAACATCACATTTCATGTTAAGAAAAATCTAAATTATGAGGTACTAAATAAACATTAATGTTTTACTTCACATATATAACAAAAAAATTATAGTTATAATAGTGTAAACCGAGCTATTGGGTCAAAAGAAGAATATTTAATAAATATGAGTTTAGTAAGAAAATTGTAACAAGCCTATATAGTTATGAGCCTGGGATTTCGTACCAAAATTTGGAAATAACAAAAAAAATTGATATGATATTCCACCCAAGGAGTTGAGTTCAAAGGTATTAATTAGTGTTGAAAGTAAAATAAACTCTCAGTATATATATGTTTAGATATTAAGAATAGATGTGTCTATAATACATCCAATAATTTAAATTCATGTGAAAAGCCACAATGTTTGTATGAACTTTTAAAATTTGCTACAAAACATGTTAAGATGAGAACCTTCGATAGTGTATATGAATGCCTTGGATTCAGATTCTAAACGAACATCTACACAAAAGACAAGTGTTGAGGGTTAGTCCAAACTTAAAATATTAGCAATTGATATATATTGTAAGATAATAATAATTTGTATCTTGATAGAAAAATTGTCAGAAGTTGTTATACAAAAACTTCATGAACATCAACAATAAAAATGAGTAAGTTAAGAGAATTTAATCATTATAAGGGATACGATGTGTGTCAAATTTCAATTGGGATAAACATAATTTATCCAGTAATCGAGTATCTTTTTCCAATGTTTTGAACTCTGATTAATTGGCTGAGAGTTTGTACAAACTCGAGAATCATGAATTGATATTTGTTGTATAAGATAATAAATTTGAGCGTCTTGGTGAAAAGTTTTTTATATACGATCCTAAATGGGACGTGATAAATCTTTACGACATGATTTATGATCAGAGAATAAAAACATCACAAGCGAGTTGCTAACTATTAAATATTAAGAATTTTCGATATAGGCATACCACATATTCACTTATGAAGCGAGAGCAGAAAATGTATACAAGTTCCAAAAAATTCAAACATGTAGATAAGTTAACTAATATAAATAATAAAATGAACTTCTCCGGCCAACTGGCCGGGTAAAAAACTAGTTATTAATATTGGGCAATACATTATCAACGTTTATGAAATAGATTATTATTGATATATCACATCATTATTAACGATTTTAATATGCTTATCAATGCTTTACGATGTCATTGTTAACATTTTTAGATCAATTTTAACGATTTGTATTTTTTTCATCAACTCTTATGAAGAAATTATTAAATTTATGTCACATCATCATTATCGGTTTGAATAAAATTATCATTGATTAACAACATCTTTATTAACGATACATTTTCATGTCATGCCCTCTTAGAAATTGCAATGGCTTTTAATGCCATTATTAACATTTTATGATTTTCCATTGGCATTTTAAGAGATCATAAAAACACACACTTATTTTGACAATCTTCAACACTTTTGTGATATTGTAACTGTGATTCAAACAAACATTATTTTATGGAGGTGCAAAACATTAGTCAAGCAAACCAACATTCACACCCAACAACAAACCGTTAATGACACTAACAAATAATTGGAAACAAAATTGTACTTTGTTGAAAACAAGCACAAAACATTTGTAATGTTCGAACTCAATACTAAGTATTAAAATATCATCCAAAACATCATATGAATGGTGTATTTCGTTCAAACTAAAACAAATAACGTTAACAATGATAGACTTCAACATTAAAAAATGACATCAAGTCGTTAATACTGGTATTGGAAACTTTTTAATAACGAATGAGCAAGTCATTGATCAGAAAATTGAATTTCATTGAAAACCAACACAAAATCATTAATAAATTCCATATTCAATGTTAAGTGTCAAATACCATTTAAAATGTTAAAAAAGTATCATATTTGGTTCAAAACCAAAACAAAAACGTTAACAATGATTGGCTTCAACCGTTTGCAAAGATCTACGATCAATTTTTAACTTTTTATATTTTCTTTCATCAACACTTAGGAGGAATTATTAAAGTTATTTCAAATTGTTATTAATGATTTTAGTAATATTATCATTGATTTACAACATCTTTATTAAATATTTACGTTTTCAAGTCGTATTCATAACTAGTCAATCATGGCTTCTTACCATGACTTCCAGTGACATTATTAAAAAAAATTATCAATTGTTATCGATTCACATTGTCGTTCTCCACGTTTATGAAATATTTTCATTGATATGTAACATCATTGTTAACGATTTCAATATACTTATAAATACTTTATGATAACATTATTAACGACTTTTCATCATTTTTTTAACATAAACCTCATCGCATGCACAACAACATATAAATCGATAAACATAGAAACATGAGATATACACAACAACATATAAATCAATAAATATAGGAAGAGGAAACAACATATATACAAGTGAGGTTGTGGCTTGAACTGCCATGGACAACATAGAAATAGGTAACCACGTCGTCCCTACGGAGTTCATCAACCTACCTTTCTTCTCTTTGGCCAGTCTCTCAAGGACAGAGATCGATAGCAAGATATTGGAGTTGAGGTGTAATTGCATGATGAAGAGCAGCAACTTATCATCGTCGGGGTTGTTTTGTATCTCGAAGATCATGCTGGATCTTGAGGTTGTCGGACTGCGGCGGTGGAATAGGAGTGTTCTCGAGTCTCGACCAAATCGGCGACGCTCGCTACGGAATGGTATTCAGTGAAAATAATACTATACTAAAATAACAAAGATATTTTGGGAAGGCAAGGCATGCGCCATTGGTTGTGAAATTTATTTATTTATCTTAATTAATTATAGTAACCATTAATACCCTAAAACCCCTAACTTCATATTAACCACTAACTCCCTATTAACTACTTCAATTGTTATTAGCTAATAGGAACAACTTAAGATAATTCTTAAGTTCCTTAAGGACCTGAACTTATCCCCTAAACGTATTGGGTCAGAGTTATCAGACGAGAGGCAGTTAAGGCCTAAGGGACAGAATTAGTGCGGACTGCCGAGTATATGAGAGTGGTAAGATGACAATGATTTGCAAATTACTTGTTTTTTTCATTTACTTGTTTCAAATACTAACTCTTTTTTCTCTTCACAAACTCAATACTATCTAATTATTTTCAAAACAATGCATTCCAACTATTTTTCATTAATACTTTTCAATTATTTATCATAAAAGAGCCGTTATTATTTTGAAACCCAATTCAAATATACGTTATGTTCGGTTATAAAATGACATCATTTGTAACCATTACTATTGGGAAAGAAAGTTACTTAAAAATATCGTGCAAAAATAATATATTACATGTTGGTTACAAAATGTATTGTATTTTCGTTGTTGTGTTATTATAAGAACAAACAAGAAAATGAAACGTATTACAACTAAGAGCGAGATAATATTATTATTCTATTATAAAAAATAATAGTTTTGATTCTACTATTCATTCAGATGATTTTTTGGTAAATAACCCTAACTTTAAGGTCATTCTTCCAAAAGAGACATATGACATCCTTTTATTGGTTTCTTTTTCTTCTCGTTTAAATATCTCTCCCTATTTAATCTCTCCATCTATTCCTTTTATATTATTGTTTCTTGTGCTAAAACTGATTAACTTTCGTATTTGTTTTTATATTCTTAATATCTTGAAATCGATGAAATCGCTCGAGATCGACTTTTGTACTTGGTTATACATTTTACTCATCTCTCTCACTCGATGTTGAAATCACTCACTTTCAATCGAAAGTTGAAAGAGGCATCATAACCAATGAAATAGCTCGAGACCGACTTTCGTTCTTGGTTATACATTCTACGAATCTCTCTAACTCGATGTTGAATAAAAAGTTAATGATGGAATCACTCACCCTCAATCAAAAGTCGAAAGAGGCATCGGAACTAATGAAATAGCTATAGACCGACTTTGTATTTGGTTATGCATTTTTACTCATCTCTCTCGCTTGAGGTCGAATAGAAGGTTAACAATAAAATATCACACAATCAAAAAGCACACGAAGTGGCATTGGAATCAATAAAATCGCTCGAGACCGAATTTCGTATTTGGTCATGCATTTCTACTCATTTCTCTCACTCGAGGTCTAATAGAAGTTAACATTGAAATCTCTCTGTCCCAATCAAAAAGTACAAAAGTGGCATCGGAACCAATGAAATGAGATACTAGGTTCTTCCTTTTTTTCTTTTAGATTTGTTGACTTTTTTTCTTCTTCATGTCGTCTATTTCTCGACTATTTTCTATCTTAGTTGAAACTTTAGGGTGCATTCTAACTTTATCTTTTTGTTTGTTGGACTTAATAAACGAATAATTAGTTATCTTTTTGTTGTACTTACAAGAGAACAACAGTAATAAGTCTCAATAATTCAAATCAAGTTCCACAGCCAAAAAGGATTTTCAAGTGTACTTTTAAGTTTGTTGTTCCACAATCGGTACTTACTCATTGGTCAGCGAGTCCATTTTTTATTATTTGCTTCGATTTATTGCAAAATGTTGTTTCCTCAATTCTTATTCAGCTACTTAGATGTTCCTATTCGTGGAATCTTTTACCATGATTGATTTTTGTTACCTGTTACTTTTTTCATCGAATGAGAGTTAGACCTCCAATTTCTAGAGTTTGTGTTCCATACATGTTAGTTTATTCCCTCTTACAATCACATGCAATCTTTCATATCGCTCGCTTGACGCGAAGCGCAGCGAGCAGGCTTCTCTAGTACAAATGAAAATGAGTCATTCAAAAACTTTGTTTAACAAACAAAATGTATATGATCAAATATCTACACTTACTAAATGGCTAAATTGCAAGTTTGGTCACTTGAATTACTAGTAAAATTCACGTTTGCCACTAAAATTAATTTATTTCATCTGTAGTCACTTAAATTAGGTTAGCAGTTCAAATTTGGTCACTGGCCGTTAGTCTCCGTTAACTTTTGCTGATGTGGCGGTCAACTCTCACCATTGACTGTTAAGTGAGTGACGTGGCAATTAAAAAAAATAAAAAATAAAATTTATTCTATTAACAATTTCCACTTCACTATAAAAATAAGGTAAAATAAAGAAAAAATAATTATATCCTCCACTCCTTCGCTAACCTCCGGCCAGCTCCACATCTACGCACATACATATACAAAAGACCCCAAAAATCTCCCGACGTCCGATTTTCTCGGAGACGAAGCATACACAGAGTCCCTCTTCTCATACCCTCTCGATAAGCTCGACGTTTCTGTCGGATTCCGACCTCCCCCTGCCCATCGTTTTCATAATGCGCATCTCCTAGACAACCCTAAATTCGACGGTCCAGATACGCCGGAGAACGCATACCATAAGTGTGCCGATGACGGAATCGAAGGTCTTAATCGAGGAGAAGATAAACCGCCGCGAAGAAAGGGAATCGACACCGCGGCGGTGAACAAATTGATGAATGCTTCCATTTCCGATCCTCCGACGAAACTTAGTCATCGTTGCCCACCGCAGAACCAAACGCCCTGATCCAAAAACGAGCTCTCAGCTTTCTTACCTTCCAATATGAAGAGAATGAAAAATGAAATCCCCAATAAACCTGGGTTGCCTTGAATAGATTCAATCTGCATTGAGAACCCCAAATTACCAGCTCCGGCAATATCAACTTCGCTCCCGTCGCCACCACTCTGCTCCACACCATCCAACTCTAAGCTAATTAAACCGAAACCCATTGAATTATGCCCCAAACTAAGAACATCAAAATCAAGAAAAAGAAAAATAAACCCTCGATTGAAATTATACCAGAGACAATTGGGTTCGCCTAGATCTAGCTAAACCGATCTTCAAGAGCGTATAGAATACGCACACCCTGCCAGCCCACAGAACATGGGACTCAAGCAGAGGAGTCGAAATAGGGTCGTTGGGCATTGGGTTTGGGTCACATGGGTCGACGACGACGTTCGTATTGGGTCATGGCGGCAGGGGTTTGGTTCCGTGGTTGGCGACGACTGCTAGATTTGGCCGGAGGAAAGGAAATGGAAGGGTTAAAAAGTCTTTAATGGGACGGCCCAAGTTATGGCAGCGGAGAAGGGTGGGTGAGGGAGTTGTGGATGGTACTGGTGAAGCGTGGGCGGCGGCGTAGTGGAGGAATAATCTGATGGTGTTTGGGAAAATATGAGATGTGCGTATATGTGGAGCTGGCCGGAGGTTAGGGAAGGAGCGGAGGATGCTAATTATTTCTTATTTATTTTAACTTATTTTTATAGTGACGTGGAAATTGTTAATAGATTATTTTTTATTTTTTAATTTCCACGTCACTCACTTAACGGTCAACGGTGAGAGTTGACCGCCACATCAGCAAAAGTTAACAGAGACTAACGGTCAGTGACCAAATTTGAACTGTTAACCTAATTTAAGTGACTACGGATGGAATAAATTAATTTTAGTGGCAAACGTGAATTTTACTAGTAATTCAAGTGACCAAACTTGCAATTTAGCCCTTACTAAATGTATATATTTTACACCAAACAAACCATCATCATGCTTCCACTGAAGAAAAGTGCAGCATAAAATCTTCCTGTGATCAGAGTTTTGACTTCATTAAGCTAGCTCCCCGAGAGCTATAACATGAATTACTACCCACAATTGCAAGAAATGCAGCCTGATTCCCTCAGCACCTCTTTACACCTCCATGTTCTTGTCGCCTTTGCACCCTTTTCCTTTGATGCACTTGATCAAATCGTTGGCAGTTGCAATACCTAGACAGCCCCAATTATCAAAACAAAAATGGACAAAATAGATAGGAGAAAGATCGAGGAAGACTAAACTAACAACAATATATGGAAATGGGAAATGAGACCTTCCAAGTAAGCTCCATCCACGTAACCAAGGAACTTATTGCTGTTGTGCTCTCCTGTAAAGTAGACTGGACCAACAGGTGCCTGCGAAACAAAACAGAAACAATATAACGCTGACGGGATTCAAATCGGGTACCTCCAGGTTCAAGACTAATCCTATTATCACTAGGCTAAACTCTAGTTGGGTGAATTACTGGGCTCTTTCACTCACCCCTAACAGGTCGTGCTTTTCCTGGTTGTAGTTAGCTGGCCAGTTGGAATAGCTTCCCTTGTAGAACCGGTGCAATCCCCATCTGGGCACCAGTATGTTCTCCGGATTTGGTATTTTGTCCCCAAACATCTTCTTTAGCACAGCCATGGCCTCTGCTTGTATGGCTTCATTGGACAACTGCTCCACCCTTCTTGACTCGTCCGCGGTGATCGTTACCATCAAAATGTTCGATCCCGGATACTCGTTATCTAAATGCTGCAAATGAAAGCATATACTACTTTGCTTATGGAGTTTATCTAAAGGCAAGAATAGTTCTGGCTAGTTACCTGCCACACTGGATAATATCCACGTTGGACGTGGGTGTAGAGGAAAAACTCTGTTCTAGGTCCAGCACTTGGCCAGAACTTGTAGGGAAACTTCATGAATATCTTTGTGTATATCGTCATGCTAAAATCGGATATTGCCATTCTTTTCCGCATCTGAAAAAAAAAACGTGTAGTTGTGCAAGAAATGAATTACAACACGGGGATGAAAATGAAACCAAAATGAAGTTCATCAAAGGAAAAGACTGAAACAGAGTGGTCAACCGGAAGCGTGGGCTTGAATTTGAGAAGGTCACTTTGGAGAACACCAAGACTCGCGGAGACGATGACATAATTTGCTGAGTAAGTCGAACCATCTTCAGTTCTGACCGTAACTCCACTCTTGGAGTAAGCTATCTCCCTCACCACCTGAAAACATTGATTGTGTCCTAGGAAAGATTGGTATGGTGACCAAGTAGATGAATCGCTAGTTACTAGTTAGTTTCAGACCTTTTTCAGCTGCAATTGAACGGAGCTTCTTCCTTTCTTTACAATCTGTCTGGCGAGATACTGAACTAGAACCTCGAACCCTCTTGGATCGGTGACGAAATGCGGATTGCCACCATGCTCTTCGAACTGGGCATGAGGGAAAGTGTGCTTCAAGCTTGTCACTCTCGGGGGCTCTGCATCTTCGTAGTCGTTGTGGAAAAAATCGATTACCATTTCCAGTGGCGTCGATGGCGACCTGCCAAAACAGGAAACCCCAAAACTCTGTTTTCATAAATGCCAAAACATGAATAAGAAGCAAATGTTTGATTTTGGTTTTCCAATGATTACCTTCCGTAGAGCCGCTGTCCTGCCAAAATTGATACATCAATGTCTTTCTTCTTGTTGCTAGACAACATTTTCGAGAAATTCGAGCAGTATTCGTCCCGTGCTGTGGCCACCTCGTCTACCTTTTCCACATCTTTCTTCCGGTACAACCCTCCCCTGTTTTCATTTCACCCACAAACAAATTAACAATTGAACTTGCTCTGAAAGGGGTTTTGAACGAGAAGTAGAAATACGGAGAGTTGGGAATAATTTACTCTTGTTTGTAGGTGTTTTCAGCGATGTTGGAGTAGTCATTGATGTAAGATTTGAGGTTCACTTTCTTGGCCAAATCAACGAGTGGGTTAGCGACGGGGCCTCCACTGTTGTACCAATTTGCACCCATTTCGACGGTGTAGCCGCTGAAGTCGGCCTTCAACATCCTGCCGCCGATTCTGGAGCTGGCTTCCAGGATCAGGATGTCCTTGATTCCGGCCTCGTAAAGTGTCTTCGCCGCCGAGATTCCTGAAACGCTCAATAAATGGGTTTATTCGTGTTAATTAGGTCGCTGAAAAACAGAGTGCTGAAAAACAGAGCAAGTGTACTTCGCGAATGGATGCGATCTTTTTCATAGGGCTTTTTGTCTGCGGTGTTTACCTGACATTCCGGCTCCGACGACGATGACGGAGGGTGATTGGGCGGCTGTTGCTGCTGAGAAGAGAAGGGTGACAAAGAGGGAAATCAATGACATAGCAGCCATCTTCACTGTTCCCCTGCTGCTTGAGAAATGAAGAGTGAAAGTTTCGGGCTCTCCATAGTTTCTCAGTTTATAGGCAAACAAAACCACCGGCCAGTGTATAGTTTGATAGCAGCCTTTTGGCTTTTCTTCTTCCTCTGCCGTTGGGCTTTTATTCTTTCGTTGACTGATCGTCTGATCCTCTTCTTTTTGGCCGCCGGAAATGGAGATTGTATATATATCGGTTGCTGTCTTTGTAGAAAGCCTAGGACCAACTCCAATGCTTGATGAAAAAATATAAAAAACTACCTGACAAGCCTAAAAATTCCAAAAAACTAGAAAAAAAAATATTTCTAGAGACCCATATTTGACCCACAAACGTCCAAAACAACTTGGAAAATTCAACCCCCGCAATCCGTAAAGTAGCAAGAATAGACCAGACCGTTAGAAAAACCACGGTCCAAATCGGACGGCACAGTTTGATACGGACCGTAGACTGTTAAGTATGATCTGGTCTGGTTCATGGTCTGTATTATCTGATGTTTTCATCTCTTGGTCTAGTCTCGTCTAGACTGCGGTTTACCGGACCAAACCGTGGACCCCAATCGACTTATCAATACGTGTTAATAGCCCATTTGACCACTCTACCAACTACCACAACGACACCCAAGTCTCCACCTTAATTTTAAGAATCTCGTCCCTCCTTCATTCACGACCACATTTCACCAGAGAGTAAAGATAATTGTGCTTCATATGACATTATGTTAATGTTTATGACGTTATGGTGCAAGTTGGGATGCTTTTACTTTGTATCTTTGTTATGTACTAAGATTTAGGGTATCAAAATTATTAATGCATGTTAGAATTAATGTTTTAAAGCAAAAAAACAATTATTTTTCTTGGTTATTGCCTATTGGTTCAATTTTTTGTGTGGTTGACTAAACAAATTGTTCGATTTTCATGTAGTGTGGTCTATCTGGACCACACCAGACCGCATAGGCGTGGTCTGGACCAAACCATATAGTATGTGGTCTGGTCTATGGTCTATAATTCAGCCTCTCAATCTGGACTATAGACCGTATATATGATATGGTCCCAGACCGCACCATTTCCCAGCCCTAATAAGAGCAACAAAGCGTCAAAGCCCTTCTTGCAGCTGGCAATTTTCAATGCTTGTTTGGAATTTGAAAACAAAATTGAAAAAATTATCTTCCAGGTCCCAAATTACCCTCCTTATTGGAAATGAGTCTAAAGATCAAATTTCTTGTGTAAGGCTTGGATTTAAATTTTAGAGGATGGTTCTGTCAGCTACTATGAATCCATGAATGCAATTTGGAGGTGCATTGGAGTCATATATGCTTTTAAAGTATGGGGATTTTACGAATTGGCGGGGGCTTGATTTCTCGATGGAAGATCACCATCTATCCATTTGAGGTGTGGAATGGGACATCGAGTAGAGCAAGCGCAACACCAATGAAAATTGAGTGCCTAAGTAATGTGGTTAGTCAAGTTCTGATAACTATTATATATTTAATTTCTTAGTTAATTATCTTGTCTATACTTATTATTTATTAATATACTTGAATTACTTGTGTAGTTTGAAGAAAGGGGGGAAATTACTAGCGGACACCGAAAAGTATTTTAAGTTGGAGCATTGCTGATATATATTCTAAAATTCTCCAAATTTTAAGCAATAATTTTTTGCCCCCATCACCCATTCCACCAATGGATGGATCTTTTATCAATCATGCCATCCGGAAAAAGTGATATCCCTCATACTTTCAAGCAAGTGTGACCCTTTTGTGATCAACTATCTTGAAAAGCATAATAAGCAAAAGAAGAAGAAAAGAGAGAAAAAGATGATATTGTGGTTTTGTGCCAAGATGCTCCGGAAGGATCCACCTATAGCCCAATAATGACCATTATTATGCCCATGACATGTATAATCTTTTAAGTGGGTTGTTTTTATATAGTGTATTATTTTATGTAGTTTGGTTTATGGTTAAATCCCATATAATATTGCGGAGGCGTACTTGTCGGAAGTAGTGATGGCAATGGGGCGAGCGAGGGTACTCAATATCCAAACCCGCCCCGCACTAAGCAGGCCTCGGGTTGGGTAATACCCGCACGGTATGGGGCGGACCGGTTCGACCCATTCTTATATGATATTTGTAAAAATTGACATCGATGTTTACCTCTCTTACAAGAAGAAATAAAGAAAACACTTTATAAATGAAGGAGAAATATTATGGAAGGAATAATTGAGTCCAAACCGTTGAAAGATAGAGTGTTTAAAATTTAAAAATAATCAAATACGATTTTAGAGATGTCAAAAAAGGAGATATACAAGACTACAAGTAGATATTAATGAAAATCGTGATAGAACGGGTTGCGAACACGAGACATGCCGAAAACAATACTCACACCCCCGTCTCACGCTATTGTGGGTCATGTAATACTAGCATCAAATTGATCGAACGGATCGAATTTGCACGCGAACCATGTCAAAATTACCATCACTAATCGTTAAAAATCTCTCACTCGTTCCTACACGAACTGCTCTCGAGTGGCGCCTAGTGATCGATAGCGACGACAATACGGAGTCCCCTCTGTTTCTGATTGGCTCCAAAGCTTCTTCACGCAAAACTAACATTGTTGTTGTCCTTCATCAGCAATTGCTTACTTCGTAGTAAGTACACATCGCCGGATGAGAATGGAACTATGGAAGCTTCGTAGTTTTGCGCGACTAGTTTTCCGTTTTGCGCGATAAGACGTGCAAAGGATGATTTTTATTGAAGCAAAAGCAGAAACCCATATGCCAAATGCAGGCCAAACCCACAACCAATTCACCCTAAATTACAACCCTGACCAGTTACACATCGTAAGTAGACAAAGAGCAGAGCATCAAATCTCTCTGCCGATCAGTGTTCTTGACTTCATCATCAATCTCCCCAAGAGCTTGCATTATTAATAATTCACCACCGACACTTTCAACAAAGGCGTCCTGATTCCCTCTCCATGATCTCTCTACATCTTCATGTTCTTGTCGCCTTTGCAGCCCTCTCCCTTGATGCACTTGATCAAATCGTTGGCAGTTGCAATACCTAGAGAAACATCAAAAAATCCACAACCAAACCCCCCCAATTATCAGAACAAAAATGGACAAAAGAGATAAGATAAGATTGAGAGAAAGACTGAACTAACAGACAAAACAAATAGATGGAAATGGAGGTAAAGAAATCACCTTCCAAGTGAGCCCCATCCACATAACCAATGAACTTATTGCTGTTGTGCTCTCCTGTAAAGTAGACCGGACCAACTGGTGCCTGCAAAATTAAACCGGAAATAGAAAGAACACCTATGGTCAGCCAAAACCCAGAAATAGTTCTAGTCCTAGAGAACAGCCAATGAACACCTGTGGTCGTTAAGCCAAATTAGGGGGGAAGAGTAGTTGCAAATTGCAATAGATTGGATTTTTGTAGTAAGTTCTTTCACTCACCCCTAATTGATCGTGCTTTTCTTGGTTGTAGTTAGCTGGCCAATTGGCATAGCTTCCTTTGAAAAACCGATGGGATCCCCATCTCGGCACCAGTATGTTCTCCGGATTTGGAATCTTGTCCCCGAAAATCTTCTTCAGCACAGCCATGGCCTCTGCTTGTATGGCCTCATTCGACAACTGCTCCACCCTTCGTGATTCGTCCGCGGTCACCGTTACCATCAGGATGTTCGATCCTGGGAACTCGTTGTCGAGATGCTACAAACGAAAGTGTAAAAAAAAAATTGATTATCTGTTTTAATTTCACTCAAGCTTAAGTTTAAAAAAAAAAAATCTAACTAGTTACCTGCCAGAGTGGATAATATCCACGTTGGACGTGGGTGTAGAGGAAGAACTCTGTTCCAGGTCCGCCACTTGGCCAGAACTTGTAAGGAAACTTCATGAATATCTTTGTGTATATCGTCATCGACATGTCGGATATTGATATTCTTTTCCACATCTGAAAAAACGTTTAATTGTGTAAGAGATGAAAACAAAAATGAAGCTTAGCAAAACAGAGTAAGTCTATCAACCGGAAGCTTGGGCTTGAACTGGATGAGGTTGCTTTGGAGAACACCAACACTCGCGGAGACAACGACGTAATTTGCTGAGTAAGTCGAACCATCTTCAGCTTTGACCGTGACTCCATTTTTGGAGTAAGCTATCTCCCTCACCACCTGAAAGACATGGATTCCACGCAATAAATTATGTTTAGAGAAAGATTGGTATGATGACAAAAATAGATTTCACTCCAGTTTGTTGCAGACCTTTTTTAGCTTGAGCTGAACAGGGCTTCCTTTCTTCAGAATCTGGCTGGCGAGATACTGAACCAGAACTCCAAACCCTCTCGGATCGGTGACGAAATGTGGGTCTTCGCCGTGCTCCTCGAACTCGCCACGAGGGTAAGTGTGCTTCAAGCTCGTCACTTTCGGTGGCTCTGCATCTTCGTAGTCATTGTGGTAGAAATCTATGACCATATCCAGGGGCGTCAACGGCGGCCTGCCAAAACAGGAAACTCCCTCAAATACTCTGTTTTTTTTTTTATTCCAAGCGCCAGAGGGTATTGAAAAAGCAAACAAAATTTTCTAGTTTTGGTTTTCCAATGATTACCTTCCGTGGAGCCGCTGTCCGGCCAAAATCGACACATCGACGTCCTTCTTCTTGTTGGCAGACAACTTTCTCGAGAAATTGGCGCAGTACTCGTCCCGTGCTACGGCCACCTCGTCCACCTTTTCCACGTCCTTCTTCGGGTACAAACCTCCCCTGTTTTTCCATTTCACCCACAAACAAAATCAATAACGAAACTGCTTAATTTGAATCAAGGATAGAAATCTGGAGGGTTAATTGGGTTCATTTACTCTTGTTTGTATGTGTTTCCGGTGATGTTGGAGTAGTCGTTGGGGTAAGATTTGAGGCCGACTTTCTTCGCCAAATCGATGACCGGGTTAGCGACAGGACCGCCACTGAAGAACCAATTAGCACCCATTTCAACGGTGTAGCCGCTGAAGTCGGCCTTCATCATCCTGCCGCCGATTCTCGAGCTGGCTTCAAGGATCAGGATGTCCTTGATTCCCGCCTCGTAGAGTGTCTTCGCCGCCGAGATTCCTGAATCGCTCGGAAAAAATGGGGTTAGTTCGTGTCAAATTGTTTAGCTCGCTGGAAAAAAAAAAACAGAGTACCCTGTACTTTGAGAAATGAATGCGGTCATTTTTCTAAAGGGGTTTTGTCAGTTCACCTGACATTCCAGCGCCGACGACGATAACGGAGGGTGATTGGGCGGCGGCTGCTGTGGATGAGAAGAGAAGGGTGACAAAGAGGGGAATCAATGACATAGCAGCCATTTTCGGTGTTCCCCTGCTGCTTGAGAAATGGTGAGTGAGGTTTCAAGCTCTCCATAGCTCTCATTTTATAGGCAAACGGAAGCACACGGTGTCTATTTCCACAGTCTAACAGTAAGTAATTTTGGTGTCCGTGAAGCGGTAACTCGTGCATCACGACGTTAACCCTTTGAAATTCGAATTATTTATTTATTTATTTATGTAAATGAATCATGATAGATCTCTTGGGGCATGAAATGACGTTATCCAACGCATTCATGGGGTAGGATAAAATAATATCACCGACAAGTTAATTACTCGTTATAAAAAAAAAAGTATAAGGAGTTCATTGCTAATCATAATTCATAGCACGTACATGCATACTAAATTACTAATTAATGTTTTTTTTACTGAATTGCTAAACGTCGCCCTTAAAATTGCTATTCATCGCCCTAACTTAAATATTAAATTACCTATATACCCCTAACTTAAATTTCAAAATTCAAACAAACAAACAACCCCTAATAAACCCTACCAGACTCTTACCTCTTCCCACAACTCCTTGCCGTAGTAGCACCTCCACCGGACAGCTCCTCCCGTCGCGTCGGCGGCAGAAGCGAAAGGAACCGCCAGCCACCTCCATCCCGTCGCCGGAGAAGACGGCCAGCCTCCTCCACCGGACATCTCCTCCCGTCGTCGGCGGCAGAAGCGAAAGGACAGGCCGCAGGGGATTTGCGGCGGACACCTCCTCCCGTCGTCGGCGGCAGAAGCGAACGGAAAAGCCGCCACCCACCTCCATCCCGTCGCCGGAGAAGACGACCAGCCCTCCTCCCGTCGTCGGCCTCCTCTATCGCCGGCAAAGACACCCCCAGCCGACCTCGACACCCCCAGCCGACCAGGCGCCGGAGAAGAAGAAGGTTAAAAAAAAAAAACGACCGCACTCAAACCGCGGTCAACGCGCTGTTGACCGTCGGTCAGACCGCGGTATGAGTGCGGTTGACCCGTTTTTTTTTTAATTCTGTTTTTTTAATTCTGTGTTTAAATAAATGTTAATAATAAAAAAAATTAATTTGGCTATGATTCAGACGTCCTACCGACGATATCGGCTTCAAAATGACGATGATGGATTTTTCTCTCCTTAGATAGTGTTTTTTTAGTCCAAGTGGTGTTTGTTTGATAAAAGGAAGGTAAAGAAGATAGGGGGTTATAAGTGTAACTTTAAACTTTTTTAGGGCGATCTTTAGCAATTCTAAGGGCGACTTTTAGCAACTCCTTTTTTTATGTATAAAGATCTAAAGATTGTAGCATTTCTTTTTTAATATGGAGTGTTTAAGTACATGATAAAAGCGGTCATGTACAGAACTAGTTGAAAATGGGAAGGGATAGGGTGGTGTGGGTGGAAGAATCACTCGTAATTAGGGATACAAATGAGTGAAGCGGCTCGGCGTTCGTTACTCGAGAAAAGCCCGTTCGAAACTCGGCTCGTTAATAAACGAGCCGAACATGAGCTAAGTTTTGTTCAACCCGTGAAGCTCGCGAAATAGCTCGACTCGGTGGCTTGTTGAGCTAAACTCGTGAGCTGGCTCGTTTAGAGCTCATGATATGTCTCAACATGTGGCTAGAGAGCCAACTCAATTACCGACTTATGGATGAATCAATCTATATCTTATGATTTTAATTCATATAGTTGTTAAATTATCTATCTCACCATATATAAAGTTTAACACGTTGAGCATGTGAGCAAATATATCTTATTTTCTACTTTAAAAAGAAATTACGTATCATAGATTGCTTCGATACTATTGGGTTCTGGACCTGGTTTGTAATGATCTGTTGGTTTGGTTTTCAAATTCAGTTGTAATCTGCTTGTACATTTCCGTTTGGGTTTTGGCTCGTTCGTGTTCTTAATGATTTGCTACTTCAAAAATAAAATTCCTAACCACCATGTATCATCGTCATTTTTTACTCAAAATTTGAAAAAATCTGCACAAAGGGAACGAATTCATCATAATATATTGAGATCTACAAATTTCTAGAAAAAAAAAAATCAGGACCAAATATATCGTCCCGGTATTGAATAGTAGATGGTGGCTAGTACATTCCTACGATCAAATATACAATGATTCTACACTATGATATATTGATACCGCCATAGTTTACTTTCATACCACCACAGTATAATCTTATTTACAATCAATCTTATTATTGACCAAATCTTTATAAATCCCATATTAATACAAAAGAGATATAACTCGTTAAAAATATAATTGGAACAAAATTATAGTCAATAACCAGTTATATTATTGATCAGAATCCGCTCGAATCTTGTGGTTGTTAGAGCATCCAATTGGTCTTTCATTTTAAATTGCAAGATAACATGACATGAATTTTTGCAATTGCAAAATCAATTATATTGATGTGGTGATTCATTACATATTTGCAATCTTGCTATAAATGCAATTACATATGAAATTAAAATGGCTTAAAATGGAAATAATGGGCTTCTGCAATGGAAATATCTATTTTCTTTATTTATTGTTGAAATGATTAAAGGAAAAACATATACAATTAATTTTGGAATTATAGATATGTGGATCTCCTAGAAATTATTTTTAACCACCAGAGCTGGACCCAGAGCTGGCTGGAGAGCTAGAGATAATACTTTTTTTTCTTACATTTATATTTTATGTTTCATTTGTTTTCTTCAATCTTATTGCACCATCTGTTTCACGTGTGTACATCGTCAACCAACCATTTTTCAAGTTTGAACTCTACTTTTGGATAATATAGAAATTGTTGGAAAACTACAATAAAAGATAGTTTTAAGATATATGAGAATGCTCTGGGAAAAAATAATCATTGAAGCAAATAATTTCTCCATATTCGGTCGGCTATGACAGCTATTTGAACTTTGAAGTGGCACATAATGTATGGTATATTTTTATCTTAATAAAATAAAGTTATAAATCGTTGCCTAACATATATAGTTGTATTTTTCTGTGCATTGCACAACAGTCAGTTTTCTGGGTAAAGCTTTGCTTAGGAAGTCCCTCTCGATTTCTGACGGTCAGCTCCTCTTTTTTCTCTTGCAAGTGGAGTATGCTCTATAAGGATTGAATATTTAGCGACATATTATTTGGGACAATATTATCTACTTCGTTTTATAATAGTTATTTTGAATAGACAATTCATGTCAAAATAAGAGTACTGATTATTTGGGATGTGATATTGATAAGAAAATGCATAAATTATTGCAATAGTTTATTAATAAAGAGTTTAGAAATTTAGGACTAAGGTCTAGAGTTTAGAACTTATGGTTTGGTGCTAGGATGGTTATTTAAGATAATTTATGAATTAGTTGTGAATCTATATTATATTATCATATTAAACTAATGTTATCGTAAATTAAAAAAATTCAATATCTTGAAACTAGTTATCGAGCATACACTTATTTTATTTGCAGACGAGATCCACCTATGTATAGATTTATCTTATGAATACATATATGTAGATATTATGAACCGAACCAAATTCAAAAATACAAAAAAAAAATCACACTAATGCTGAAACAAAGATTGTTAATGACTTGACTCGTCATATATATATATATATATATATATATATATATATATATATATATATGATACATGTGATTAAAACTGATCTCATGTCATATATGAGACATACTTGCTCATATACTCAAATCTTAAACATTATATGAGAGGTGAGATTTGCAGTTTAATAAAACTATGAATTACCAACAAGCCAACTCATAAAATATAGATCGATTTTCTCATAAATCGGTAACAGAGTTGGCTCATGAGATATTACATTTGACAAAACTATAAATGACTAGCAATGTATGAGAAATCTCATCATTATAAAACGAGACAATTTACGAGTTGATCTCAACAAAATCATTAAGTCGAACGGGCTCCAAATAAACGATTAAACGATGAAAGCATCCAAAGATAATAATTGCAGAGTGGGCTCGCTAGTGATGATAATCGACTGTGTGGGCTCGCAAGCCCAGAGGCCCCATTGTTTTGGACATGCTTTCTTTTTCGTTCTTTTACTTTGCTTTCCCCCACGTGAAAAACTAATGTAAATATCTGACTGCTAACTTTGTCTTCCTTTGTTCCTTCTTCTCGTTTCTTTTGTATACAAATACAAAACGGCTAAATTGCAAGTTTGGTCACTTGAATTACTAGTAAATTTTACGTTAGCCATTAGAATTACTTTATTCCATCTGTAGTCACTTAAATTGGGTTAATAGTCCAAGTTTGATCACTCGCTGTTAGTCTCCGTTAACTTTTGCTGATGTAGCGATCAACTCTCACTGTTGACCGTTAAGTGAGTGACGTGGCAATTAAAAAATAATAAATAATAAAATTTAATTTTTAATAATTTCCACCTCGTTATTAAAAAAAATAAATAAATAAAATGTCACAAGCAACAGCAAGGACGGAGGATGATTCTACTCCGTCGAGGTCGTCAGCTCCGACCACGTCTCCCTCTCCAAAATCGACACCATCTAGAGACTTGAGCACAGTTCTTAAAGGGAAGCCTCTGATTCTGAATATCGAATTGATGTTGGTTTTTCCCATCACAATATCGGGACAGGCGTGGAAGGTCGTCGTCTGCAGCAAGGGAACCACCACCAATGTCCATTTCCGTCCTCATTTCTTTGTTTCCTAGGCGGCAGATGGTTTGGGTTTTCCTTCTTTTCTTCTGAAAGCTGTCGAGGAGAGAGCGTTTTTCTGGTAAGTGGTGGTGATGCGACGCGGCTACTCCTCCGCCGCCACCTAGTACGATTCCGGCGACGAGATTCCAGCTCAACCTCCAGGTACGATTCCGACGACGAGTCGCACAAATACCTAGCCGATTCAGAAACCAATCCAGCGAGGACTCCTTCGATCCGGAAACAAATACCTAGTCGATTCCTCCGATGCCATCTTCGATCGAGCTAGAGGAGCCGATGGCTCTGCTTCTGGCCGAGCCCGTGTGGGAAGACGAGGCGACAACTGGACTCCAATCCTTCCATGAGTGCGAGGGTGAAAACAACAGCAACCTCTACTCTTCCTCCGACGACTATTTCCACACCCTGCTGCTGGGCGCCCTTAGTAAATATTTGGTGATGTGGGTTTCTGTAATAAGCTCTCAGCTTCCTTCCTGTGTGTTAATTAGGATGATGATAAGATGAAGGAGAAGATGACGAAAGGGTGGACAGTGGTTTCTTCTCTTTTGGGTTTGCAGAGAAAAGAAGGAAATGAAAAATAAAAAATAAATATATTTCATTTAATTTTTATAATAATTAGGTGAAAAATAAAATTAATTTTTTTATTTTTTTAATTGCCACGTCACTTACTTAACAGTCAACAGTGAGAGTTGCCTGCCACATCAGCAAAAGTTAACGGAGACTAACGGTCAGTGACCAAACTTGGACTGTTAACCCAACTTAAATGACTACGAATGGAATAAAGTAATTCTAGTGGCTAACATAAAATTTACTAGTAATTCAAGTGACCAAACTTGCAATTAAGCCAATACAAAACTACTAGCCTCAGTCTGTCTGTCCACTCTCTTTCTCGATTTTTCTCTTTCCAGGCACGTTTGGACATTGGTCCTCGTTGTTCTTTGTTGGACTCTTGTGTATATTTCCTTTTATTGGAAAAATTATTATGGTTCCGCATGCAAAAGCATATAATTTTGGATAGGTAGAATAAAGCATAACCGATTTGGTCACCAGAAAATATCAGTTTTTTGTGAATAAATATATCTGTTTTTATTCGAGTTAATATTCTATTTTGATCTCGACGTTTTTTTGGTAAGAAATGAATAGCTAAAAAGCGTTCCAACCGCTAATTATTAAATAATGTGAAGGGTAGATCTCCTATCTGATTAAAGTACAATCAGTGGTTCTCAAAGAAAATAAGAAGTCAAAATATGTTTTTCCAACTTTGCTATTCAACCATTATAATACTATTGAAACTCGATTCAAGACCACGATGGCACAAAGTTCTTATCTCTTACTCTCTCTGAACTTCTCCCCTTTGAGTCGCTCCCCCTCCCGTATGGATGGCAAACTCATCCTCTCCGGTAGGGTTTTACCCGATCCAGGTCGAATTGGGGTGGATTTTACTGGACTTGTTTCTTAATAGGTGGGTCCAACCCAATCTGCTTCCAAGTCAGAACAGGTTTGGATTCGGATTGAGTAGTATCTGGTCCATTTCGAACCATTTTCATCCCTACCGTTGTCAAGAAATTGGTATGAAAGAAATATTTTGAAGAGTAAATGAATCCCTCTCTGTAGGGTGTTATTTGCCCCTACTACAAAATTTACTGGTAGGATCGAGTAAATCATTTCCTAGAGTCCCTCCAATCAAAGTCTGGAAGGAGCAATCTTACAGGATGTTGTGTTTGTATTTTGATAATGAAACGAGAAAAAGAAGATGAACATTAGGAAGAAGTCAGCACCCATCAAACTTTTATTGTGAAAAGACAGTTCCCTTCTGAAGGGTTGTGTCATTTCAAAAAATTCAATATTAATTAATTATCCAAAATCAATTACTCATAATATAATTTTAGAAATCCAAAATTAAGTAATCAAACTGCCAAAAATCAATTGAAGAACGCTAAGTGTTAAGTGGGTAGTGCGATTAAATATATCTAATTAAATTGCACACACTTTTCTCAATAAAAACCATTAACCACTTTTTTTATGAATCCAATAAGTAAAGTAGAAAGTAGACTTATAAACCACCTGCACTTTCCTTCTCCCACCAATTTGGCATTTCCGCTCTTATGACTACTCTAAGACCATCCACAATGGTTGAGTGGAAAAAATGGGTGGAAAGGGTGGGAAAAATGAGTTTTTTGGGTTTGGGGGTCGGAAAACCCACAATGGGTTGAGAGGGAAAAATGGGAGAAGTGTTTTTTGATCAAATTAGTTTAGTGTTGATTTTATCACTTTACTTAAATAATTTGATCAATTATTTTATACAGTTAGTAATAATTAATTAAGACGGACATTGTGATATAATTTTTTTAATTTGAACATAATTTTTGTCATTAATTAAATATGATATAATCAATGACGAAACAATAATAATTTTCTGAAGACCATAACTTAAATATGAAGTCATTAATTAAAAAAGGCTACTGAAAAATATAATATTTGAAAATTTTGACGTTGAGATTTAATTCTGATCGTTAGATGTCATATACAGTAACTTAAAACAAAAACAAAAGAAAATGAGAAAACAGAAGAAAAAAACTCAAAAAGGAGTGGGCCGCCGGCCGCACCACTCCCTCCTTCCCTCCTTCCTTTGTTCTTTTGTGACCCAAAGTTCCTCCCTCATTTTTCTCATTTCCCTTTTTTTCCCTCTTTCCCCCCCTCCACTGTGAGCCTTCCCTTCTTTCCCCACCCCATTGTGGATGGTCTAACAATCCCCCAATTAGTCAACAAGAGCTGAGAATACATGCTTCGTCAAAAAGTAATGCATACATAAAAGGTATCTTTTTATTTGAACTTTTACCTAGTGTGAGCAACTCAAAGTTCATAGCAAATCAGTGATACGCTTAAGACTAGGAGTCACGACTCAAAGCTAAAACAGGAGATGCCACACACGTACTCGTCTCTTCTCTAAACCACAACCACCATGTATGCCCACATATGTGACATTCTAAATGAACGTCATTAAGAGTTCTATAACTCACCCTTTTTTCAACTAATTTACTCGTACAATAAATTAGTACATTAGTTAGAGCAACTTGTTACTACCACATTGAACCTCTTCGTTTAGAAGTAGTGATACTCATCGATTCAAAGAGAAACTTGAGCTCATAAATTCATATTGTTTAAAGGAAGAGAAAATACATGGACAGATGATGAGTGGCATTCTTTCAAGAGATAGTGTTCCTATCCACGGAGTCCATATTTTTTATATAAGGATGAAGTGAATGCTGAATTAGTGCATACCTAATGAAAATATTAGGTTTCCATTGCTTTAACTATACATAAGGTCTCAATCTCATCCCTTGAGTTGTCTCATAGATCATGCCTCTTGGTCATCCCTTGATAAGAATATCTGTCAAATTGTTGCATTATCTTACATTCAAATAGTAAATGATTCCATTAGTAATCAGATATCTAACATAATCATGTTTTTGGCTAATGTATCCGTACTTACCATTGTAAATCTTATTATAATCTCTAGACAAAGTGGTATCGCTATCACAAAAGACAGAAATGGCTGGTATCGATTGTGGCCACAACTCTATATCTAGCAACATGTTTCTTAGCTCTATTGTCTTTTTCTAGCCGTCACAACGGCTAGGAATTCAGCTTCCATGCTGGAATGAGTAATACACATTTATTATCACTAGTACTTGTTATCCACTAGTATCAGAAAATGCTTTTAACACAACGGGGAAGTTGCTATAGATGAGTCCTAAAGCTTTGGTTCTTTCTAAATAACCAAAACCTCTTCCTATAGCTCTACAATGATCAACATTATGATTCCGAGTGAATCTAGAAAGTTTGCATACAATAATGTAATAACAGGTCTGGAAAGGTTGTTAAACCCCTATCGGGCCCCGATTGGACCTTGTCCGATCAAGGTCTGGCTTCAAAATGGTCTCCATAAAGCCCCCGGTGTGACCCTTAAAGTGGGAGAAGAAAAGAGAGGGAATGGAGGAGGGGGAAAGAAGGAAGGGAGATGGTGGGTGGGTGGGTCATGGGGTTAGATAGGTTTTATATTGTGACAAATAAGTTTTTAATAGAGACATGTAAGATAAATTTCATTTCAGTTATTAAATTGTTAAATTACTACCTTATTTGTATATTTATGTTTAGAAAAAGTATAAACGCCTTAAACCGATCAGACCTCGATTAGACCAATAAATCTCAAACCTCTTATTGGACTGGCTAAATTGCAAGTTTGGTCACTTGAATTACTAGTAAATTTTACGTTAGCCACTAGAATTAATTTATTCTATCCGTAGTCACTTAAATTAGGTTAACAGTTCAAGTTTGGTCACTGCCGTTAGTCTTCGTTAAGTTTTGCTGATGTGGCGATCAACTCCTATAGTTGACCGTTAAATGAGTGACATGGCAATTAAAAAATAATAAAATAATTTTTAATAATTTCCAGCTGATTATTACAATAAGTAAAACAAAATGTGAAAGAAAAAAGAAAACCATTAGCTACCTACATTGGCGGCCATTAATGTTGGGCATCTTCTGGCAAAATCAAACCCACTACCGGCAATACTTTCACGGTAACTCAACCCTATGCTTTTATTGAATGGTGGCTCCCACTTCCAAGTTCCAACTACTACAATAACCCTTCTCTCCACCAGCTCCACAAAACCTCATTATTTCGACCTCTTCGATAACTTAAGGGGTCGTTTGGATTGAGTATTTGACAAACTTGTTGTTTGGGGTCAATTACCACACAAATACAACATAATATAAAACCTGTTATTTGGTATGTGATATTTGATCTCAAACTTGTTATTTGGCAAATACCTGCCCCCTCTCAAGTATTTGGCAAACAACACTTTTTGTGTTATTTGGTCTCAAACCTGTTATTTGGCAAAACACTTACATCCAAATAACGCATCCCACATTTTGTCAGCCAAACATGTTATAAATCAATTTGACAGCCTTAAATATAACCCATTGCATACATCAAACTTCAGATAAAACTAGAATACTCAACTTGTGTCAGAGCCTTTCCCCACCGCCATCAATCCAGACTATCGTCCAAATTTACAAGCCTGTTTGAGAAGCAAACACGGTAATTAACGAAACACGTTTCTCAGAAACACGGTAACTTACTAGCCTGCACAGCAAAAGTTCACCAGCCATATCACTAATCCACATACAGATAGGGCTTAGATATTACATCCACTTATTCGAAAAGGGTTTCTCAGGAAGTTCACGTACACTTACAACAACAAGCACGGCTAATCTCTCAATAGCAAGCAATCGCAAACCTTACTGAAAAATGCTCAGCTTCCAATCGCCCAGTCAGCCAATGATGTGATGTAACATTATTATCCAGAGCGACACAAGTCAACCATTGCCATGCATTCATTCCCAACCAGTCTCTCGCTCAAACGCATTGATCGCGCACTAAGCATCTGATACACCGCGATTAGCCTTGCCGAGTTGCTTCACCAAATCCTTGGCAGTGTCAATTCCTGCAAGATAAGCCCCTGTAACCCACCCAAAGTAGTTCTTGTGGATGTGCTCGCCGGTGAAGTAAATGGGACCAACTGAAGCCTGTGTACATTACATTTACAACCCACAATTGTAGGGAGAAAAGGACATCAGAATTCGCAACATTTCCATTATCTGAAAGGTTAGTCAATTCAGGGTTTTTCTAAAGCTCACCCCGAGTTTGTTATGGCGTTCTTGGCTATAGCCATGGGGCCAGTTCGAATGGCTTCCCTTGAAGAACCTGTCCGACCACCACCTGTGCGTCAGCATGCTCTCAGGCTCCGGGATGTGTTCGCCAAACATGTCTCTCAGCACGTCCATTGCCTCGGCCTGAATCTCTTCATCTGATAGTTGCTCCATCCGCTTAGCCTCGTTGTATGTTACCGTCACCATCAGCATGTTTGATCCTGGATACTCGTTCTCTAGATGCTGTATGTAACAGTACCAAAAACCGACACCATTAGCATTCGTTGTACGAACTTGGTGATGAAAGCATTTTTCCAATGTGAGTGTGGTTTATGACGAGCGTGTACCTGCCAAACTGGATAGTAACCACGCTGGGTATGGGTGTAGAGGGAGAACTCCGTTCCCGGCCCAGTTGGCCAGAATTTGTAAGGAAATTTCAGGAATATCTTTGAGTAGACTGCCATGCTGAAGTCGGCTATCGCAAGTCTCTTCCACATCTGGAAAGGGAGCACGTAAATTGATTGATTCATTAATTAGGTTGCCTGATAAAAAAAAAAAAAACGAGCATAAATGGGAGAAAGCCATCTAGAAGAAAATAAAACTCACAGGCAGCTTTGGCTTGAATTCAATGAGGTCACTCTGTAGCACTCCGATGCTTGCAGAAACAATGACGAACTTTGCTTGATAACTCGACCCATCTTCAGTCTTGACTTCCACCCCACTATCTGTGTAGCTGATTTCTCTCACCACCTGAAAAATCATGCATAGCAAAGACAAAGAATCCCATGTTTCAGATTTGCAGAGTAGACCACTTACAGCAATTTGATACAACGTGAAACTTACAATAAAAAGACAGAATCGTAGCCCCCATCCAAAGTAATGATCTTGTAAACCATTTCAATCCAAAATTGCTAAATGTCGCAACAGTGTAAGGAATTCAGAAACTTACTATCAACCGAATTCTCAAAAACATGGAATGGACAGGTGAAAACATCATCATCAACAGTGGATTAGCCAATACAAATTTGGGGTTCATAGCATATGGGCCACAAACAATTCAAACGATTGTCCTTCCACTTCCACTGCAGCAATGACTAAGCAACCGTATCTAACATGTTACCTTGTTAAACTGAAGGCGGGGATCGTTAGTGAGCGAGGAAAGGAATTGCTTCCCAAGGTACTGAGGCACAACCTCGTAGCCTCTGGGATCCGCCACAAAGTGAGCCACAGGGCCGTGGTCAATACCTTCCCTTCTGGGATAAACGTTCTTCAAGCTCGTCACTTGCGGTGGCTCTCCATCTGCTAGTTCATCGTTCAAGTAATCTACCGCCCTTTCCAATGGAGTCGCCGGAAGCCTGAAACCCAAAACACCCACCATAGTCAATCAAACAAACAAATAACCCCATTAACTATTGCTGGCTACTGCATTATCATCCAAAAGCACCACCCAAAACCCTTACTTTCCCAACAAGCGGTGAGCCGCCAAAATGGAGATATCATCCTCATCAACCGCGTCCGAATTCAGGGTCTCACTGAAGTCGCTGCAGAAATTAGTCCTCCCAACCGATGCATTGTGAGCTTCTTCAACTATTTCCTTTGGGTACAATCCCCCTCTACAATAAAAAGATTCGCAATTTCAAGAACTGAGATTTGGGAATTTGGGGGAGTGAAGCTTTTTGTTCTACTGGTTAGGGTTACCGTTGCTTGTAGGTATTGGCGGTGATGTTGCCCGTGTCAGTGACGGTATATCTGAGATTCAACTTGCTGGCGATTTCCAGGACCGGATTGGGAACAGGGCCGCCGCCTTGGTACCAGTTGGCACCGAGCTCCACCGTGTTGCCGCCGATCTCCGCCTTCCTCATACGCCCGCCGACCTTCGACGTCGCTTCCAGGATTAGAATGTCCTTCATCCCGGCATCGTGAAGAGTCTTCGCTGCCGAAATTCCTGAATGGCGGGAAGAAAAACGTGGAAATTCAAACTGGGTCAGCGCATTACTTTGGAAAATGAAAAAAAATGGCAAGTGGGGAAAAGGGTTTCCGATTTTGGGGTTCGGCGGCGGCACCTGACATTCCGGCTCCGACGATGATGACAGAGGGGGACTGTGACGCCGGAGCAGTTGCTGAGACGGATAACAAGTGGGGAAGTAGGAAGAGTAGGAGGGTTATCGACGGAAGAGTAAGAGTCGTCATTGTTGTTTGTGATTCCGGCTGCAGTTTCCCTCGCCGGAGCTAGTTGAGCAGTGAGAGTGAATGATTTTGTTTTTTGCGGGCATGTACTACTTATTGGGAAGTGCTGGACGATTGGTTGGTTCAATGGTTCGGTTAGGAGGATAATCATTTGGGTTTGGGCCTGGAGATGGGCCGCCCGTCGATGCTGACGATGAGAGTGGTGGTCCGATTTCCAGGTGGGCCATCTGATGGGGACATGGTTCTGGTGGAGACGATCCGCTGAATCACATCACGTGGATGATGGATCGATCGCATATCTCGAATAATATTTTCTTTGTGTAATATAATGATAAATTATAATATAAAATAGGATTAAAGGACAGTTTAATCTGTAAATTAGCAGCTTTGGCTTTGCCAACGACGGGCCAACTAAGCATGATCATTAATGCATTCTGTACTGCAGCCAAAAAGGAAAAATGAAGCCCAATATTTATGCATTTTTTCCCATATTTTGTCACGTGGCATTTTTTTTTTTAAAATGGCCTGGAATTTTATTAAATCAAAGAGTGGTTATTACAATCAGCTATGAGTTGGTTTAACAAACAGACCGGTGGCCGGTCTAACCATATCTCCGATTCTTCCCAACCACTCCTTACTCTGGCCATCAGGTGAGCCGCCGCATTTCCTTTTCTTCTCCAAAAACGAATCCCTATCTCGCCATCCTCCTCCATTACCTGCCTGATCTCCTTGCAAACTGTCTCAATATCCATCTCCGTTCGATCTTCCGCCATAACCCTTCGTACCACCACTAGGCAATCTGACTCAATCAGCAGAGGACGGTAATGGTTATTGATGCACAAATTCATTGCCCAAAAAATCGCCTTCGCTTCTGCTAGTTCGGGCGTCCATGCAGTTCTTGTCCGGTGGGCTGCAGCCATTCGGAAAGCTCCTGTATCATCTCGCACCACCAGTCCAAAGCCCGTGCCTCCTTCCTTCAAGATCGATGCATCGACATTCACTTTGAAGTTGCCTTCTCTTGGTTTCTCCCATTTGTACTCCACTTTCGCCCCCAGGTTCGTGCTCTTCATCTGAACTGCTTTGTAAGCTTCCATATACTGTTCCGATCTTGCAATTATCTCCCATTCTTCTAGCTTTGCATTATTAAATAGGTGATTATTTCTTTCCTTCCATAAGAACCAGAGTGTTGTTACGAACGATCCCAGTTCCTCATCCGTCGATTTTTCCATCACTTCACAAATCCATTCCTCACTTGACTTCCCCTCACCCATACTAAAGATCTTGCTCAACGAACTGGGGCGCCAGACTCTGCCCGCCCAGTCGCAATCCCGGGTTATATGTTCTTGTGTTTCGATTAAGTCGCAAAAAGGGCACCCATCATACGCATCTGGAATTCGTTTTGCCAAGTTTGAACCTGTCGGTAGAATGTTGCTCCCCCATCTCCATATGAAGACCCTGATTTTGGGGGGTATTTGTAGGTGCCATAGTCTCTTCCAATCAATGGGAACGTACCTTTCCCCTTCTACATTCTCTCTTTTACATCTCCATAGGTAGTAGGCCGATTTCACAGAGTACCGCCCCAGTTTCTCCGGGCCCCATACCCTTGTATCTTCAAAAGGGTGAACTGGTAATGGAATTTGTAGGATTCTTTTACGATCTGTAGGTTGAAAATGGGCATGTAGTAGGTTGCTCTTCCATGTTCTGTTTTCAGTATCTATCAGACTCTCCACCCTAGCATCCCAATTTAATCCATTCATCCTTGTCTCAATTTTGTAGTCCGGTCCCTCTGGAATCCATCGATCCCACCATATTCGAGCTTGTTTCCCATCACGAATTCTCCACCTTGTACCTTCTTTCACCAAACCTTGAGCTGCCATCAAAGATCTTCATATATAACTCGGATTGTTCCCAACCTGAGCTTCTAGGATTGAGCAATAAGGGTAATACTTGGCCTTTAGGACTTTTGCCACAAGGGAGGTAGGATTTTTGAGTAGGTTCCATACCTGTTTTCCCAGCAGCGCCAGATTAAAACCATGTAGATCCCTAAATGCCATTCCTCCTTCGTGCTTTGGACGACACAGCTTCTCCCAACTCATCCAGTGTATTCTTCTTTCTTCTTGTTTCCTTCCCCACCAAAACCCCGTAATTAGGCTTTGTATCTCATGGATCACTCCTTGTGGGATGAGAAAGACAGACATCGCATAGTTTGCTTGTGCCTGAGCCACTGACTTGATCAATACTTCCTTTCCAGCAGTAGAGAGTAGCTTGCTCTTCCATATTATGACCTTCTTTCTCACTCTATCAATCAGTTGGCTAAACACTGCCTTTTTTTACCTCCCTGGAACAGTTGGTAGTCCGAGGTATTTGTCATGGTGATCCACTTGTTTCATTCCAAGGATAGCCGCCACTTGATTCCTCTGGTCTTCTTTCGTGTTTCCACTAAAGGATAGTTCTGATTTCTCAAGGCTGACTTGCTGGCCCGATTCCACTTCATACTGCTGTAAAATCTTCTTTAGGGCTGCTGCCTCCTTTGGAGTATTTTCAACAAAGAAAATGCCGTCATCTGCAAAAAACAAATGGGTTAGTTCGGGGCCATTTTTGCTCACACGAATGCCATGTATTTCTCCTTGCTCCAGCGCCTTCCTGGTTAAAGCCGACAAGCCTTCCGCACAAAATAAGAATAGGTACGGGGAGATTGGATCTCCCTGTCTCAATCCTCGGGTTGGTTTTATCACTGGGGATTGGTGACCATTTATTAGTGCCGAGTAGCTAACCGTAGTAACACACTGCATAATCAGGTTTACCCATCGTCCATCAAAGCCTAGATTTAGCATAATAGCTTCTAGGAACGACCATTCAACTCGGTCATAAGCTTTGGCTATATCCAATTTTGCAGCAACGTCCCCTTTCTTTCCTTCTTTTGCTCTAACACAACCACCAAAGAATAAGGTTTCCCCTCATTTATTAACGAGGCAATGGCCATCTCTCTAGAAAATCTCTCTCTCTAAAACCTCTCCAGATCTCCCACTGAGATCATCTAGAGCTGCCGCCTGCGGAGCCATCAGTGTCACCCAATCCAATAGCTGCAATAAAAGCAAGAAGATCACGAAAGATCGTGAAGAGGTTAATGCAGAGATCTATAATATTGATGAAGACCCCTGCCCAACCTCCCCTGTGACCAGTAAGGGAGGGATCAATGCTGAAGGAAAACCCAGGGAGCCCATTAATCTGCCGCCCAAGCCACCTGAATTGAAATTGACTGATGGACAGCTGGGTTGGGGAAGGAGTAAAGACGACCCAGGGGGCATTAAAGCTCGAAAGGCTAGAGAAGCAAGAATTACTGAAGGGCAGGTGAAGAATCCCCCTGAGACCAGAGCTCCACAGAGCATTTATGCCCATAGGGTCACCGGAGAGAAGTTACGGGGAAAAGCGTCGGCAATCATTAGACCCTGCAACAAATACAACCGGGAGAGAAGAGCTGCAACAGTAAGGAAAAGAAGGAGTAAATACAATGACCAAATCTGCAGGGAGCAAACCCCACGAAAAGTACAAGAGAAGATCCATGGCAACTGGCTGAAACGATTTAAGGCGTGCAGGTTCAACCTCAAATGGTCTTTAAGAGGTGAACCGACAAAGGGGAGGGTCAGAAAAAGGCAGATGTCAACCCCATTAATGCAAAGCTCATTAACTACTGAGGGAGGAAAGGGAAAGCACCTGAGTAGGGGAGAAACGGGCTATAAAAGGGGAACCTCTGCTGTTCCAATCCCACCACCTCAACTTGCCCACACCAAAGCTAGAACAGAAACATTCTGGTATTCGATTTCATCCGAAAAACTCACTTCCAACTTCCAAGAGAAAACCACCAACCCCCTCATTATGAAGATGCACTCGAGGAGCCTAAGAGGAGAGAAGAGCCATCTTGTGCTCAATGTCAGACCAACCGTGGTGGGAGCCAGGGGCAGCGGGATGGCGATGCTGCTGGGAAGATGGATCACAGACTCTAGCATCAACCTACAAAAGGCGAAGAATGCAGCTGCGCATAAGTGGAGAGCCTACGGGGAAGTCCAAGCAACCAAGGAAGCGGAGAACCTGTTCGTGTATGCCTTCCAATCGGCAAAACAGAGAGATGCAATCTGGGAAGCCAGACCTTGGAACCTGAGTAACACTCTGGTTTCTCTTAAGAAGTGGGATGGCGAACAGAAGGCCAAACTAGAAGACATATCCACCGTCACCCTTTGGGTCCAAATGCACGATTTACCCCAGTCTTTGAAGGATGAAGAAGCAATCCAGGCAGTGGCCTCCTTCATTTTCCCTCAATATCACAGCATCGACCAATCCAACTTCGAGTTCTGAGGATGGCTGAAATTCATTAGAGCCAAAGTGGAGGCCAGCCTGGACGATCCTATACCTATCGGCTTTGAATACCCGATTGGAGAAAGGTCGATCTGGGTAAGTTTCAAGTATGAACGCATCATGGACCTTTGCTATTTCTGCGGAAGGCTAGGTCATCTGATACACAACTGCCTCGAGAGAGAAGATCACAGGAGAAGAGGCCTCTGCATCGACCCATCAGAAGTGTACACGGATGCCCTCAAGGCAGGACATGACTCACCGGCAAACACCCCACCGGCCTCCTTTTGGGAAAAACTGGCAAGTACGCGCCGCCTGATAAGCACGGGAATAGGGCTGCAACAAATCCGAGGAGCCAGAGGGGAATCATCCTTGCTGACATTGATTGGTCATCCAGTACCAGGGTCAGTGCCCAATCCGCCTGGGTATGCAGCTTTACCAATGGCAGGTCAGAGCTCAGAGTGGGTTTACAGAGGGGACACATGTCCCTCATCTGCTCAACCGACTTTCCTGGAAAGGGAGATGGAAGTCGCGGCGAGAGCAATGCATAAGGGGCTTGACCTAAGGGAGGGAGACAGAAACAGAGAGAGGAGCATGGGCCTCACCGAGATGGGCCTCAGCCTGTCTCTAGCGAGCCCAACGTATGCTCTCACTGACCCGACCCCAGGTCCAGTTAATATGAACGAACAGGCCCTTGTTGTCATTCCTCAAGCCCAAAGTTTGACTCCAACAGTTGAACCAATGACAGCCCTACCAACAGAGGAAGAAAGGCCGAGGCCCGAGAAGAAAAGGAAACCAGAAAATAGAGCTACTACATTCACCTCCCTACCACAGCAAGACCCAACTTCTAACCTTTCTTTTGACTCTCTTTCCTTTGCCCCAGGAGAAAACAGAAGGACTTATCAAAGAAGGAAACATATAACCAGAAGGAGGAGTCTCATAGACATCACAGCAGATGGGAGCCAGTCCGGAGAAGGAGAATCTTCCTCTCCGAGGGCGACGACGGCAAGCCTCAAGCCGCCAAACATTGAATGGGAATATTGAGTTGGAATTGTAGGGGATTCGGCCAATCCCTTACAAGGAGTTATTGCGGCAGGCTGTGCCGCCAATATGGCCCCTTAATTCTCTTCCTCATGGAAACAAGAAAGGAGGACTCCTTCATGGAGGTTAAGAGGAGAGCAATGAGGTTTGATCACGCGGAGTATGTTAGCCCAACTAGTGAAGGTAGTGGTTTAGCTTTGTGGTGGAAGGACGATGTTGATGGACCGCTGTAAATCCTTCATGGATATTAGTTTTTGTGTTCTTGACCGCTGTAAATCCTTCATGGATATTAGTGTTTGCCAGAATGGAGCCAAGTTTTTTTGTACCCTTGTCCATGCCCCTACCACGGTGGTAGAGAGCAGATCCCTTTGGAATCGACTTACGATCTTGAGGGTGGAACAAGATGAGTCGTGGCTTGTTGTTGGTGATCTCAATGTTTCCCTACTACCTTTTGAGAAACAGGGGCGCTGCCCCCTTAGGAATGAGAATGTGATACCGTTTAAGAGTTTCATCGACAGAAATGGCTTGGTCAATCTCGGTTTCTCCGGGGAAGTTTTTACGTGAACCAATAATCATCAAGGTAATGATTTGATCCGGGAAAGGCTCGATCGGGCCTTATGCACAACAAGCTGGTTCAGGGCATTCGAAAAAGCAAGGGTCTATCATGAGGATTTGTCGTATCCAATCACTGCCCGATCAGGATAGACCTTCATCCTTCAAAGTCCCCAACCAGCACCCCATTTGGCTTTGAAAAACGATGGAAGGATAGTAAAGACTGCACCCATATCATCTTGGACCGGTGGGCTAATGGGGGCACAGTCCAAGAAAACCTGAAAGACTGCCAAAGGGATATTCTTGCATGGGCTAAGTCTGACAAGTACACAAATATGAAGAGAGAAAAGGAAATTAGGCAAAGGTTGCAGGAACTTCAAGGCCCAGTTAGGAATCGGGCACTGATCACGGAAGAGGTCAATCTCCGACGCGAACTTGAATAATGGTGGAGTTCGGAAGAGTCCTTTTGGGCACAGAGGTCAAGAAACAACTGGCTTCAAGAAGGCGATCAAAATACTGGCTTCTTCCACGCTAGTACAATAAAAAGAAGACACAGGAACCAGATTCTTAAACTAAAAGATGCTAATGGAAACTGGATCGACAAGCCTCAGGAACTTGATGATCACGTCAATGAGTTCTACAGAGAACTTTTCAACAGCAAAGGGGGGGGGGGGGGTTTGACCAGTCACTACTGATAGGGTTCCCAATGCTGGTCACAGAGGATATCAACGGCTCCCTGACAGCCCAGGTTACTAATGATGAGATTCAGAGAGCAGTTTTCCAGCTCGGGGCGAACAAGGCGTCAGGCCCTGATGGATTCCCAGGCCATTTTTACAGAACATTCTGGACTTGCCTTGGTGATACCTTCTGTGCAGAGATCCTTGATTTCTTCAGGACAGGCATCTTGATTGAGGGTTGGAATGATACCTTCCTCACTCTCATTGCCAAAGTGGAACATCGTGAGAAGATTGGTCAATTTAGACCGATTAGCTGCTGTAACTTTCGATATAAAGTTATTACAAAGATAATGACTAACACATTGCAACCATGGCTGCCTGACCTAGTTAATGAACTACAATCTGCTTTCACAGGAGGAAGACAAATCCAAGACAATATTGTTATAGTTCATGAAGTCTTAAACCACTTCAAGAAAAACAAGACAAGTAAGAGCAAGGAGATGATGATGAAGCTTGACATGAGGAAGGCCTACGACTTGGTGGAATGGGAGTTCCTTAAAGCTTATGGCTTCAATGATACCTGGTGCGGATGGGTTCGGGCTTGTATCTCGACAGTGAAGTTTAGGCTCCTCTTCAATGGAAATCCCTCGACTGAATTCAAACCATCGCGAGGAATCCAACAGGGTGACCCCCTATCCCCGCTCCTCTTCATTCTTATGTCCAATGCACTCTCCTTCATGATCGAAAAGGCTGCTCAGAGACAGATTATTAAAGGCCTCAAGTTGAACAGACTCTGCCCAGTTCTCACGCACTGCATGTTCGCTGATGATACTGTCATCTTTGGCAAAGCGTCAGTGCATGAAACATAAATCATTATGAGTCTTCTCAATGATTATGGATCGATTACAGGACAAGAGGTAAACAGGGATAAGTCTTCCCTGTTCTTTAGTGCCAATGTCCCTCTCAATGAGCAAGAGCTTATCATCCAAACCTCTGGTTTTGCGGCAGATATATGCCACTCCAAGTATCTAGGAGTCCCCACAGAATGGGGTCGATCCAAGAAGGAAACCTTCCAGTTCCTGCTACAGCGCATGGAAGCTAGAGGGGAGTCCTGGAAGAGTCTTCTCCTCTCCCCAGAAGGTAAAGAGGTTCTCCTCAAGGCTGTGTTCCAAGCTATGTCGTCCTTCATTATGTGCCTTTTCCTCCTCCCCAGATCAACAACAAAGAAAATGGACTCCATGCTCAAGAACTTCTTCTGGAGTGGGTCAATGTCCAAGAAAACCATCCACTGGAGAGCAGTTCACGTGCTGTATGCCCCTAAAGAGGAGGGAGGACTCGGCTTCCGCCCCTTCCACACCTTCAACCTTGCCTTGCTGGCCAAGTAGGCCTGATGCACTGTGGGTAAAGGTACTGAAAAGCATATACTTCCCACATTCTGATTTCTTGAACGCTAAGAAAGGAGGCAAAGCATCATGGATCTGGGCGAGCTTGTGGGAAGCGAAAAAATGGATGAAACAGGGTGTTATCAGGGTGTTTGGCAACGGGAAATCGACAAGGATGTCGTTTGGAGTCGAGCAATACCGCGGAGAATTTAAGCGAGACCACGAAGAGGCACGGCGATACCGCGGTACTTGAAACGACATTGGTTGCAGACCATGTGTGAGTCATGCGCAGGACATGTGTTGCTGTTGGACAAGGAATGTTATTTTATTTTATTTTTCCTTGTCGGAGGAAGAGAGTAATAACACCGTTTGGAGTCAAGCAATGCCGCGAATAGAT